TTGGGGCTCGGTTGCGGTCGTAAAGCGAGGACTCCCTGTATGGATTTAAGATTTAAGATCAGAAGGAATCTGGGACAATTTCTTCACCTCCCCAGCCTTATTCAAAGGTTTCCTGACAGGCAGGCTAACACGAAAATGAAATGGGTTAGTTGGAAAAGGTGCTAATGAGTCCCCTACTCGTTTGCTACCACAAGCTTAACCTTGCTGGCCTCCCACCCTGTCTCAGATGTCACCACAGGAATTTAGACGTCAGCAAAATGGACCCACTTGATCTGAAAAACAAATATTTGTCTCTGCACTAGAACTCCACGCCTGCAAACAAGCGGGACGAAATTAAGCTGTGGCAAACTGAAGCGATGATGCGAGAATTTGTCTTCTGTAAAAATAAGATAAGTAGAAATTATCCTATCAAAGAGAGCCAGTTTAATAGAGGCTAAGGCACCATGCTAGAAAGTGGGTGACCGTGAGTTCTAGTCCCGCCTGAGCCATGAAAGCCCGCTGGGAGACTTTGGGCCGATCGCCGGGTGATCATGAGTTCTAGTCCTGCCTGAGCCATGAAAGCCCGCTGGGAGACTCTGGGCCAATTGCTCTGTCAGTCCAACGCTCCTACAGGGTTGTTGTGAGTAAAGCAGGAGGAGGAGATGTTTGCCATCTTAAGTTATCTGCATAAACATAAGAGAGGCAGGATACAAATATGTAAATTAAAAGGTGTTGAGCAGAGCATCACCCACAACTGAGGGATGATCTATCCAGGGGGATTTTATAGTGATTAAAAAGCTGGTTTGTGTGTGTGTGTGTGTGTATCTGTGTGTGTGTGTGATGGAGAAAACTTCAGGCCCTCTCAGGAGAACGATCCCAGCCTGGTTTCCTTATCTCCCCCAAACTATTACAGGTAGTCCTGGACTTACCACCCCGACTGGGCCCAGAATGTCCGTTGCTAAGCGAGACACTCGTTAAGTGAATTTTGCCCCATTGTGAGACTTTCCTTGCGACATTTGTGAAGTGAATCGCTGCGAGCCGTCGCCCGGTTGTTAAGTGAAACCGGCTTCCCCACTGCCTGTCAGCAGGTCGCAAAAGGGGGTCCCCGGATGCCAAGAAACTTCAACCGTCGTAAGTGCGAGTCAGTTGCCAAGCATCCGAACGTAAATCGTGTGACCACAGGGGAATGCTGCAACGGTCATTAAGTGTGAAAAAACCATCCTTAAATCGCTGTTTTCAGTGCTGTTGTAAATTTGAACGGTCGCTAAATGGACTGTTGCAAGTGGAGGACCATGTGAAATTGGGTTTTTTTTTTTATGGGTAGCGTCCGATGAAAAAGGTAGAGCTTTGATACCACCGTTGTGGTGTCCATTTTTAAACTGGATCGGGCCATGTTTCCTGGGCAGAAAGTCAGCCTCCAGTTTTTCCCACTTTGAAATCCACCTTCTGCAGCCTGACTCGCTTTGCCAGCCTTTAGAACAGAACAAAACAGAACAGAATGGAATAGAACATAGAACATAGAATATAGAATAGAATACAGAATAGAATATAGTATAGAATAGAATATCGAATATAGAATAGAATATAGAATAGAATATAGTATAGAATAGAATATAGGATATAGAATATAAAATAAAATAAAATAGAATATAGAACAGAACAGAATACAGAATACAAAATAGAATATAGAATAGAATATAGAATATAGAATAGAATAGAATATAGAATATAGAAAAGAATATAGTATAGAACATAGAATAGAATATAGAATAGAATATAGTATAGTATAGAGCAGAATATAGAATATAGAATATAGAATAGAATATAGAATAGAAAATAAAATAGAATATAGAACAGAACATAGAATACAGAATACAGAATAGAATAGAATATAGAACATAGAATAGAATATAGAATAGAATATACAATATACAATAGAATAGAATATACAATAGAATATAGAATATAGAAAAGAATATAGAATATAGAAAAGAATACAGAACAGAATAATAAAATACAGATAGAATAGAATGGAATGGAATGGAATGGAATAGAATAGAATAGGAGCTGGAAGGGACCCTAGAGGTCTTCTAGTCCAGCCCCCTGCTCAAGCAGGAGAACCTATTCTGTCTCAGACAGGTGACTGTCCAGTCTCTTCTTATAAATCCTCCAGTGACGGAGCACCCACGATTTCTGGAGGCAAATGTTGAACGTGAAGCGGATTCTAATTCACAAGCTGACGGGCTGCCAAGCCCAGCTCGTGGCTTCTGTGGCAGGGCCTGGCTGGGCTCCGTCTCCCGAGATCAGGGCCGCCACGTTGATCTTTTGATCTTCCAGCCTGGATCTTCCTCTCCGCCAGAGAATTCACAACGGCATCCAGACATTTCGGTGCCAAGGCTGGCTCACCCCTCCTGCCCCCCCCCCACAGTTAGCTGCAGGAGCAGCAGCAGCAGATGAGAGGGAGCTGAGGGAGGGGGGCCCAGTGGCCTAATGGATAAGGCATCAGCCTCCGGAGCTGGGGATTGTGGGTTCAAGTCCCACCTGGGTCGCGCAGCCACAATTTTATTGGCAGAGCCAGAGAGGGAGGGAAAGGCTTTAAACCCCCCCAGAGGGGGGTTAGTAACAGACTAATTGAGTTGGAAGGGACTTTGGAGGTCTTCTAGTCCAACCCCCTCTCCCCCTGTTAAGCAGGAGACCCTCGACCAGGGGTATCCAAGCTTGGGGACTCTTGTGGACTTCAGCTCCCAGAATTCTGCAGCCAGCCATTCTGGGAATTGAAGTCCCCTCCTCCTCTTTTAAAAGCATGCTGGCTGGGGAATTCTGGGAGTGGAAGTCCCCCATTTTAAAGCATACTGCTGGGAATTTCTGAGAGTTGATGCCCCCCCCAAAGCATGCTGGCTGGGGAATTCTGGGAGTTGAAGTCCCCTCCCCTTAAAGCATGCTGGCTGGGGAATTCTGGGAGTTGAAGTCCCCTCCCCTTAAAGCATGCTGGCTGGAGAATTCTGGGAGTTGAAGTCCCCTCCCCTTAAACCATGCTGGCTGGGGAATTCTGGGAGTTGTAGTCCACCCCTCTTAAACTGACCACAGGTGAGAGCATCCTTTCCCAAGAGCCCCAATCCCGCAAATCAGGACTTGCCTGGAGGAGACAGAACAGGGCAGGCCCAGGCTTTGCAGAATGTAAGAGAAAGTCACAATTTAATACACAAAGCTGGGTCTGTCCCCACCATCTCCCACAATTGTCTCCAAATCCCCCCCCCCAACATCCACCTGGAAATGAGGGGAGCTGTCAATCATATGGCAAAGGAGGGGGGGTTTAGAATTGCCTCTAATCTAGGAGTCTTCAAACTTAGCCCTTTTATGACTTGTGGACTTCAACTCCCAGAATTCCTCAGCCAGGCATGCCTGGCTGAGGAATTCTGGGAGTTGAAGTCCACAAGTCATAAAAGGGCCAAGTTTGAAGACCCCTATTCTAACCTCTCACGTAGCAGCAGCATCACCTAGTGGCCGTAACTGGAAGTTACACCCTGAGATTCTGCATAGAGTGGGGATTCTACTTGGGGACGCTCTGTTTATGCCCAGAAACCCTCCTCTCCATGATCTGATACATTTAGCCCCCGCGGACAGCTGTATTATCCTGAATATAACATGTTATCCCGAGGGAAGGATGCCCGAAGCCCCCTTAGATGCTTTTCAACACCGGGATAAGCATTTTTTCTTCCCTGACCATTTCAGCTTTGTATCTATCTGTGCTTTTTAGATTTTTTAATCATCTCCTTCCTAAATTTATTCTTTAAAAATCGAGATAATTTTGCAATCTGTCCAGGGAACCTGAGTTATTATATTATTAATAATGAAATTATTGTTGATAATAATACTAATATTAATACTACTACTACTAATAATAATAGTAAGGCGCCTTTTGCAATTGACTAATGGTGAATTTGCCACTGGCATTGACAAATTTGCTATTAGTCAATTGCAAAAGGCGGCCTTACAAGGAACTGCTTCTATCCTGCGACGATATCTGTAATACCATCAAATATCCATATCTGCCGATCCCAGGTCCTGGGTAAGGACTCGATAGGTAGACAAAAATGCCACATCCTGTTTGAACATCTGGCTGACTGTGCAATGATCCATAATAATAATAATAATAATAATAGTAGTAGTAGTAGTAGGAGGAGGAGGAGGAGGAGGAGGAGGAACTGCTTCCATTCTGCGACAATACCTGTAATGCCATCAAACATCCACATCTGCCTATCCCAGGTCCTGGGTAAGGACTCGATAGGTAGACAAAAATGCCACATCCTGTTTGAACATCTGGCTGACTGTGCAATGATCCATAATAATAATAATAATAATAATAGTAGTAGTAGTAGTAGTAGGAGGAGGAGGAGGAGGAGGAGGAACTGCTTCCATTCTGCGACAATACCTGTAATGCCATCAAACATCCACATCTGCCTATCCCAGGTCCTGGGTAAGGACTCCATAGGTAGACAAAAATGCCAAATCCAGTCTGAACATCTGGTTGACTGTGTGATGATCCATAATACTAATACTAATAATACTAAAGTTGGAAGGCACCTTGGAGGTCATCCAGTCCAACCCCCTGCTCAGGCAATAATAATAATAATAATACTGTAATTAATAATTAATAATATTTGGGTTGGGGGTGGGGGTCTCTGGGATCTGGGAATGCACCACCGTTGCTCCGGCAAGGCCTGTCCCCCTGCCCCAGAATGTGCAATCTGGGGGTCCTCCCGGACTCCCCCCTCCCACGCTGTCCTCCCCCAGCGCTTCGGCAGGGCCGGGCCGTGGTCGAGGAGCCCCGAAAGGGGACACCAGACCCCAAAACTCCCGGGAGGGGCAGAGACGGGTGGAGAGGAGGGGGGAGGGAAAGAAAAGCAACGCATTAAACACGCGAGTGGGTTCACACGACCCTCCAAACCCAACAGGGAGAGAAAGAGAGGGGGGGAGCAGGCGGGGAAGCCCCTCCCTTCCTTTCTCCGGCGCGCAGAACTACCACGCCCACAATGCATCGCGCGGCGGGCCAAGATGGCGGCGGCACCGTCGTGGCTGCTGCTGCTGCGGCTGCTGCTCCGCCTGCTGCGTCCGGGCGCTGGGTGAGTCCGCGGGGGCTGGGAGCGGGGAGGGGGGGGAAGTCGCGAGCTAAGACCCCCCCCAGAAGGCCCCTTTACCGCCGCCCTCCCCCACCCAAGCGGTTTAGGGGAGCCCCCTCCCCAATCCGGAGGGCGCCCGCTTGGCGACGGGCTCCCGGGCCGCCTCTTGTCGCAGAAAACGGGGGGGGGGCGAGAGAGGGGAGGGGGGCAGCCAGAGGGGGCTCAACTTGCACCCCTGGCCTTGGGGGTGGGGGGTGGGAGGTGGGGGGATCTCTTGGGGGCCGACTCCGGCTTTGGGGGGGGCTGTGAGTGGGTGGGTGGGGGGTGGGTTGCAGCTGGGGGTCCCAAGGGAGCCCCCAGACCCGGGACGCCCCCCCCTTGGATCAATTCCTTTCCCCCGGGGAGGGCTTCAAAGGTTAATTAATGAATGAATTTTCAGGCTTTCAAGATTGCAAACCTCGGAACGTTTGGCCGCTTTGGCTTTTTGTGAGCCGCCTGGCGGCCCGAAAGGCGGAGTATCCAAATCGGGGGGGGGGGTCCCGGGAGGAGGAACAGCTGCTCTCCTGCCCTCCCCCCTGCGGGCAGGCTGATGGAGGGCAAGGTGGGCAGCCTGGGGAGGCCAGGCGGAAGCCAGGATCGATCCCAGGGTAAGGATTCCCCCCCCCCACTCCGAGGTTGTATCCTGACTCCCCCCTCGGAGTCCATTCCCTCCCTTTTGAGCCCCTAAAAATGCCCCCCCCCAACTGTCCTGTGCGCAGAAGAGCTGGACTTTGGAAGGGGAGGGGGCTTGTCCAGCCCACTCCCACTCATTTGCCCGTCCTCATGTCCCTGCGGGTCAGAACGGCTGCTGCTCCCCTGGATCCTCTGTGCAGCGTTTGGGGTGGGTGGTGATGTTTGTGGCTCAGGGATGGATGAACTGGGGGGTCCTTGGTGCTCTCTGGGCTTGGAGGTTTTCTTGCAGACGTTTCATGACCCAACTAGGGAACCCCATCAGGGCTAGAAGGGAGGGGGGATTGCAGAGAGGAGGAGGAGGACGACAATGATGACTGGGGGTCTTTGGTCCTCTTGTTTTCTTGCAGATGTCTCATTGCCGAAGTAGGTAATATCATCAGTGTTAGAAGGGGGAGGGTAACCATGTGCACTGGTGATGATACCTAGTTAGGTCATGAAACGCCTGCAAGAAAACCACCAAGCTCAGAGACCACCCAGATCCCACAGTCCTTTCCTCTTCCTCCTCCTCCTCCTCCTCTCTCCACAGACCCCACTCCCTTCTAGCACTAGTGATGTTACCTAGCTGGGTCATGAAACATCTGCAAAAAAAACCACACCCATCTCAGAGAGCACCAGGGACCCCACAGTCCTTTCCTCCTCCTCCTCCTCCTCCTCCTCTCCTCCTTTTCCTATTTCCTCTCCTCCTTTCCCTATTTCCTCTCCTCTCCTCTCCTCCTTTCCCTATTTCTTTTCCTCTCCCTATTTCCTCTCCCTATTTCCTCCTTTCCTATTTTCTCTCCTTTCTCTATTTCCTCTCCTCTCTCCCTATTTCCTCTCCTCTCCCTATTTCCTCTCCTTTTCCTATTTCCTCTCCTTTCCTTTCCCTGTTTCCTCTCCTCTCCCTATTTCCTCTCCTCTCTCCCTATTTCCTCTGCTCTCTCCTCTCCTCCTTTCCATATCTCCTCTCACCTCCCTATTTCCTCTCCTCTCTCCCTATTTCCTCATCTCCTTTCCCTATTTCCTCTCCTCTCCCTATTTCCTCTCCTTTTCCTATTTCCTCTCCTTTCCTTTCCCTATTTCCTCTCCTCTCCCTATTTCCTCTCCTCTCTCCCTATTTCCTCTGCTCTCTCCTCTCCTCTCTTCCTTTCCATATCTCCTCTCACCTCCCTATTTCCTCTCCTCTCTCCCTATTTCCTCTCATCTCCTTTCCCTATTTCCTCTCCTTTCCCTATTTCCTCTCCCTCTCCTCTCCTCTCCTCTCTCCTTTCCTTTCCTATTTCATTTCCCTATTTCCTCCCCTCCCCTCCCCTCCCCTCCGTGCTCTCTAAGCCTCTAAGGTTTTCTTGCAGATGTTTCATGACCCAAATTAGGCAGCAACTTCCAGCACTGGTGATGCCCCTTAATTTGGGTCCTGAAAGGTCTGTGAGAAAACAGCCAAGGGCAAAGAGCACCAGGGACCCTCATTTCCACCCTGAGCTACGGATGTTCTCCTTTATTTTATCGGTTTCCTGCAGCTATTTTGGGAAATAGTGGTAAGTAGCCAGTTGAGGGTAACAACTATAAGTTATTTCCATTCAAGGACTAAGGTCAAATCCTTATTGTGGTCATAGACCAGCGTAGAAAAGATAAATTGCAAACAGTCATTTTAAAAGCGAAAATATATATATAAAATACGTGAAATTAAAATATACATTGCGTTCTTGATATAGCTCTATGCCAGCAATACTTGAGGAATGTCTGCGTCTCTCCCCAGGCAGCTGATATTTCCAGGAAATTCTCCTCTACATATAGGACATTAAAGGACAATTTTCTGAAATGCCGTCAGTGATCCAAATCCAAATTTTTTCAGAACAGTTTTATGCCAAGACTTCACTAATTGATCCCTAATAGCAGTTTTACTACGCACGTTTTAAAGAGCGAGACTTACAAAGATACAGAGGCTTCTTTCTGCCTTTTTCCTGGCTGCATAAAATATAGAAACGAAAATATACGCTCTGTTCATTTTTTTTTCTTTCATAATAGGACGGCGTATTTTTTTCCTCATCAGATTGGGAAAAAATAAATCTGTGAGTAAAAATTGAGGCCAAATCCTTTTCAAATGAGAGTCTGGCCTAAATTCTACCCGTTGCACTCCTGCCATTTCCTTTTTTTTTTTTTTTTAATATATTTTATTTTATTTTTTAGGATAATTACCATTAATATTTGGTAAACAGTGTGTTGTCTGGGTTTATATTTACAAACAATAACAATTAGTTTCTATAATTCCATACTCCACAGAATAGCTTTCCTTGATTTCTTCCAATAATAGTCTCTTTTATCAACCTTAAATTAATACATTTCTTCGTATTTTAGTAGATAAAATACGAATGTAAACATAAGTCAGGCACGTATTATCATGTTTGGTGGACTTATGATAAAGTAAAGAATTATTGCAATAATAATAATAATGTTGGAAGGGAACTTGGAGGTCTTCTAGTCCAGCCCCCTGCTTAAGCAGGAGAACCTATACCATTTCAGACAAATGGCTGTCCAGTCTCTTCTTAAAACCTCCAGTGTTGGAGCATTCACTGCTTCTGGAGGCAGGTTGTTCCACTGGTTAATTGTTCTCACTGTCAGGAAGTTTCTCCTTGGTTCTAGGTTGCTTCTCTCTTGATTAGTTTCCATAGATACATACTTGGCTAGAAAAGATGTTGGGAGAACATGTAGACTTTAAACCTGAACTTTTTTTATTAGCTATAATACCAGAAAAGACTAATAGACAAAGCTTTTATTTGATTTTGCATGTTACAACAGCGGCAGGAATTATATTTGCACAATATTGGAAAAATGAAGGAATACCATCAGATGAAGAAATAATCAAAAAAATACTAGAATGCGCAGAGATGGACAGACTGACTATGAGACTGAAAGAAAAAGAAGAAACAAAATATTATAAAATTTGGGACTTATTTTATCGATGGCTAGAGGAAGGAATTAAATATGTATTCGCGAATGTAAACTCAGACAGCACGTTGGTTGAAAAATTATGGGAAAAAAATAAAAACTTCTACAAAAAACCCCAATTGAATGTAGACATTTTTCTAGTATTTCTGCAAGTAACAACCACATCAATATGAAGCTGCTTTTCTAAAAAAAAAGCTGCACTCCTGCCATTTAAATTTAGTTTGGTTGCAAGTAATCCGAGGACATTGGTGAGTGATGATCAGGTGATCCGTTTAGCCGTGTCCGATTCTTGGTGATTCTCTGGGCCAGATCACATCTTCCGGTCTGAAGTTGGAACTTCCAGTTCTTCTATGCCAGGGATAGACAACCTTTTATGACTGGTGGACTTCAACTCCCAGAATTCCTGAGCCAGCATGGGGGAAACTATGGCTGCTTCATGACTTGTGGACTTCAACTCCCAGAATTCCTGAGCCAGTATGACTCAGCTTGGAAACCCCCCTTTCCCCTCAGCATGGCTGGCTCAGGAATTCTGGGAGTTGAAGTCTATCAGTCATAAAAGAGCCAAGGTTGCCTATCTCTGGCCTAGGCCTAGGCTGCTTTATGACTCATGGACTTCAACTCCCAGAATTCCTGAGCCAGCATGGCTCAGCTTGGAACCCTCTCCCTTTCCCCTCAGCATGGCTGGCTCAGGAATTCTGGGAGTTGAAGTCCACCAGTCATAAAAGACCCAAGGTTGGCTACCTCTGGCGTAGGCCGAGGCCGCTTTATGACTGGTGGACTTCAACTCCCAGAATTCCTGAGCCAGACAGCTCAGCTTGGAAACCTCTCCCTTTCCCCTCAGCATGGCTGGCTCAGGAATTCTGGGCGTGAAGTCCACCAGTCATAAAAGAGCCAAGGTGGCCTACCCCTGTTCTATGCTCTGGGGTCATGTGTTCCCCTTCTCCAGGAAGTCCTTAACTTACAACAGTTTTTGTTTAGTGACCGTTACAGTTACAACGGCACTGAAAAAAGGAACTTAGAACTGTTGCAGCATCCCCACAGTCAGGTGATCCAAATTCAGACACTTGGCATCTGGTTCATATTTATGACGGTTGCAGTATCCCGGCGTCATGTGATCCCCTGTTGGGACCTTCTGACAAGCTAAGTCAGTGGGGCAGCCAAATTCGCTTAACGACCGTGTGACATGGTCATTAAGCAAATCTGGCTTCCCCGTTTTCTTGGCTCGTCAGAAGATCCCAAAAAGGGATCACATTACCCAGGGACCCTGGAACCGTCACAAGTACAAGTCAGTTGCCAGGTGTCTTGAATTTTAATCATGTGACCGACAGTTGTAAGTCACTTTTTTTAGTGCCTTTGTAACTTCAAACGGTCACTAAACGAAGTGTAATTGGTGGTAAAGCTATCGGTGATCAGTGAAACGGTTCCGATGTGGCCTTTTTTTCTTTCTTTCTCGCAGATTATCAGCATGTGGGAAATAGAGGTCAAATGACACATTCATGATGCCAGCACGTGAGTATAGAAATCTGTTAATTGTCAACGCTGCTAACATCGGATGTTTTTGCATTGACAACAGACGGAAATGTAGCCATCTTTTTCCCTTTCGCTTGTAGAAAGATGATGCTGGGAGGGGGGATGTGAATGAGAGTCTAGCTAGACATAACAACACTAAACTTAGCATGAGAATCAAGGTTATTGAAATAAGATGATAAAGAATTGGCGAGCTGGAGAGGAAGCCCACTCTTCAAGCTAATTGGAGAATGTGATTTATGACTCTTAATTGGAGGAGGGAATTGTGCTTTGATACTTAAACTTCATGATACTAGAACAGGGGTGTCAAACTGCCGGCCTGCGGGCTGGATGCGTCACGTGGAAGCCGTGCCCACCCCATTGCCGGCAATGGCAAAACCGGTCAGATATATTGCGCGACATCATGTGATGTCGCGGGTTTGACATGCCTGTACTAGAATCTCCCTAAAGTAATAAAATAACTTGTACGTATTCTACGAATAAAAGCAACGATTTGTGTGTTACCGTTACGACTGGTTGCATAGTCAGCCGGATATTCAGACTGGATTTGGCACTTTTATCCAGACTAACTGGATAGACTAACTCTGCCCACTGCCGGGAGTTCGATCCTGACTGGCTCAAGGTTGACTCAGCCTTCCCTCCTTCCGAGGTCGGTAAAATGAGGACCCAGAATGTCGGGGGCAAATAAACCGCTTAGAGAAGGCTATTAAGCACCATGAAGTGGGATATAAGTGTAACATCCCTTGTCACAGCATTGACATCTATTGCTGTTGCTATCGGATCCCTCCCAAGGACCTGGAATAGGCAGAAGTGGTGGTGTTGAGGCAGGGGTCTTCCAACTTGGCCCTTTGATGACTTGTGGACTTCAATTCCCAGAATTCCTCAGCCAGGCACGCATGCCTGGATGAGGAATTCTGGGAGTTGAAGTCTAAAAGTCATCAAAGGGCCTACTTTGAAGACCCCTGTGTTAATGTCTTGCCACTGGATGGAAGCTGTTCCAAGTCAAGCCGCCTTTTGCAATTGACTGATGGAGAATTGTCAATGCCGATGGTGTTCAAGTGGTGCTCCAGATGTTGTTATTACGGTTCGTCGCCCAGTCTGCCAGATGTTCAGAACGGATTTGGCATTTTTGTCTGCCTATTGAGTCCTTCCCAAGGACCTGGGACAGGCAGATGTTGGTGTTTGATGGGGATACAGATTTTGTCGCAGGATGGAAGCGGTTCCAAGTCAAGCCGCCTTTTGCAATTGACCGATGGAGAATTTGTCAATGCCGATGGTGTTCAAATGGTTCCCCAGATGTTTTTTGGATTGCATTCGAGGCACTTATTACTACTGGAACTATCTTTTCCACATTCCTTTTGCCACTCTCATTCTCCTTCTATCCAGATGTTTGTATTTTGGGATTTTCTCCAGTTCTTTCAAGTTCTGCAACATCCATTATTCAGACTTTTTTTTTTTCCTGTCTTTCATATCGTTGCTCATGATTATGTATGGGTTCATGGCCCACACTCTGAGAATCCTTGTTTTAGGACATATTTTACTACAGGGAGTCCTCAACGTACGATCACAATTGAGCCCCACATTTTTGTCGTTAAGTGAGACATTTGTTAAGTCGGTTTTGCCCCATTTTACGGCCCTTCTTGCCACAATTGTGAAGGGAATCCCTGCAGTTGTTAAGATGGTCACACAGTTGTTAAGTAAATCCTGCTTCCCCATGGACTTTGTTAGTCAGAAGGTCGCAAAAGGGGATCATGTGACCCCCAGGACAGTGCAACTGTCGTAAGTACAAGTCAGTTGCCAATCATTTGAATTTTATCATTTCATCCTGGGAACACTGCAACAGTTGTAAGTATGAAAATGTAAGTCGCTTTTTTCAGTGCCCTCCTAACTTTGAACCGTCACTAAATGGACTGTTTGTAAATCGAGGACTGCTATCCTGTCCCCCCTCGTCCTTCTCTTCATTAGACTAGACCAGGGGTAGGCAACCTTGGCTCTTTTATGACTCGTGGACTTCAACTCCCAGAATTCCTGAGCCAGCATAGCTGGCTCAGGAATTCTGGGAGTTGAAGTCCACGAGTCATAAAAGAGCCAAGGTTGCCTACCCCTGGACTAGACATACCCAATTCCAGCAACCGTTCCTCATATGTTTCAGCCTCCAGTCCCCTGATCATCTCTGTTGCTCTTCTTTGCACTCTTTCCAGAGTCTCAGCATCTTTTTTACATCGCAGCGACCAAAACTGGATGCAGGATTCCAAGTGTGGCCATACCAAGCTGTTGCAAAGTGGTATTAACACTTCACCTGACTTTGATTCTATCCTTCTGTTAATTGGAAAGCATTTGGGGGAGAAATCCCCGAGGTTCACGTGGCAAGAATTGGTATATTCCAACAACTCTCTGATTCTCTGCCTAAGTTTGCTCTGACTGATGAAGTTGCTTGGATGAGCAAGGGAACATCCCAGATTAACAACATGTGGTCCAGTTGCCATAATTCAACCATTAGATATGGAGGGCTGCTTCCTCCAATACAGGAAACACATCTGGATCTGCTCCCATCTTTCCTTTCCCTACATCAACATTCAACATTTATCCCTTTTTACTATTCTTAACTTCCCCTTTTGATTGGCTGTACACTTTAGTACTATTATTATCATGGTTTATCCCACAGTCTGCCAGATGTTCAGAGCGGATTTGGCATTTTTGTCTGCCTATTAAGCCCTTCCCAAGGACCTGAGACAGGCAGATGTTGATGTTTGATGCAGATACAGATTTTGTCGTAGGATGGAAGCGGTTCCAAGTCAAGCCGCCTTTTGCAATTGACCGATGGAGAATTTGTCAATGCCGATGGTGTTCAAGTGGTGCTCTAGATGTTGTTATGGTTCGTCACTTAGCCAGCCAGATGTTCAGAGTAGATTTGGCATTTTTTCCTACCTCTCAAATCCTTACCGACCTATTATTATTATATTCCGTTGTTTTGCAAGTATACTGAGTGCTTCCGTACAAACTCCTTGGGTGTCTAACCAGACATGGCCAAATAAAGAAGATTAATAAAATAAAACAAAGTGGCTGCAAGAGAAAAAAAGCCAGGCTATTAAAATCCAGGTCATTTAAGGCCAAAATCTGGATCCCCCGGGGAGGCATTGCACTCACCTCTGTTGCCACAGCAAAGCCAAGCCAAACTTCGGAGCTGGCAACTTTTAATGATGATTAGAGGTTTCAGGAGCAGCCGTCGTAACCTTTCTTCCCGAGCAGTTTGCCGGACGTGTTTTGACTTGTTGGGAAGCTTGTTATTCACCGCTCTTCCTGGGCTGCGCGGAATAAACGCCGCATCCCTGCGTGTCCTTTCTGCGGACGGACACTGTCACTCCGGTCGTGAATCGCCCTGGAGAAGGAACAGGCCACGAGACCCTGGCCGGTTTCTGCTTTCCAGGGTCCTGCATTATTAACGGGAATTGCACACGTGGCCTCGGTCTGGCGCCCGGCAAGCCTGGGTATCGATGTCAAAGGCGGATTGAATTGTCGGTGTCCGAATTCAGCGATGCTCCAGCGCAGGCTGAAAGGACACCGGAGGAGAGTCGGGGGCATCCACAAGGCTGAATGACACAAGCTGGCAAAGATGAGGACCTACGTGGCTGTTCCTGTAGCTGAGCCAGATACTTCTTACACTTACAACCCCGCCTGGGAACCGGGACCCTGCACGTGTTTCGGTAGGTGACACGTCTCTTCTTCAGTTGAAGACCTTGATGGGAGACCAGCTTCTTCCAAAGTCAGGAGAGCAGCAAGGCTACACAAGAACTGAGTTTGTGCAGTTTCCTGGTTGTTTGCTGTGGCTGTGCAAGAAGCAGCTAACCTGTTGGCAGCCTGGAAGATAGTGAGGGTTTTAACCCCATAGACTGGGAGGGTGGGCAACGATGGTCCTTTGACGACCCGTGGACTTCAACTCCCAGAATTCCTATGGCTGGCTCAGGAATTCTGGGAGTTGAAGTCCACAGGTGGTCAAGGGCCCATCGTTGCCCACCCTGTCCAGATAAGCAGTGGGGCAGGAATGGGGGAGAGAAGGCAGCACACCAAGTGGAGGACAACCGGATTTATTATTTGCCAAAGTCTTCAAAAACCAGCTTGCTCATTTGCAAAAAAAAATAAATTGGTTTATGTTTTTTGCAATGTCTGATTAAAAAAAAAAATGAGCGAGAGTTTTACACTTCCACAATCGCTTCGTTCTGGCTAACGAACCTGAGAGCGTGAAATTCACCCCCCAGAACTTCTCCCATCCTGCACTGTGAAATAATCTTACCGACCTAACAGAAAGGTAGGTTTTGATGGAGCAAAGAGCCCCATGTGTCCCTGGAGGAGAGATGCTCCAATACAGTGGAAACAGTTTCTTCTAGGACAGTGTTTCCCAAACTTGACAATTTTAAGGCATGAGGACTTCAACTCCCAGAATTCCACAGCCAGCGTTGCTGGCTGTGGAATTCTGGGAGTTGAAGTCCTCATGCCTTAAAATTGTCAAGTTTGGGAAACACTGTTCTAGGATATTGGTGCATTCGCTCTGGGCTGAAAAGAATCTTTGCTTTTTTTCCTGAGACTGCATTTTTTAAAAAAAATATTATTATAATTCGATTTACAATGGCTGAATTTTTCGGGGAGGGAGCTGAGAAACATCCTGCAGTTATTTTTCCCTTTGCAAGTTCGCCAACAGATGCTTTCATTTCTTGAGAATGAAGAAGCCGTTTTGGCGGTTAGCGTAAAGCGAAGGTCCCTAACCTTTTGGCCACCAGGGACCGCTTCTGTGGAGAAAGGTTTTGCCATAGACCGGAGAGTGTGCGTGGTTTTGTGTGAATCCTGCATCCCAGGGATGAGGCTTTGATTGTTTCTGTGGGCCGGTTGCTGGCATGCCACAGACCGGTACCAGTCCACGGACCGGAGGTTGGGTACCCCTAGCGCAGTGTTTCCCAAACTTGACCATTTTAAGGCATGTGGACTTCAACTCCCAGAATTCCACAGCTAGCATTGCTGGCTGTGGAATTCTGGGAGTTGAAGTCCACATGCCTTAAAATTGTCAAGTTTGGGAAACACTGCCCTAGCGTAAAGAGCTCCAGTTTTTCTTAAAAAAAATAACAAAACAAAGATCATTGGCAGATCCCTCCCTCCCATCCAGGACATGGCACAGAAGCGCTGCTTGAGTAGGGTCCGTAAGATTATCTGGGACACGACACATCCTCTCCATGACCTGTTTTCCTTGTTCCCTTCTGGGGGGCTTCGTGGTATCCGTAGCAGAACATCCAGATTCAGCCAGAGTTTCATTCCATACAGCATCAACCTTGCGAACTCTCTAGCTTCCTCCTTCCGTTATATATTCAAGATGGACAGTGTTTAATATTTATTTGCTACGTATATCTAGGGATGTGGGTCTATACATATGTTGTTCATAGTATGTTTAGGTGTGTTTCATAGTATGTGTTTCACTTTGAGAGCGGGCGATTAAATTTCATTTTGGATGTGTGCCGTTGTGCCCACCGTAAAAAAAAATGACAATCAAGGTGATCTTATCTTCTCTCTTATCTAACAAAAACACCTTATTTGATCTGTTCTACCACAATCGTGGCCAGGGGGTTGAGTTATTAGTGCGAGGCACATCTGGAGACAGCGGTTGGGCACGCTGAAATGCAGCTGCTGTGGGCCAGCTTTATTGCCATCTTCACCCATCTTTATCTTAGGAATATCTGTTATCAAGCAGAGTTTGATGTGACTTTCGGGAAAGGCTTCTGCTTTGAAGGTGGCTCTGAGGAACAAATAGGTTGCTGGACTCATTTGGGATTTTTCTGGACAGTCACTTGTCTGAGATGGTATAGGTTCTCCTGCTGGAGTGGGGGCTGGACTAGAAGACCTCCAGGGTCCCTTCCAGCTTCTATCCTATCCTATCCTATCCTATCCTATCCTGCTATTCTATTCTATTCTATTCTATTCTATTCTATTCTATTCTATTCTATTCTAGTAGTAGTAATAGTAGTAAAGTAAAGTTGGAAGGGACGTTGGAGGTCATCTAGTCCAACCCCCTGCTCAGGCAGGAAACCCTATACCATTTTGGACAAATGGCTGTCCAGTCTCTTCTTAAAAACTTCCAGTGTTGGAGCATTCACAGCTTCTGGAGGCAGGTGGTTCCACTGGTTAATTGTTCAAACTGTCAGGAAGTTTCTCCTTAGTTCTAGGTTGCTTCTCTCCTTGATGAGTTTCCATCCGTTGCTTCTTGTCTTTGCCTTCAGGCGCTTTGGAGAATAGCTTGACTCCCTCTTCTTTGGGGCAGCCCCTGAGATATTGGAAGATTGCTATCATGTCCTCCCTAGTCCTTCTCTTTGTTAAACTGGACATACTCAATTCCAGCAACCGCTCCTTATATGTTTTAGCCTCCAGTCCCCTAATCATCTTTGTTGCTCTTCTCTGTATTCTATTCTATTCTATTCTATTCTATTCTATTCTATTCTATTCTATTCTACTCTACTCTACTCTACTCTACTCTACTCTACTCTACTCTACTCTACTCTTCTGTTCCTGGTTGACTAGATACCCTTTGAACGTCTGCACATTTTTTCCCACAGGGTCTTTCACTCTGAGTGTGGCGTTTAGAGAAAGAATTCCTTGATTTCCCGGAGGCTTCCCAATTGATGCATGTTGTCCACTGCCAGGATTAGACTCTCATTCTCTGTGGTGATTTAGGGGTCCACCTACACGTTCACAAGTTATCCTCTACTTAACAACAATTCATTTAGTGACCATTGAAGTTGCGATGGCGTTAAAAACAGTGACTTATGGCTGCTTTTCATGACTTACAGCCCTTGCAGCCTCCCCAGGGTCCAGTGATCAAAATTCAGACACTTGGCAACTGACTCGTCTTTATGACGGTCACGGTGTCCCGGGGGTGTCACGTGATCCCCTTTTGCATCAATGGGCGAAGCCAGACTCACTTAACAACCCGTGTTAGTAACTTAACAAGGGCAGTGATTCACTTAACAACTCTGGCAAGACCGGTCGTAAAACGAAAGTCACTGAACAGGAGGAGAGTCAGCCAAGCCTCATGGGGCAGTGTATATAAGTCTAAATCAGGGGTTCTCACCCTTGGCCACTTTAAGACTTGTGGACTTCAATTCCCAGAATTCCTCAGCCAGCATGGCTGGCTGAGGAATTCTGGGAGTTGAAGTCCACAAGTCTTAAAGTGGCCAAGGGTGAGAACCCCTGGTAAATGCTAACGCGATTGTTGTTGTTAACAACTGCTAACCAAACTCACTTAACCGCCCTCTGAGAAACTTTGGCCTCGGTCGCTGTCGTAAGTCGAGGACAGCCTGGGTGCTGCTCCCACACATTGTCTGTCTGACGCCACGGAAAGCAAGCGTGAAGGTGAACTCGCTCTGCTTTCGGATGCAGCTCTTCCCTGTCGGAAAGCGGTTGCAATTCCCAGTGGTTGCCCAACTGCCCTTTCACTGCCTGGGGAGACTTGGGCGTGTGTGTGTGTGTGTGTGTGTGATGCCAAGCCAGGTGGCACCCCTTCCTGCACCCCGTAAACGTGCAAAGGGCAGAGCTCTCCTCTGGGTTGCAGAAGAAAAATGCATGGATGTCTCTTTCGCTCCTCCTCACGGCCCTTTTCTCCCCCCCCCCCTTGCAGGCGTCTGCTGCTGCTGCGCGGCCCTGCGCCCGCGATACAAGCGCCTGGTGGACAACATATTCCCCGAGGACCCCAAAGTAAGTGGGGGAGGCCTCCCGGCGGCCCCCGATCGGCGGGCTCTGGCGCTGGGCCGCTCCGACGTGGCGGGGAAGCCTCTGCGCATTGGCGGAGATCGGCCCGGTTCTTTTTTTTAATTTGAGGGGTCGATTCTCAGGTGGTTGATGCTCTGGGTGGTTCTCTTGGCTGGGTCTCCGCGTGGGGGGAGCAGGGGCCGTCTGCCCCCCCTCCCCCATGGGGGCTTTGGTTGGGGGGAATGACTGTCTTTCTTTTTGAAAGGCCAGCTATACAAGCGCCTTGGCCTTTCAGAGTCCCTTCTGACCTGCTCAGGGTTAAGAAGCAGGTTTTCCCTTCCGCTCGATCCCAGGAGCCTTGGAGGGTTCTTTAGAACAGGTGGCAGACCTAAGCAAGGGTCCTTCCTTCCCTCCCTCCCTCCCTCCCTCCCTCCGTCCCTCCCCTCCAATTCTTCCTCCCTCCCTCCCTTCCTTTCCTCTTTCCTCCCTTCCTCTCCCTCCCCTCCAATCCCTCCTCCCTCTCCCTCCCCCTTCCTTCCTCCCTTCTTCCCCCCTTCTTCCCTCTCTTCCTCCCTCCCTCCCTTCCAATCCTCTCCCTTCCTTCCTTCCTTCCTTCCTTCCTTTTTCCCTTCCTTCTTCTCTCCCTCCCTTCCCTCCCTTCCCTTCTTCCCTCCCTTCTTCCTTCTTCCCTCCCTCCCTCTTCTCTCCCTCCCTCTCCCTCCCTTCCTCCCTCCCTTTCTCTCCTCCAATCCTCCCTCCCTCCCTTCCTTTCTTCTTCTCTCCCTTCCTCTCTCCCTCCCCTCCAATCCCTCCTCCCTCTCCCTCCCCTTCCTTCCTCCATTCTTCCCTCCCTTCCTCTCTCCCTCCCCCTTCCTCTCCCTCCCTCTCCCTTCCTTCCTCCCTTCCCTTCCTTCTTCCCTTCCCTCCCTCCCCCTTCCTCTCTCCCTCCCTCCCTCTCCCTCCCTTCCTGTCTCCCTCTCCTCCAGTCCTCCCTCCCTCCTTCCCCGCCTTTCTTTCCTTCTTTCCTTGCTCCCTTTAACAAATGCTTCAGGAACCCGAAGGCTATTTCTACTCCTTTTCTACATTTCTTTGTTTTTCTCCTCCCGCCTTCTCTCTCTGGGGTTGCCAAAGGTCAGCAGCGTCAGACCGTCCTCCCCCTACCATGCCCACTCCTTTGGGGGGGAGGAAGGGGGGCTGAGGCCGATCCTGCAGAATGGGGCGTCCAGGGGGAATCTCCCGAGGCTTAACCCACCCGGATGGTCTCTCGGCTGCCTAGGATGGCCTGGTCAAGTCCGACATGGAGAAGCTGACCTTCTACGCGGTCTCCGCCCCGGAGAAGCTGGACCGCATTGGCGCCGACCTGGCGGAAAGGCTGAGCCGGGATGTCATCCGCCATCGCTACGGGTGAGGCCTCTGGGCGTCCGTGGTCTGCTTCTCAAAGTGTGGCTTTTGACACCCGCCCAGCGGGTATCTTGCAACTTTCAGCACCGGTCTGGATGGGAAAGCGCCTAGAAGCCCTGGAGGGTTCTTGGAGGTCTTCTAGTCCAACCCCCGGCCCAAGATCATAGAAACATAGGACTGGAAGGCACTCTAAAGGTCTTCTAGTCCAATCCCCTGCCCAACATTATAAAAACGTTGGTCTGGAAGGGACCTTAGAGGTCTTGTAGTCCAACCCCCTGCCCAGGATCATAGAGTCATACAAACGGCTGGAAGGGCCTTTGGAGGTCTTCTAGTTCTATCCTGTGCCCAGGATCATAGAGCTGGAGGGGAATTTAGAGATCTTCTAGTCCAACCCTCTGCCCAGAATCATAGAAACATAGGACTAGAAAGCACTTTAAAGGCCTTCTAGTCCAACCCCCTGCCCAAGATCATAGAAACATAGGTCTGGAAGGGACCTTGGAGGTCTTCTAGTCTAACCCTGTGCCCAGAATCATAGAAACATAGGGCTGGAAGGGATCTTGGAGGTCTTTTAGTCCAAACCCCTGATCATAGAGTCATAGAAACAAAGGGCTGGAAGGGACCTTGGAGGATCATTTAGAAACAAAGGGCTGGAAGGGACCTTGGAGGTCTTCCAGTCCAACCCCCTGATGATAGAGTCATAGAAACAGAGGGCTGGAAGGGTCTTGGGAGGTCTTCAACCCCCTGCCAGAGCAGGAAACCTTATTGCTTTCCCCTTATTCTTTCAGAGAGAGGAAAAAAATCCCTTTCCTCTTATCTTTTGGGACCCTGGACCCCTCCTGTCGAAGGGGAGACAGAGCCCGTCCTTCAGGGAGCCTGGCAGAAGAGTCCAGGCTGCTGGATGCGTCCAGATGAGACCCCTGGGGGGGGGGGCTGAGCATCTCTTTCTCTCCCCTCTCCCACCACCCAGGTACGTCTTCATTGCGATGGAAGCCCTGGACCAGCTTCTCATGGCCTGCCACTCGCAGAGCATCAAGCCCTTCGTGGAGAGCTTCCTGCACATGGTGGCCAAACTCCTGGAGTCCGGAGACCCCAAACTGCAAGTCCTGGGAACCAACTCTGTGAGTGAGCTTTCCCTCCCTCCTCAGGGCTTGGCTCCCTCGCGGTCTGGGGCCGCGGACGCCCGCTTCCCACGGGACCCTTGGAGGAAACGGGGTGAAAGAAGGCAGAAACAGGGAGGCCTTTCTTCTGATTTTTCTCCCCCCCTCCCATACAGTGTAAGTCAGGAGTAGGCAACCTTGGCCCTTTTATGACTCGTGGACTTCAACTCCCAGAATTCCTGAGCCAGCATGGGGGAACTATGGCCCCTTGATGACTTGTGGACTTCAACTCCCAGAATTCCTGAGCCAGCCTAACTCAGCTTGGAAACCTCTCCCTTTCCCCTCAGCATGGCTGGCTCAGGAATTCTGGGAGTTGAAGTCCACCAGTCATAAAAGAGCCAAGGTGGCCTACCCCTGGTGTAAGTCCTCAGCTTACAACCACAGCCCAAAACCTCTGTCACTAAGTAAGACATTGTGCCGAGTGAGTTTTGCCCCATTTTATGACCTCCCTCGCCACTGTTGTTAAGTGAATCTCTGCAGTTGTCAAGCTAGTCACACGGTCGTTAAGCGAATCTGGCTTCCCCCATTGACTGTGCTTCTCAGAAGGTCACACAAAAGAGGATTCACCTGGTCCCTGGGACGCTGTGACCGTCATAAATATGAAGCAGTGGCCGAGCATCTGATCATGGGGATGCTGCAAAGGTCATAACTCTGAAAAACAGTCGTAAGTCGAGTCACCATTGTAACCTTTGAACGGTCATTAAAAGAACTTGTCGTAAGTCGAGGACTTACTACCTGTATTCCCCGACTGTTTTGTTCAGCTGACTGAAAGAGACAAAGCTGGATTCATTTAACAACTGCGTTACTAATTTAACAATGGCAGCTATTCACTTAGTGGCGGTGACAAGGAAGGCCGTAAAACGGAACAAAATTCCCTGAAAAATTGTCTCGCCCGGCAACAGAAATTTTGCGCCCTGTTGGGGTTGTAAGCCGAGGACTAACCTGTACTTTCTCCAAGCTCGTCGTTCTGTTGCTAATCTTGCGGCTGGCCTCCTCTGCTTCCCCCCCTCCTGCAGTTTGTGAAGTTTGCAAACATTGAGGAGGACACTCCTTCCTATCACCGTCGCTACGACTTCTTTGTGTCCCGCTTCAGTGCCATGTGTCACTCCTGCCACGACGACCCGGAAATACGGAATGAGTAAGTTGCGTGTGTGAGTGTGAGCTTTCCAATTGTTTCTTAAGTTAGCGAACCAAGAATCTGTCAGAGTGTGCATATTCTTATTGTGCTGGGATAATCCAGGAGTAAACATGGTGGTTTATCTTACACTATCTACTATATACACCAGGAACAATATGCATACATGTGCTAATACAGTAGGATCCAACAAGCCACAGTTACAGCATGAAACGGAAGAGAGAGAACACATCAGCAGAGTCTTCCCTTTTATACAAGGCTCTTAAAGAGACACAGACCCTGCTGATTCATTCTCATCATTACATTACATCTTAACATCTTACATAAGCTGGTTAGTTGTTAAACTATACCTTGACAGAATCTCTCTCCACTGACTCTCAGCCAAGCACAGTTTTCTTTCATTTTATAAGGTAAAATAACCTTTATTGTCACTTTTTTCTGTGAACACACTGGCACACATTAAAAAATGAAATTCTGATACCCAGTCTCAAAAGAATTTGAGAACAGTTAACCGGTGGAACAGAAGTTGCCTTCAGAAGTTGTGTGTGCTCCAACACTGGAGGTTTTTAAGAAGAGACTGGACAGCCATTTGTCTGAAATGGTAGAGGGTATCCTACTTGAGCAGGGAACTGGACTAGAAGACCTCCAAGGTCCCTTCCAATCCTGTTAGTCTAGATTCTGTAAGCGGCAACTTGGGCAATAAAAAAGAGGGCTAGTAACTTATTGCTAAATGTGGGTTGAGGAGCAGCAAATGTTTTGACTTCTGTTGGCGTGTTTTCTGTCCCTCATCCCCACATCACTTCATTAGACCCACTCTTTCTGCCTGCACGGAAGGATTTAATTTAGAAGTAGGATTTGCAGGGCAATTGATCACACATTCACCCGTTCCCTTGAGTTACCCTCTCTAATATTTCTGCCTCTTCCCACAAGAATCCGGATCGCCGGCATCAGGGGCATTCAAGGAGTTGTCCGTAAGACGGTGAATGATGAGCTCAGAGCCACCATCTGGGAGCCTCAGCACATGGACAAGATTGTCCCTTCCCTGCTTTTCAACATGCAGAAGACGGAAGACCTAGATGGGTATGTCTGCCTTGAGGAAGACTGTGTCTTCTTCCCTCATTGAGGTCTCCCTTGACCTTGGTTGATCTCAGTTGACTAATGTTGATTAATCATGACCAATGTTGACCTCTGTTGACCAGTGTTGACCTCAGTTGGCCACTGTTGACCAATGTTTACCACTGGAACTCGGTTGATCTCTGTTGACCAGTGTTCACCATTGTTGAGCTTGGTTGACCAACATTGACTCCTGTTGACCTTGGTTGACCTCTTTGATCTTCATTGACCATTGTTCACTTTGGTTGACTTTTTTTGACCAATGATGACCACTGTTGACCAAGGTTAGCCTCGGTTGACCTCTGTTGACCAATATTGAGCACTATTGCTGTTTCCCTGGGAAACAAAGTGGCAGCAGCCATGAGCAAGGGGCAGCCGAGAAGGAAAGACACTCATGGGAGCCAGATGTCTCCTCTGGGAATCCGTGTGGCCCTCAGCATTAAGCTTGGCAGTCCTGCTCCAGCAGTGTCTCTCTTCCTTCCAGCCGAATTGGACCGCCCGCCTCTCCTTCCGGTGAGAAAGAGGAGAACCCTGCTGTCTTGGCTGAGAACTGCTTCCGAGAACTGCTGGGCCGTGCAACCTACGGGAACATGAGCAACGCTGTCAGGCCCGTCTTTGCGTAAGTGGGGCCCTCCGGAATCTTTGGGGTTTTGCTAGGGGTAAGAGGCGAGCGATGGAGGGCAGCTGCGCCTCCTGACCCAAGGGCTCCTCCCGAGCCATTCTGACTTCTGCTTCGCTCTGGATCCATCCGTGTTTGCAAACTGGACTGGCTCCTAGAAAGAACTAAAAGCAGTGTGGAGTAGTGGAGGGAGTCCAGCCACAGACCGTGCAGCCTCTTGTGGGCCTTGCACCTCGCTGCTTAAACTTTCCCTCTGGAGTTGGCCTTGGAAGGAAATGAATTAGGTCTGGGGTCCTTGGTGCTCTCTGAGCTTGGCGGCTTTTTTGCAGACAGTTCATTACCCAAACTAGGTAACATTATCAGTGATAGAAAGGGGTGGGGTTTGCAGAGAGGAGGAAGAGGAGGAGGAGGAAGAGGAAGAAGAGGAGGCCTATGGAGACCTTGGTGCTCTCTCAGCTTGGCTGTTTTCTTGCAGACGTTTTCATGACCCAACTAGGGAACATCATCAGTGCTAGAAGGGAATGGGGTTCGTGGAGAGGAGGAGGAGGAGGAGGAGGAGGAGGAGGAGGAGGAGGAGGAGGAGGAGGAGGAGGAAGAGGAGGCCTATGGAGACCTTGGTGCTCTCTCAGCTTGGCTGTTTTCTTGCAGACGTTTTCATAACCCAACTAGGCAACCTCATCAGTGCACACCGTAGCACCGATAAATCATTTGTTTTTAACAGGCATTTAGGCCATCACAAACTCTGGGACCCGAATGAATTTGCCGTCCACTGCTTCAAGGTCATCATGTACTCCATCCAAGTAAGTCTTCCCTTGCTGGCTGGGGAATTCTGGGAATTGAAGCCCACACATCTTCGAGTCGCAAGGGTGACCAGTGCTGTTTTAGAGATTCTTCCTTTGACTTTCCAGCTGTTCCTCTGCTTTTTTGGGATGCCCCCAAACCTATTCTGCGACTCCCGTTTCTCGTTTGGATTCAAGAGGCGCAAAAATTCTGGAGCGGGAGGGCAGGGACTTGACTACTACACTGGAACAGGTCCAACCTTGTGCCTCTTTCTTTGTCCTTCCCAGGCCCAATACTCACACAACGTGATACAGGAGATCCTGGCACACCTGGACAGCTGCAGGCGAGATTCTCCCCGCGTCCGAGCTGGGATCATCCAGGTCCTACTGGAGGCCGTGGCCATCGCAGCCAAAGGATCCATCGGTGAGTCCCGTCAGGTCCGCCCGGCATGTGGTTGTGAGAGCTGGTTGGTTGTAGGGATGTGTGATGACCCAGGGCACAGCACAGAGGCAATGCAGTCAGCTAGCAATTCAAACTGTCCTTTAATTGCTCCAATTTTTCCCCAAATGCTCCCACGTTTCTGGCCAGCCTCCAAACAAAGGAAGACACACACACCTTCAGCCGCCTCTGGCTGCAAGTAGTTTCACATACAGTCTGATTAGGAGAGGAATTTACTCAAGGCCACGGAGATAGCAAGGAATGACACATACATCATAAACCTAACCAGTCTGTGTGAATACACGCTTGCCTGAGTGGTTTCAGAAGGGAAGCCAAAATACAGTCCAAGTTCTTTAAACATCCAAGCAACGTTGTCAGCCAGTCCAAGGGTCAGAGTTTCCGGGTTTCCAAGCAGAAGTCACAGAACAAGAGATCAGCAACAACACACACAAAACTCCAAGGAATCAGCATTTGTTCCTGACAAACGCCTCTCCCCACAGCATCTCCTTAAATCTCAGTCTCTGGGTGTACCTTGTGGAGAGGGGCGGGATGCTCTCCTCCCGAGTAGTTGAGCCTGCCTGAGTTTATTATATAATAATAATAATAATAATAATAATAATAATAATAATAATAATAATAATAATGTCCTGGGTAAGGACTCGATAGGTAAACAAAATGCCAAATCCAGTCTGAACATCTGGCTGTCTGTGCGATGATCAACAATAATAATAATAATATAAAAATAAAGTTGGAAGGGACCTTGGAGGTCATGTAGTCCAAACCCCTGCTCAGGCAGGAAACCTATACCATTTCAAACAAATGGCTGTCCAGTTTCTTCTTAAAAACTTCCAGTGTTGGAGCATTCACTGCTTCTGGAGGCAGGTAGTTCCACTGATTAATTGTTCTCACTGTCAGGAAGTTTCTCCTTTGTTCTAGGTTGCTTCTCTCCTTGATCAGGTTCCATCCGTTGCTTCTTGTTCACTTAACAAGGGTCTCGCTTAGCAACAGAAACTTTGGGCTCAATTTGTCGTCCTAAGTCAGGGACAATCTCTACCATTGCTCCCTGTACAGAATGCCTGCCAATTATCCTCCCCCCCGCCGCCCACGGCAGCCACGTGTGGGGGAATAATAATAATAATAATAATAATAATAATAATAATAATAATAATAATAATAAAGTTGGAAGGGACCTTGGAGGTCATCTAGTCCAACCCCCTGCTCAGGCAGGGAACCCATAATAATGATGATGAAGATGATGATGATGTTGAAAGGGACCTTGGAGGTCATCTAGTCCAACCCCCCTGCTCAGGCAGGAAACCCTATAGTACCATTTCGGACAAATGGCTGTCCAGTCTCTTCTTTAAAACTTCCAGTGTTGGAGCATTCACCACTTCTGGAGGCAAGTAGTTCCACTGGTTAATTGTTTGAATGCTAAGAGTTGCTCCGTCAGGGAAGCGTGACGGGAAGGCCCTGGAGTAAGCAGGACCGTGATGGGTGGAATTACCAGAGGCTGGCGTTGCTCAGACGTCAGGGATGGTTAAGGAGGAAAAAAAAAATCACGCCACGTGGAAAGGCTAATTAGAGATGATTGAGGCGGGGATGATGTCTGAGACATCCTGGCTTGTGCTGGCTGAGTTCTGCCAGTCGCGACACGGCGGGATCCCGGATTGAGAGGGAGGCACGTTGGAGGAGGGCAAGAATCGTGGATGTCGGTAGCAAGAGGACCGGGGCACAAATGGCAGGCCAGGACGGCAAAACCTGCCAAGAAGTCGAGAAGGGAGAGGCAGATGGTGAGGAAACGGGTTTTTCCCAGGGCAGAAGGCAGAAAAATGTACTTGCTAATCCCGGTTGGTTTTTCTTTCTTGACTTGAACAGAGAACCGGCTCTAAAGTATCATCCCAAAGATGGTTTTTTAGGAGGCAACTGGATTACCTTCTTTTTCTTTCTTCACTTCTTATCCCAGAAGCTTCTTCGGTTCTGATTGGATGGTGGGGAAGGGAAGGGTTTCTGTCTAGAACTGAAGAAGCTTCTGGGGTGAGAAGCGAAAGGTCTTCGAAGAAAGAACAAAGTCACCTCCTGGAAAAAAAAAAAAAAAGCACCTTTGAGATAACCCTGACCTGGAAGACGGAGACTCTCCAGGGACCTTCTAAAGTAGAACTTATTTCTAGTTTGTCTACTCTTCACTAGGTCATTGAACCTTTTTGATTGGGGGTCCATAACTCTGAACGGTCACTAAACGAACGGTCGTAACTCAAGGACAACTTGCATTTCCTAGCTCGGTTCTTGCTGGCGTCTTTTTCCTCAATGAACATTAGAAAAACCGTCTTGGTAAAAGGCGAAAGATTTATATGATCTGAAGAGAAACCAGAGTATATAACCAGAGATGGACAGATTAACTATGAGGTTGAAAGATAAAGAAGATACAGACTGCTATCAAATTTGGAATTTATTTTATTCTTGGTTGTTGTTGTTGTTGTTGTTAATTGCGAAGTCGTGTCCGACCCATCGCGACCCCATGGACAACGTTCCTCCAGGTCTTCCTGTCCTCTACCATCTTCTGGAGTCCATTTAATTCACACCTACTGCTTCAGTGACTCCATCCAGCCATCTCATTCTCTGTCGTCCCCTTCTTCTATTGCCCTCAATCTTTCCCAGCATTAGGCTCTTCTCCAGTGAATCCTTCCTTCTCATTAGGTGGCCAAAGTACTTGAGTTTCAACTTCAGGATCTGGCCGGGGTTGATCTCTTCTAGGACTGACCGGTTTGAACGCCTTGCAGTCCAAGGGACTCGCAGGAGTCTTCTCCAGCCCCAGAGTTCAAAGGCCTCAATTCTTTTGCGCTCAGCCTTTCTTATGGTCCAACTTTCACAGCCATACATTGCAACTGGGAAAACCATGGCCTGGACTATGCGCACTTTTGTTGGCAGGGTGATGTCTCTGCTTTTTAGAATGCTGTCTAGATTTGCCATTCTTGGTTAGAGAAGAGAATAAAGGACTAGGAAGTGAACATGTATTAGCTTAGCAAATACCAGACAACTTAACATATGTTGATGGGAAAAAAAATTAATAAAAAAGATTGTTAAAAAAAGAAAAAGAAAAACCATCTTGGGTTCCTAACAAGTTCGCCGAGTCAACGGAGAGCTTAGATCAGGAATTCTCACGCTGACGGCTGTCGGCGGTTTGAGCCAGGTGAATAATTCTGGCTTAAAGAGGCATTTCATCGGGTCCTGGCAGCTCCAAGAGCCAGTCTGCCTAGTGGTTAAGGCGCCGAACTAGGGGTGGGAAGGCCCGAGTGCTAGTCCTGCCTCGGGCAAAAGGCTGTTTGTGTGAGTCACTGCCTTTCAGCTGTGGGAAGAACCCGATGCGCCTCTGAAAATGGTTGCTTAGGAAACTGCTCTTGGCTTGTCCCACAGGCCAGTCTGGGCTAAGAGCCAGATGAGAAGCTGGGAAATGAATGAGAGTTAGAATCACAGAGTGGGTTTTATAGATGGCATCTGGATCCTAAAAAGTTGTCTTGTATGTACTCGAACCTGCAACCTAAATGTTGGAGATGTGGTAGTTCTGATGCAACTTATTTTCACGTTTGGTCGACTTGCAAAAATATTAAAGCTTTTTGGATTATGATTTGGTGGACTATTCGAAATGTTTTTAAAAGGAAGATTAAGTTTACTCCCCAATTATTTCTTTTGGGTATTTTTGTGGATTTTGATGTTAACGAAACTATTTTAATGTTGAATTTAATAACAGCAGCAAGATTATTGGTGGGTCAGTGTTGGAAGAAGGATACTCTGCCTTCTTTAGAAGAATGGGTATTTAAGGTTTCCAATTTAGCAGAAATGGCTAAGATTTCTGCTTATGTAAAGGATCATTCACAAGAGAGATATGTTATTGTATGGAGAAGATGGATAGAATATGTTCAGAAGAAATATGGAACTACAAAGTTTCATTTATTTTATGAGTAAGGGATTTGTTTATAAAATTATGATATTAAAGTTTGAATAGAGTTAAGGGTTAGTATGATTTTGGTTGTTGTATAATCAGTAAATTTAAATAGATTATATTTAATATGTTTGTATAACCCTGTACTTGGCTCTGGGAAGTCAGGGTGGGGGGAGGGGGGGTGGGGGGAGGATGGGTTGGAGGTCAGATAGGTCAGATAAGTAGAAATAGTTTTATTCTATATAATATTGATGTTTCAATTTGGAGAGAGGAATTGCTCGGGCATTTCCCCTGGACGGCATCCAAGTGGGATGAGATAGTAGGAAGGGGAGAAGTAAGTAGGAAGGTTGAGGAGGAGGAGGAGAGGAGGAGAGTAAGGAAGAAGAGGGAGGAAGAGGGAAGTGAGAGAAGAGGTTAGAGGGTGGATGCAGTTTGGGGGGAAATGGGTGAGCAATTCCGAAAGTTGTGTGTATAAATTTATTTTATTCTTTATCTGAAGTATTTTTTATGATGTAATGAAAAACTGAAAATAAAAAATTTTGCAATATAAAAAAAAAGAATCACAGAGTGGGAAGGGACCTTGTAGGTCATCTAGTCCAACCCCCGCCCAAGCAGGAGACCCGACGCCAGGGATCTTCAAACTTGGCCCTTTTATGATGTGTGGACTTCAACTGGGTTTTTTTTTTGTAGATGTTTCATGACCCAACTAGGGAACATTATCCGTGCTAGAAGGGAGGGGGCTTTGGGCTCTGATCTCGGCTTGGTTTGAGTCCAAACACAAGGGGAAAAAGTGGGAGATGGTGAGTTCTAGTCCCTCTTTAGTGATGGAAGCTGGCTAAGAAGAAGTGAGGTGGCTTGGGCTGAGAGAGAGGGACTGGCCCAGAGCCACCCAGCCGGCTTTCATGCCTAAGGCGGGACTAGAACTCACTGTCTCCTAGTGATTGGCCCAAAGGCACCCAGCCAGCTTTCATGGCTAAGGCGGGACTAGAACTCACCGTCCCCTGGTGATTGGCCCAAAGTCACCCAGCTGGATTTCATGCCTAAGGCGAGACTAGAACTCACCATCTCCTGGTGATTGGCTCAAAGTCACCCAGCTGCTTTCATGCCTAAGGCAGGATTTGAATTCATGGTCTCCTGCTTTCTTGCCTGAAGCCTTAGCCACTAGACTTTGGGCCAATCACCCGGAGACGGTGAGTTCTAGTCCTGCCTTAGGCATGAAATCCAGCTGGGCAACTCTGGGCCAGTCACTCTCTCCCAGCCCAACCCACCTCACAGGGTTGGTGTTGTGGGAAAAAATAGGAAAGAAGAAAACATGTTTGTCACTTTGAGTTATTTGTAAAAACAATAAAGGCAGGATAAGTAAACTTTTTTTTTTTATCATGCTGTGTTGGGCAGGGCCCACCGTCCTGGAGGTTTTCAACACCCTGCTGAAACACCTGAGCCTCAGTGTGGACTTTGAACTGGGCAGCGGGAGGGACCTTCACGGCAGCGCTGCCCCCACCGCCCCCTCCAAGGAGAACGACGAGCGCATCGTCCAGAACGCCATCATCCAGACCATCGGTGAGTTTCAAGTGCTTAGTCTCACCTTGCATCTTTTTTTATTATTATTATTATTTGTACCTTCTCATCCCCTTGGGGCAAAATAGCCCCCCCCTCTAGTTGTTCCTCTCTGTGACCACCGCATAATTCAAGTCAACCCAACTGCATCCAGTTTTGGTCACCACAATGCAAAAAAGATGTTGACTCTAGAAAGAGTACAGAGAAGAGCAACAAAGATGATTAGGGGACTGGAGGCTAAAACATATAAGGAACGGTTGCTGGAATTGGGCATATCTAGTTTAATGAAGAGAAGGACAAGGGGGGACATGATAGCAGTCTTCCAATATCTCAGGGGCTGCCATAAAGAAGAGGGACTTAAGCTATTTTCCAAAGCACCTGAACGCAGGACAAGAAGCAACGGGTGGAAACTAATCAAGGAGAGAAGCAACCTAGAACTAAAGAGAAACTTCCTGACAGTGAGAACAATTAATCAGTGGAACAGCCTGCCTCCAGAAGCAGTAAATGCTCCAACACTGGAAGTTTTTAAGAAGAGACTGGACAGCCACTTGTCCGAAATGGTGTAGGGTTTCCTGCCCGAGCAGGGGGTTGGACTAGATGACCTCCAAGGTCCCTTCCAACTTTACTAATATGAATATAAATGTTATGGCTGACACAAGTATTATCATCATCATCATCATTCATAATCATATAGTCATAATCATAAAATTGGAAGGGACCTTGGAGGTCATCTAGTCCAACCCCCTGCTCTGGCAGTAAACTCTAGACCAGCGGTTCTCAACCTGTGGGTCGGGACCCCATTTGGGGTCAAACGACCATTTCACGGGGGTCGCCAAACAAGGCTGTCTGCCATTTTCCCCCCCTTTTCTTTGGCCACGCCCCTGGCACCCGGTGATGTATAAGTGGTTGGGGGTCACCACAACATGGGGAACTGTATTATGGGGTCGCGGCATTAGAAAGGTTGAGAACCACTGCTCTATACCATTTCGGACAAATGGCTGTCCAGTCTTGATGACCAGGAATTAGAGGACAGTATGAATTGTGAATACATATCGATGGCTTCTCTCTCTTTGGTCACTTGTAATCCTGGATGCAGGGTCAGGAAAGGACAGCAAGGACAACTCCCAATGTCCTAACCCACCCAAGAACATACGATATCTTTAAGGAACACTCAAATGGGAACCTGTTTAGCTACTTCTGCTTTCTCCCTCCTTATCTACAGTGTGTCAGACTTAACTGGGTGCAATCTTTATCTTATGTGTGTCAGCTTTTCTGGATGGGTTGCTTATGTAATTATACAGAATAAATACAAGGATTTCTTGTCATTTGTTGCTCCGGCAACCGGCGAGGACGGTTTCTTCTTACACACGGTTGGGTAAGTCCAGATGCTGGCCAGGCTCACCCTGGGGAGTTAGTACCAGGATCTCATCCAGATGGTCCCCAATTTCCCAGTACCTCTTTAGGAATTTGAGGCTCCAGCATCCATATATAGAATATGCAAGGGTGGGTTAAGCTTTTGAATGTAACAAATTGCTGGATCTGCACACATATACCCCCACTGGTACACGTGGATTGGTCATGGAAACTACACTGTTAAAAATGCTATGGCGGCCACACCCTCTGCCCGCGCCCTGCAGCATCAACTGCATGATGGGGCGCGAGGGCAGAGTCTTGTCTACACTGCCTGGCTGCCATGTCCTTGACTGCGCTGCTCCGTGTGGGCCACGCTCGGGGAGACTCTCCTTCAGGGGGGCTGCTGGAGAGGAGGGGGTCGTGGGGGGAGGCAAGGTTGGGGTAACGGCACGTGGGCTCCGAGTGCGCCTCTGGCATCCATGCCATAGGTTCTCCACCACTGGGATATACCATTTCAGACAAATGGCTGTCCAGTCTCTTCTTAAAAACTTCCAGTGATGGAGCATTCACAGATTCTGGAGGCAGGTGGTTCCACTGGTTAATTGTTCGCCCTGTCAGGAAGTTTCTCCTTAGTTCTAGGTTGCTTCTCTCCTTGATAAGTTTCCATCCGTTGCTTCTCGTCCTGCCTTCCGGTGCTTTGGAGAATAGTTTGACTCCCTCTTCTTTGGGGCAGCCCCTGAGATACTGGAACTCTGCTATCATATCACCCCTCATCCTTCTTTTCCTTAAACTAGACCAGGGGTAGGCAACCTTGGACCCTTCATGACTCGCGGACTTCAACTCCCAGAATTCCTGAGCCAGCATGGGGGAACTATGGCCCCCTCATGACTGGTGGACTTCAACTCCCAGAATTCCTGAGCCAGCATGGGGGAACTATGCCCCGCTTTATGACTGGTGGACTTCTACTCCCAGAATTCCTGAGCCAGCATGGGGGAACTATGCCCCCCTTCATGACTCGTTGACTTCAACTCCCAGAATTCCTCAGCCAGCCATGCTGAGGGAAAGGGAGAGGTTTCCAAGCTGAGCCATGCTGGCTCAGGAATTCTGGGAGTTGAAGTCCACCAGTCATAAAAGAGCCAAGGTTGCCTATCCCTGAACTAGACATACCCAGTTCCAGCAACCCAATTTTGCAAACCATGTCCAAACCTTGAAACTTGGTCTACAAAGAAGGGTCCAGGGTCCAGCCCCTTCTCCTTCCTCTTGCAGCTGTTCCCCCATTTCCTTGGGCACCAATAGTTAATATGTCTCTCCTTGCATATAATTAAGCCGTGCCCCTTTTTTGTGGGGGGGGGGGTGACTAAAATATTGACCTACAGGCTGAATCAGATGCAGCTCCAGCTTATACGCAAAGAAGGCACATAGGCTATAATTAAGAGTGTTTCTAGTTTCTTATTTGGATTTTTTAAAAAAACTATTTCTAAGGCAGCGTTTCCTGATATGGCTCTTAGGTAATTCTGGATTAGGAGGAACTAGGAAGGATCCGGGGATGGCCTGGCATTCATTTCCTGATTTTTAAGGGGGTGTTTCTCAATCATGTCAACTTTAAGATGGGTGGGGGCTTCAACTCCCAGAATTCCCCAGCTAACGTTGAGAAACGGGTTTTTTTCCCCCGCCTTCTATTTTTATTTTATTTTAAAAATAAAACAAAATACAAATAAAAAACTTTCAAAAAAACCAGGCAAAAAACACAAACAAATAAAACAAGAGACATAAAAAATTCATTAAAAAAACCTAATACATACACATATCATTCCCTCCCCAGTTGAATACTAACAGGTTACAAGAATAACCTTGGGAAACAGCCTTTCCTCCCTCCCTCAAATTTTAAACTACTAAATCAATTTGCAATTGATTAGTTGAGAGGTAGGCAACCTTGGCCCTTTTATGACTGGTGGACTTCAACTCCCAGAATTCCTCAGCCAGCCTCCATTTTGTTTGTTAGATTGAAGACAGGAGTCTTCAAACTTGGCCCTTTTATGACTGGTGGACTTCAACTCCCAGAATTCCTGAGCCAGCATGACTCGGCTTGGAAACCTCTCCCTTTCCCCTCAGCGTGGCTGGCTCAGGAATTCTGGGAGTTGAAGTCCACGAGTCATAAGAGAGCCCAGGTTGCCTACCCCTGGATTAGCCTATAAACTATATTAGAGCAAATGGTTAACAGGAAGATCAATCAAAATAGGAAGGACGAGATTAAAATTTCAAGGCCCTCTGTTACCAAAGTGGTACATAAAAATAAAAAAAATGCAGGAATCCACAGAAGGGGGGGGGGATGACCGGGCTGGGGAATTCTGGGAGTTGAAGTCCACCCATCTTAAAATGGCCGAGGTTGAGGGACTGTTTTTTAAGGAATTGTTTTTAAAAATTGTCCCAAGGACTTCACAAGAGATGTGGAAATTCCTGCCCATTATTCTTGCATTCCCTGTCTTAGGAATGGCTGGAAGGGTTTCACCCTCGCTTTGTTTTTCGTTCCCCCCGTAGGTTTCTTCGGAAGCAACCTGCCCGATTACCAGCGGTCGGAGATCATGATGTTTATCATGGGGAAAGTCCCCGTCTTTGGGGTGACCTCCCAGACCTTGGACACCAGCGAGCTTGGGTTCGTGTCCCTGTTTGTGTTCTGTTTTCCTTTCTGCAAGCGGGTATTAATAAGAGTAGAGCCGTGGTGGCCCAGGGGTTAGAAGGCAGCATTGCAGGCTGACTCTGCCCACTGCCAGCAGTTCGCTCCTGACCGGCTCAAGGTCGACTCAGCCTTCCGTCCTTCCGAGGTCGGTAAAATGAGGACCCAGATTGTTGGGGGGCAACAGGCTGACATTGGTAAACCGCTTAGAGAGGGCTGTAAAGCACCGTGGAGCGGTATATAAGTCTAAATGCTGTTGCTATTGCCTTTCCTTCCTTCCTTCCTTCCTTCCTTCCTTCCTTCCTTCTCCCCTCCCTCCCTCCTTCCCTCCCTCCCTTCCTTCCATCCATGGTGCACAATGGTTAGAATGCAGTATTGCAGGCTAATTCTGCCCACTGCCAGCAGTTTGGTTCTGACCAGCTCAAGCTTGACTCAGCCTTCCGTCCTTCCGAAGTCGGTAAAATGAGGACCCGAGACGTTGGAGTCAAGATGCTGACATTTGTAAACCACGTAGAGAGGGCTGTAAAGCACCGTGGAGTGGTATATATGTCTGTTGCTAGGTGCTATTAAGAGCACAGCTGTTAATATGAATTCTTAGGGTGCCTGGACTAAGATAGAAGGATCTTTGTAGGGTTGACATGAGTGGGTCCTTGGTGTTCTCTGAGCTTGGTAGTTTTCTTGCAGACGTTTCGTGACCCAACTAGGTAACATCATCAGTGCTAGAATGGAATAGGGTATGCAGAGAGGAGGAGGAGGAGGAGGAGGAGGAGGAGAACTGTGGGATCCTTGGTGCTCTCTGAGCTGGCTGGTTTTCTTGCAGACATTTCATGACCCAACTAGGTAACATCATCAGTGCTAGAAGGTGCAAACCTCATTCCCTTCTAGCATTGATGATGTTACCTAGTTGGGTCATGAAACATCTGCAAGAAAACCACCCAGCTCAGAGATCACCAAGCACCTCACAGTCCTCATCCTCCTCCCTGCACACCCCACTCCCTTCTAGCACTGATGATATTATCTAGTTAGGTAATGAAATGTCTGCAAGGAAATAGCCAGGCTCAGAGAGCACCAAGGACCCCACAGTCGTCCTCCTCCTCCTCCTCCTCCTCCTCCTCCTCCTCCTCCTCCTCTCCACAAACCCCACTCCCTTCTAGCACTGATGATGTTCCCTAGCTGGGTAATGAAATCTCTGCAAGAAAACCACCCAGCTCAGAGATCACCAGGGACCCCACAATCCTCCTCCTCCTCCTCCTCCTCCTCTCTGCAACCCCTCCTCCCTGCTCTGAAATATTGACAGCTGGTTTTTGAAACCAGGCCCTTCTGGGTGTATTTTGCTTCTGCGAATTCTCTCTTGGAGAACTTTTTAAAAAGTCTTCCAGAGTGGGAGAGAATTCCTGGGGCTCTTGAGGTCAGGCGCCTCAGATCGATGGCGTGTCGTCCCAGTGGATGGTTTTCTAGCCAGGAATGCTGCTGGCTTTGGAGGCAGCCCCAGCATCGCTCCTGCCCTGAACCTTTTTCCCTGTTTCCTTCCGGAATATAATACTTTCTCTGCTCTTTCCGGTCTTGCAGGGATTTGGGAACCCGGAGGATCCAAATCATGCTGCTGAGGTCATTGCTGATGGTAAGGAGGAATTCTAGGATCGGGGTCTGCGAGATGTGCTGAATTTCCGGGGTGGCATCTCCAGATCTCCCCAATAACAGACCTTCCGTCCTGTTTGTTTGGAACGTGGCTCAATATCCCAGGACAAACAAACTCAGCTTGGAATTCCAGGAACAAAGCTTTATTTGGAAAGAAGTGTTTGCAAAGGCTTGGTGGACAAGGTCAAGCAGGAGACTTCAAGCCACACCTTAAAGCAGCGGTTCTCAACCTGTGGGTCGGGACCCCATTTGGGGTCAAACGACCATTTCACGGGGGTCGCCAAACAACGCAGTCCGCCATTTTTCCCCCCTTTTCCTTAGCTGTGCTCCTCCCTTTTATTCTATTGGCTTTTGAAAGCCAATAAAATGGACTCTCTTGGATAGAGTCTAATTCTATTGGCTTTCAAGAGCCAATAGGAATTGTCCAGGCTGTCTCTGCCCTGCTGAGCCCACCAAAAGTCCCATTCTGCAAACGGTGCTGCACCAGTTGAGTAGTCCTCGACTTACGACCGGTTGAGTAGTCCTCGACTTACGACCGGTTGGGGTCGCGACATTAAAAAGGTTGAGAACCACTGCCTTAAAGAGATGTAAAACATCTTTTTATGCCCTGTCCCCGAAGCAGATTCCCCCTCCCCTATCACTCTCAACAACCCTGTTACGGTTCCGACAGATGCCAAGTTTGAAGACCCCTGTTGTATCCTGTCTTTCCCCCCCAGCCCTCCTGCTTAGGAGCACCTTCCTCTCCGGAAAGCTTGCAGGGGGCTCCTTGCGTTGGATAAATGGGTGGCGATCACACCGTCAGGTGGATTTCCTGATCGCGGACTACAGCTCCCAGCATCCCCTGGCCTTGTAGGCGGCAGCTGACAATTTCTGGTGTAACCTTTGGAAGGCCTGGGTGGCAAAGGCCCTGTAGTGGGGATGAAACCCCCCTCCCCCAGTTGGCGTCCCTGTTCTCTCCCAAGTGGTCCCCGACTTACAATCGTTCGTTTAGCGACTGCTGAAAGTTAGAACAGACCTTGAAAAAAGTGACTTTTGACAGTTATTCACCATTGCAACCTTTCCAGTGGTCAAAATTCAGATGCTTGGCCCCTAACTCCTACTTATGACGGTCACGTGATCCCCTTTTGCGACCATCTGACGAACGAAATCGAGGGGGAAGCTGGATTAACTTAACAACCATGTCTCCAACCTATCAACTATTAAGCGTTCCTAACCATTAAAAAAAGGGCGTTAAAATGGGGCATAATTCACTAAACTGTCTTCGCTTAGCACAGTGGTTCTCAACCTTTTTAATGCCGCGACCCCCAACCGGTCGTAAGTCGAGGACTGCTCAACCGGTCGTAAGTGGAGGACTACTCAACTGGTGCAGCACCGTTTGCAGAATGGGACTTTTGGCGGGCTCAGCAGGGCAGAGACAGCCTGGACAATTCCTATTGGCTTTTGAAAGCCAATAGAATTAGACTCTATTCAAGAGAGTCTATTCTATTGGCTTTCAAAAGCCAATAGAATAAAAGGGAGTAGCACAGCTAAGGAAAAGGGGGAAAAAATGGCAGACTGTGTTGTTTGGCGACCCCCGTGAAATGGTCGTTCGACCCCAAATGGGGTCCCAACCCACAGGTTGAGAACCACTGGCTTAGCAGCATAAATTTTGGGGTAGTAAGTCGAGGACTACCCTGTATGTTTGAATCCTGGGCTCCTTTGTGGCTTGAGTAGCGTTTGGGCTCGTTCAAGCAGCCGCCAGTGCTGACGGCGAGGGCTAACTCGGGACCGCTCCTTGACAGGTGACCTCCGGCTACAACGCAAAGAGCATCGCCTCGGTGCTCTCGGCGCCCTTCCTGGACCCCCTGCTCTCCACCTCCCTCATGGAGGACTGCGAACTGCGCCAGCTAGTCCTGGAGATCCTGCACAATCTCATTGACCGGCACGACAACAGAGCCAAACTTCGAGGGATCAGGTAAGTGTCAGCTGTCAGTCAGAAAAGAAGGGCTCCCGGCCCACCGTGAGCCAAGAATAGACTTTACTAGAGGCAAAATGGTTGGAGCAGAAGCAAAGGCTGGATCGGAGGTTTTCGCGCACAAAAGTTACCGTTAACTTTTCCTTTCTCCCCCAGCCATCTCCCTGGTTATTGCGGACAGTCCTAGTAGATGTTAACCAATTTAGTAATGGGGAGTTAGAAAGAAAGGACTTCTGGCCCACCTTTAGCCAAGAATAGACTTTGCTAGAGGCAAAGTGGTTAGAGCAGAAGCAAAACTGGATCGGAGGTTTCCGCGCGCAAAAGTTAAGGCTTTGATACAACTGCTGGCAGCAGAGCAGGAAAGGTGCAACGGCTGTGTAGTTTACAAAGAGTCTCCATTCTTCTCGGAGCGCTTCCTGATTTTAAGTGGCCACTTGTTGCAGAAGCAGAAGCAAAGCTGGAGGTTTTGGCACGCAAAAGGTACTGTTAATTTTCCCTTTCCCCCTCTCAGCCATCTCCCTGGTCATCGGGGACAATCCAATTAGGTGTTAACAAATTTAGTAACGGTCAGTTAGAAAAGAAGGACTCCTGGCCCACCTTTAGCCAGGAATAGACTTTACTAGAGGCAAAGTGGTTAGAGCAGAAGCAAAGCTGGATCGGAGGTTTTGGCACGCAAAAATTACTGTTAATTTTCCCTCCCCCCCCCCAGCCATCTCCCTGGTCATTGGGAACGGTCCAATTAGGTGTTAACCAATTTAGTAACGGTCAGTTAGAAAAGAAGGACTCCTGGCCCACCTTTAGCCAGGAATAGACTTTACTAGAGGCAAAGTGGTTAGAGCAGAAGCAAAGCTGGATCGGAGGTTTTCGCGCGCAAAAATTAAGGCTTTGATACAACTGCTGGCAGCAAAGCAGGAAAAGTGCAACGGCTGTGTAGTTTACAAAGAGTCTCCATTCTTCTCGGAGCGCTTCCTGATTTTATGTGGCCACTTGTTGCTTCTGTAAGGAACGAGCAATTTTTTTTCCCCTCCCCGTTTTAGAATCATCCCGGACGTCTCCGATCTGAAGATCAAGCGAGACAAAATTTCACGGCAAGATGTCAGTTTTATGAAGAAGGTAAATTCCCAGTTCGAGAGATTTAAACTCGTCGGGAGATGCTAATGCCACCCCCCCCCCCATGTCAGCGTGGTTTTTGCGGAGATCCCCTTATTTTTCTTGGATTTGATTCAGATAGAAGGCAGTCCTGATGCTGTGGGATTCTGGGGTGGAAAGATGGTCCTTAGTTTATAAAAAGAGAATGAAAGAATTCTCTAACAACAGTGAGAACAATTAACCAGGGGAACCACCTGCCTCCAGAAGCGGTGAATGCTCCAACACTGGAAGTTTTTAAGAAGAGACTGGACAGCCATGTGTCTGAAATGGTCTAGGGCAGGGGTAGGCAGCCTTGGCTCTTTTATGACTCCTGGACTTCAACTCCCAGAATTCCTGAGCCAGCATGGCTGGCTCAGGAACTCTGGGAGTCGAAGTCCACGAGTCATAAAAGAGCCAAGGTTGCCTACCCCTGGTCTAGGGTTTCCTGCCTGAGCAGGGGGTTGGACTAGATGACCTCCAAGGTCCCTTCCAACTTTATTATTATTATTAATAAAAGGAGGGGAATGGGGAGAGCAGGCATAGAAGCAATGTAGCCCTGTCTCAAATGAGTAAATCAAGGGTAAAGGGGAGGCCTTGGGGAGGGGCAGGGGGATTGTCCCCATGGCAGCAAAAGATACAGGATAGGGTGGGCTACTGTCCGGTACTCCTCGACCCAATTAGAGACCCGTTTCCTGGCTTTATTGCTTACTGACCAAGTATCTCAGCTGCTATTTATATACATTTTGGAGGTTTTTCTGTTTGTAAAATGCTTTTTGTTTTAATTGTTTTTATACTTTGGGAGTTAGTTGTAAGCTACCCAGATTCATTGATTGAAATGGGTGGCTATGGAAAAAGGAGGGAGGGAGAAAGGAAGGAAGGAAGGAAGGAAGGAAGGAAGGAAGGAAGGAAGGAAGGAAGGAAGGAAGGGAGGGAGGGAGGGAGGGAGGGAGGGAGGGAGGGAGGGAAGGAGAAAGGGAGGGAGGAGGGAGGGAGGGGGAAGGGAGGGAGGAAGGAAGGAAGGAAGGAAAGGGAAGGAGGAGGAAGGAAGAAAGGAAGGAGGCAGGAAGGGAGGGAGGTAAGAAAAGGAAAGGGAGAAGGAAGTTAAGAAATGGGAAAGGGAGGGAGGAAGAAAGGAAGAAAGGGGGAGGAAGGGAGGTAAAAAGGAAGGGGGAAGAGATGGGAAAGGAAGGGAGGGAGGAAGCAAGAAAGGAAGGAAGGAAGGGTGAAGAAAGGAGGTAAGAAAAGGGAAGGAAGGAAGGAAAGGAAAGAAGGAAGGAAGGGGCAGGAAGGGAAGTAAAAGGGAAGGGGAAAGGGTAAGAAATGGGAAAGGAAGCGAAGGAGGGAGGGAGGAACGGAGGAAGGAAGCGGGGAGGAAGGGAGGCAAGAAAAGGGAAAGGAAACGGAGAGAGGGAGGGGGAGGAAGGGAGGTAAGAAATGGGGAAGGAAGGAAGGAAGGAAGGAAGGAAGGAGAGAGAGGGGAAAATGCACCATTCAGGCCTTGCTCTGAGCATTAACAAATTGTCCCTCGCGGCTGCGTTGTGTTTCCCCCCCCCCCCCGCAGCACGGCCAGCAGCTGTACCGCCACGTCTACTTGGGCTGCAAAGAAGACGACAACGTGCACAAGAACTTTGAGCTGCTCTACACCTCGCTGGCTCTGATCACCATCGAGCTGGCCAACGAGGAAGTGGTCACGGACCTCATCCGCCTGGCCATCGCCCTGCAGGTATCCCGGAGGGGGGGGGAGGAAGGCCAGGCTGGGTGGCGGGGAGAAGAGCCTGCTTAGGGGCTGTTGAGGATGCCTAAGCAGGTGAACGTCCCCCAAAGGGGAAAAAACACGCCTGCCTGGAACGCTTTCCGGGAAACCTCTTGGCACTTTTGTGCGTCTTGATTTTGTTCCCATTTCTCCTCTCCCTCCATCCGGAAGGACATTGCCATTCTCAACGAGGACAACTTACCCATGTTCCACCGGTGCAGCATCATGGGGCTGGTTGCCGCGTACCTCAACTTCCTGAGCCAGATGATCGCGGTCCCGGCTTTCTGCCAGCATGTCAGCAAGGTGGGTGCAAAGTCGCGGTCTGTCCCTTTTCCTCCGTATTTCTTTTTTTGGCCCTTCTTCCTCGTGGAACATTTTCCGCCTCTCCCCCAGCACACACACACACACACACACACACACCCTCCAGCAGGCAGCGAGCCGTTTTGGGTGCCCCGAAGAAGCCCCCCCCCTCCCCTTATTTTAGCTTTGCATTTTCTGCCTAGAAAAAGATTGTGGGCAATTGTGATTTCCTTCTGCTGGGTTCACAACTTTGCTCCCGCTGCTTTCCAGGTGATTGAAATCAGAACAGTGGAAGCGCCCTACTTCCTGCCGGAAACTCACCTCCGAGAGAAGTGCAGGTAAAAAGGCTCCTGGCGTGGCTGATAAAGGAAGCTCAAATTGACAAGAGAATCTCTGTAGCTCAGCGTTGAACTTTGGGGTCCCTGGTGCTCTGTGAGCTGGGCGGTTTTCTTGCAGGCGTTTCATGACCCAACTAGGGAACATCATCAGTGCTAGAAGGGAGGGGGGTCTGAGGAGAGGAGGAGGAGGAGGAGGAGGAGGAGGAAGGCAGCTGTGGGGTCCTTTGTGCCCTCTGGGTGGTTTCCTTGCAGACGTTTCATGACCCAAATAGGGAACATTATCAGTGCTAGAAGGGAGTAGGATTTAGGAGGAGGAGGAGGAGGAGGAGGAGGAGGAGGAGGAGGAGGAGGAGGAGGGCAGCTGTGCGGACCTTGGTGCTCTCTGAGCTGGGTGGTTTTCTTGCAGACATTTCATGACCCAACTAGGAAACTTTATCAGTGCTAGAAGGGAGGGGGGTTGTGGAGAGGAATAGAAGGGGGGAGGAGGAGGAGGAGGGGGGGGACTGTGGTGGTCCCTGGTGTTCTCTGAGCTGGGCGGTTTTCTTGCAGACGTTTCATGACCCAACTAGGGAACATCATCAGTGCTAGAAGGGAGGGGGGTCTGAGGAGAGGAGGAGGAGGAGGAGGAGGAAGGCAGCTGTGGGGTCCTTTGTGCCCTCTGGGTGGTTTCCTTGCAGACGTTTCATGACCCAAATAGGGAACATTATCAGTGCTAGAAGGGAGTAGGATTTAGGAGGAGGAGGAGGAGGAGGAGGAGGAGGAGGAGGAGGAGGAGGAGGAGGGCAGCTGTGCGGACCTTGGTGCTCTCTGAGCTGGGTGGTTTTCTTGCAGACATTTCATGACCCAACTAGGAAACTTTATCAGTGCTAGAAGGGAGGGGGGTTGTGGAGAGGAATAGAAGGGGGGAGGAGGAGGAGGAGGGGGGGGACTGTGGTGGTCCCTGGTGTTCTCTGAGCTGGGCGGTTTTCTTGCAGACGTTTCATGACCCAACTAGGGAACGTCATCAGTCCTAGAAAGGTGAGGGTTTTTCCATTGGACAGATTGTTCCAAGCACACCGATGCAGTTTAGCCATTTTAATTTTTATTCTGACGTTCGAAAGAGGACCCTGCAGCACATTACTAAATCTGATGTTAGATTTGATCGATTAAAAAAAAAAACTCGGTTGAGATTTCAGGACAGTAAGATGGCATCATTAAAGATTTCAGCCAAGTTCCCTTTCAGCTAAGAGGAAAGAAGGTGAGTGGATTGAAAGGAGAATCTTTGGAAATTCAGGGCAGAGCTTGAAGGATATTGTTAAGGCAGGGGTAGGCCATCTTGGCTCTTTGATGACTTATGGACTTCAACTCCCAGAATTCCTGAGCCAGCCATGCTGAGGGGAAAGGGAGAGGTTTCCAAGCTGAGCCATGCTGGCTCAGGAATTCTGGGAGTTGAAGTCCATGAGTCATGAAGGGACCATAGTTCCCCCATGCTGGCTCAGGAATTCTGGGAGTTGAAGTCCACGAGTCATGAGGGGGCCTAGGCCTAAGCCAGAGGTAGACAACCTTGGCTTCTTTATGACTGGTGGACTTCAACTCCCAGAATTCCTGAGCCAGCCATGCTGAGGGGAAAGGGAGAGGTTTCCAAACTGAGCCATGCTGGCTGAGGAATTCTGGGAGTTGAAGTCCACGAGTCATGAAGGGGCCATAGTTCCCCCATGCTGGCTGAGGAATTCTGGGAGTTGAAGTCCACCAGTCATAAAAGAGCCAAGGTTGCCCACCCCTGGGTTAAGGCAGTAAGTAAGAACGATTTATCATTGGGATGATTTGCCTCCAGAAGTTGTGGCCGCTCCATCACTGCAGGTTTGTAAGAAGAGATTGGACAGCCATGTGTCGGGAATGGTGTAGGCTCTCCTGCTTGAGCAGGGAGCTGGACTAGATGACTTCCAAGGCCCCTTCCAGCTCTGTTCGGTTAGAGCAGTGTTTCTCAACCTTGACCATTTTAAGGCACGTGGACTTCAACTCCCAGAATTCCACAGCCAGCATGGCTGGCTGTGGAATTCTGGGAGTTGAAGTCCACGTGCCTTAAAATGGTCAAGGTTGAGAAACACTGGGTTAGAGATCCACTGATAACCTCATTGGTTTTTCCCCTTCATTTTGATCGATGTATTTTTTTATTTTTTTTTTGACAGCATTCCCCCGAACTTTGGTAAGGACGACAAGAGCCTGTTCTTCCTGACTCACAAGATTGTGGAGTCCTTAGGAGGCAGCGGCTACAGCGTGGAACGGCTGTCGGTGCCGTACGTGCCCCAGGTGACAGGTGAGACTCTCTGGGCGTGGTCTTGGCCCTGGATACGTGGGTGGCTCATGGCCATTGTTGGCAACAAGAGCCCAGGGACAAACCTGCTCCATTTGGGGACATGGATTGTTGAATAGGTAGGAAGAAACCACTTCCGGTTGCAATCGGCCGTTTGTGGCTGAGCAATGATGTTGCTGAACCGCAGCTCACGGCACCTGGCTGTTCTGGATCTGGAAGGCCACTGGCTGGCCCTCCCTGACGCCCTCTTGAAGAGGCCTTAGGGGTTACTCTGAAGGACAACCATGGTCCTTCCCTTCCTCCCTTCCTTCCTTCCTTCCTCCCTTCCTTCCTTTCCTTTCTTTTCCTTCCTTTCCTTCCTTCCCTTCTTTCTTCTTTCCATTCCTTCCCTTCCCTCCCTCCCCTTCTTCCTTTTTTCTTCCTTCCTTCCTTCCTTCCTTCCTTCCTTCCTTCCTTCCTTCCTTCCTTCCTTCCTTCCTTTTTTCCCTTTCCTACCTCATTTTCCTCCTTCCTTCCTGCTTTCCTTCCTTCCTTCCTTCCTTCCTTTCCTCCTATCCTTCCTTCTTCCTTTCCTTCCTTCCTTCCTTCTTTTCCCTTTCCTTTTTTCCTTTCCTCCTTTCCCTCCTTCCTTCTTTCCTTCCCTCCTTCCTTTTTTCCCTTTCCTTTCCTTCCCTTCCCTCCTTCCTTTTTCTTTCCATTCCTTCTCTTCCCTCCCTCCCCTTCTTCCTTTTCTCTTCCTTCCTTTTTTCCCTTTCCTTTCCTGCCTCATTTCCCTCCTTCCTTCCTTCCTTCTTTTTCCTTCCTTCCTTCCTTCCTTTTTTCCCTTTCCTTTCCTTCCCTTCTTCCTTCTTCTTTCCATTCTTTCCCTTCCCTCCCTCCCCCTTCTTCCTTTTTTCTTCCTTCCTTCCTTTCCTTCCTTCCTTTTTTCCCTTTCCTTTCCTACCTCATTTCCCTCCTTCCTTCTTTCCTTCCTTCCCTCCTTTCTTCCTTTTTCCTTTCCTTTCCTTTCCTTCCTTCCTTCTTTCCTTCCTCTGTCTCCCTTACAGTATATTTACTTCCAATTACTTCCCTTCCCTTTCCCCTCCCCTTCTTTTATTTCCTTCCCTTTCCTTCATCTTGTCCCTTCAGATTTTGCTTCCCATTTTGACAGGAAGCGAGCTGATCTGCTTTCCCACCTAAAGGGGGGCAGCCATTTTTGGGGGGGAAATGGGTGGATCACTGCTCTTATCCCTCCTCCTCCGTTTGAGCAGCCCTCCTCCCAAGCTTGCGTCAGCTCCACAAAGTAGACCAGAGCCGGAAACCAGCCCCACAGGAAGCGTCAAGCTACAAGTAGTCCTTGAGTTACAACCATTTGTTTAGTGACCGTTCAGGGTTATAACGGCTCTGGGAAAAAAAATGACTTTTGACCATCGTTCACACAAGCATTGCAGCATCCCCACAGTCACGTGATCAAAATTCAGATATTGGCCACTGACTCGTACTTATGACGGTCGCAGCCTCCCCGGGGTCACACGATCCCCTTTTGCGACCTTCGGACAAGCAAAGTCAATGGGGGAAGCCAGATTCACTCAACAACCGTGTTACTAAGTTAACCACTTCAGGGATTCACATAATAACCGGGGTAAGAAAGGTCGTAAAATGGGACAAAATTCACTTAGCGACCGTCTTGCTTAGCAACAAAAGTTTTGAGCTCAGTTGTGATAAGTCAAGGACTGCCCGTACTTTCATTTTGGTTGGGTACAGAATCTGGTAAGGCTGATTGTGCTCCCCCCTCCTAATTCAGAGAATTGGGGGGGGGGCGGGGGTGTCTGTCTGAACGGTCCCATTTCTCAGGACTTCAAAAAAATCGATTTAGCACCATTGTCCCAGGGAACAATTCCTGCATATTTGGTCATCTTCCTTACAGTGGTCCTCAGGCTATGATTGTGATGGAAGCTGCCCATCACAGTCATAACGTGTGACAGTCATAAAGTGGGTTTTACAACGCTTGTGGCAGTTGTTAAGCAAATGCAGCAGCCATTAAGTAAACCAGTGGTTTGCCAGGGGCATGGTGCTGCCAAAGAATAAAATAGAAATAGAATAATGGAATGGAATGGAATGGAATGGAATGGAATAGAATAGAATAGAATAGAATAGAATAGAATAGAATAGAATAGAATAGAATAGAATAGAATAGAATAGAATAGAATAGAATAGAATAGAAGCAGGTAGGCCTGTCAGAAGTTTGAATAATCACTAAGTGACCGGTGGTAAATCAAGGACTTACCTGCACTCTCTACAGGTTTTCATCATACTCCTAGTTCCTGAAACCTACTGATTCTCTCTCCCCCCCCACATCTCTCTCTCTCCCCTCACTCTCTTTCACCTATCCTGTATCCTCTCTGTCTGTCATTCATCTACCTACCTACCTATCATCTATCTATCTATCTATCTATCTATCTATCTATCTATCTATCTATCTATCTATCATCTGCCTGCCTGCCTGCCTATCTATCTATTTATCCATCTATCCATCCATCCATCCGTCTATCTATCTATATCTATCATTATCCATCCATCATCTGTCTGTCTATCTATCTATCTATCTATCTATCTATCTATCTATCTATCTATCTATCTATTATCTGCCTGCCTGCCTGCCTATCTATCTATCTATCTATCTATTATCTGCCTATCTATCTATCTATCTATCTATCTATCTATCTATCTATCATCTGCCTGCCTGCCTGCCTGCCTATCTATCTGTCTATTTATCCATCTATCCATCCATCTATCTATATCTATCATTATCCATCCATCATCTGTCTGCCTATCATCTATCTATCTATCTATCTATCTATCTATCTGTCTGTCTGTCTGTCTGTCTATCTATCTATCTATCTATTATCTGCCTGCATGCCTATCTATCTATCTATCTATCTATCTATCTATCTATCTATCTATCTATCTACCTACCTATCTATCATCTGCCTGCCTATCTATCTATCTATCTATCTATCTATCTATCTATCTATCTATCTATCATTATCCATCCATCATCTGTCTGTCCTATCTATCTATCTATCTATCTATCTATCTATCTATCTATCTATCTATCTATCTATCTATCTATCTATAGATAAATTACCAGATATTATATACTATAATTTATATCACCCACAATGAGAAATACAAACTTTTCTGATACTATCTATGCAGACGAGGATCGGCTGTCACGAAGGAAGAGTATTGTGGACACTGTGTCTATTCAGGTGGACATCCTTCCTGGAACTGGTGCAGAAGATAAGGTACGCTCCATTGATCGTGGACATTATGCACTTAGGAAAGTCTTTTCATCTTTCTTGTTCCTTTAAGGCAGTGGTTCTCAACCTGTGGGTCGGGACCCCATTTGGGGTCGAACGACCATTTCATGGGGGTCGCCAAACAAGGCTGTCTGCCATTTTTTCCCCTTTTCTTTGGCCACGCCCCTGGCACCCAGTGATGTATAAGTGGTTGGGGGTCACCACAACATGGAGAACTGTATTATGGGGTCACGGCATTAGAAAGGTTGAGAACCACTGCTTTAAGGCCAGGGCTCTCCAGACATGGCAGCTTTAAGACATGGACTTCAACTCCCAGAATTCAGTTCCCAGAGCTGAACTGAGTTGAAGTCTGCCAAGTTTGGGGAGCCCTGTCCTAAGTGATTTCACCTTCCTACCTATCAGTTGCACCTATCCGTCTATCCCTCCATTTGTACCTGGCCAAAGTCACCGAGCTGGCTTTCCTGCCTCAAGGCAGGACTAGAACTCCTGGTTTTTAGGTCAGCACCTTCACCCCACACCAGACTGGCTCTCCATGTACAATTATGTATAATTGTTTACAGATTCAACATAACAAAATGTGAACATGGCAGGTGCAGAAGCTTGGATATCCTTTATTTAATTTTATTGATTTTTCTAATGTTACAGTTATATCTTTGAAAAGCACCGTGGCAACTTTTGTTGTTGTTATTGTTAATTGGGAAGTCGTGTGCGACCCCATGGACAACGTTCCTCCAGGTCTTCCTGTCCTCTACCATCTTTTGGAGTCCATTTAAGCTCACGCCTGCTGCTTCAGTGACTCCATCCAGCCATCTCATTCTCTGTCGTCCCGTTCTTCTCTTGCCCTCCATCTTTCCCAGCATTAGGCCCTTCTCCAGTGAGTCCTTCCTACCTACAGATATGATTAGTACAAATCTCAAACTATTACAGTAAATATTTCTTCTCTTTTCCCCTTAATAGGTACTGTCTCATATTTAAGTTAATATATTTCTTATTCTATCCATCAAATGAAAAATAACTTTCTTACATTTATCAATAATTTTTAGTATATATATATATATATATATGTAGGTCTTTGGTTGTTCGGGTTTTCTCCCGCGTAAAATTGGAAGTGTCTTGGCGACGTTTCGACGAAGTCCCATTCGTCATCTTCAGGCTGGTGTTTTCAGCTTCGTGCTTCGAGCAGCAATGTGTGGTCTTAGCTGTTTCTTCCTTTTAACTGCCAGTGGGGGTATGAACTGATTGGGTGGGAGCTTGGCTGTGTTCTGATTGGGTGGAGGTGTGTTCTGATTGGTTAGGGGCGTGGCTGTGCTCTGATTGGCTGGGGGGTTGGCTGTGCTCTGATTGGCTGGGGGGTTGGCTGTGCTCTGATTGGCTGGGGGAGTGTTCTGTTTGGTTGTGCTCAGGTTAGTCTGAGTTGCAGAGGGGTTTAAGATTTTGGGCTGCCTTGCTATTTTTTGGCTTCGCGTTTGTGGTCGTGCCTCATTTTCATGGAGGGTGTCAGTTTGCTTCATGTATGGATTGGAGGGCTTTAAAGTGGCTAATGATGCAGCTCTGGTCTGGCTTCTGGTTTGTGGTCGTGCCTCATCATCGGTGTGGCTTTGGGTTTGCTTTTTGCGTGGATGTGTGGTGGTGACATCCTGTGTGGTTTTTGTGAGTGTGGGTCTGGTATCATTTTTTGTATTAGGGAGTCGTTTGTCAATAAGGGCGGGTTTCCAAATGGCTGGTAGGCGGGAGGTATCATCTCGCTTGTTCATGCTGTGTGGGCGTTTTTCTATCTCGATGGCTTCTCTGATTATTCTGTTATTAAAATGTTCACTTTTGGCAATGGTTCTGGTATTTTTAAAGTCAATTTCGTGTCCTGTGGCTTTAAGGTGTTGGACCAGGGAAGATGTTGGTTCCTCTTTTTTGACTGAGTTCTTATGTTCTTCAATGCGTGCACTTATTCTTCTGTTGGTTTGTCCGATGTATGTGGTGGGACAAGTGGTGCATGGGATTTCGTATACTCCTTGATTTTCTAATTCAATTTTATCTTTGGGGTTTCTAAGGATGGTGGATATTTTTCTGTTTGTGCAGAATGCTGTTTTGATGTTGTGTTTATGGAGGATCTTACTGATTCTGTCTGTGGTGCCTTTTATGTATGGGAGGAGGGCTTTGCCGTTTTCTTGTTCTTCGTCAATGGTTTCCTTCCGGTCGACCCTTTATATCGCCTCCTCTGAAAAGAACAGATTCCAGACATTCCCAAAACCGTCTTTCTCTTCTTGGTTTTGGGATGTTGTCCCACATTTCCTGTGGATGCTCTAGCTCCGAAATATTATTGGGCCTTCTTACAGGCCCAGGTTGACCGTGGCGAGCCGGCTGTGGCGAGCTGCGCCATTCTGATGGCTCCTATACGGTTAATTCGTAGTTTCCTCCTTGCAGTTCTCTCTTGCTAAACCAGAGCTGGGAAACCAGAGTAAATTATTTTATTTTCCTTTTTGTTCGACTGTTGTGATATTTAAGCAAAAGACTTTTGCCCTCTCTCCCCAGGTCAACAGCACAGAGGAGATAACTTTTGAAGCACTGAAGAAGGCGATAGGTAAAATGCATCACAATATATTGTAAAATATCTATTTATGGAGGTTCTCAGTCATCCGGGTCACGGTTGTCCCAAGGGTGCTTTTTCAAGAGTAAAAATCCTTCCCTTCCCCACCATCCGGTCAGAGCTGAAGAAGCTTCTTGGAGGAGAAGCGAAACGTCTTCAGAGAAAAACAAAGAAAGTCCAGTGGCCTCTTGAAAAAAGCACCTTTGGGAGAAGGAGGAAAGAGGAAGAGGAAGAGGAGGAGGAAGACGGGAGGGAAATAATAATAATAATTAATAATAATAACAATAATAAATAATAATAACAAAACAACAACAATAATAATGATAATAATAATGAAGTTGGAAGGAATCTTGGAGGTCATCTAGTCCAACCCCCTGCTCAGGCAGGAAACCCTACACCATTTCAGACAAATGGCTGTCCAGTCTCTTCTTAAAAACTTCCAGTGTTGGACCATTCACACTTCTGGAGGCAGGTGGTTCCACTGGTTAATTGTTCTCACTGTCAGGAAGTTTCTCCTTAGTTCTAGGTTGCTTCTCTCCTTGATTAGTTTCCATCCGTTGCTTCTTGTCCTGCCTTCAGGTGACTTTGGAGAATAGCTTGACTCCCTCTTCTTTGGGGCAGCCCCTGAGATATTGGAACACTGCTATCCTGTCCCCCCTGGTCCTTCTCTTCATTAAACTAGACATGCCCAATTCCAGCAGCCTTTTCTTATATGCTTTAGAAGAAGGATAGGAGAGAGAGAGACAGAGACAGAGAGAAAGAGACACAGAGAGAGAGAAAGAGAGAAAGAAAGAAAGAAGCACCTTTGGGAGAAGGATGAAAGGCAAAGAGGAAGAGGAAAATAGGAGAGACAGAGAGAGAGAGAGAGAGAGAGAGAGAGAAAGAAAGAAAGAAAGAAAGAAAGAAAGAAAGAGAAAGAAAGAAAGAAGCACCTTTGGGAGAAGGATGAAAGGGAAAGAGGAAGAGGAAGAGGAAGAGGAGGAGAAAGATAGGAGAGAGAGACAGAGAGAAAGAGACACATAGAGAGAGAAAGAAAGAGAAAGAAAGAAAAGCACCTTTGGGAGAAGGATGAAAGGGAAAGAGGAAGAGGAAGAGAAAGATAGGAGAGAGAGAGAGAGAAAGAGAAAGAATATTAATAATGATGGGACGAATTAGGCTCCAAGGAGTATAAATCTTTCCATCCTCCACCATCCGGTCAGAGCTGAAGAAGCTTCTTGGATGATAAGCGAAATGTCTTCAAAAAAAAAAAAAACAACAAAAAAAACGCAAGAAAGTCCAGTTGCCTCTTGAAAAAAACATCTTCGGGGTAAAATTTATATCCTACACCCATCCTTATTGTATCAGACTCTTAACAAGCCGTGTGATTTCCCTCCCCCCCCCAATAATGTAATCATAATTCTTGCTGCTATGGATTGGATCTCCTCAGTTAAACCATGTGGAATATTCATGGAGCTTCTCCATCATCCAGGTCGTGGTCGTCCCAAAGGTGCTTTTTCCAAAAGGCAACTGCACTTTCCTGGGGGCTTTGTTGGTTTTTTTTTCCCCTTGAAAACGTTTCGCTTCTCATCCAGGAAGTGTCTTCGGAACCGAAGAAGCTTCTTGAATGAGAAGCAAAACGTTTTCAAGGGGAAAAAACCAGAAATCTTTTGGAAAAAGTATCTTTGGGACAATCGGGTGAGAAAATACAATTGCACGTTTTAATAGGTCGGTTAATATTAATAATGATGGGACGAATTAGGCTCCAAATTGGATCAGGTCCATCCACTAAAGATGTCTGAACTAACCTTTCCTCAACCAAAACAAGCTTTCCTTTTGAAGTATTATTCCCCTTTTTTTTTTCATTTATTTCTCATGGCGTAGCCAAAATACAGCGTAGTGCGCAAAATGAGTAACTCAGAGGCGCCTGTTTATTCCGACAGAATGGAAGGCTAAGTGTCCCGGAACTTCCCAGAATTCCTGGGACATCTCTTGTCCTCTTGGCAGACCACTGTAGAGAAGATCTGCACAGCCTCTGGCGTAGCTGCCCACGGCCGGGCCGAGATTGTGTCCCAGGCCAACTTGGACAGGGACACCACACCCCAGGGTGTTTGGGGAAGCTGTTTCGCCACGTGTTTTGTGAACAGGTTTTTTTTAAATGTTTCTTTCTCTCTTTCCTTCTTTCTCTCTTTCCTTCTCCATCCCTTTCTCCATTGTTTTTTTTAAAATTATTAACTTCCCAAGATAATACCGGCCTTGAAGAGCAGGAGAAGGAGAAGAGGCGTCTTGTTATTGAGAAGTTTCAGAAAGCTCCCTTTGAAGAGATCGCAGCGCAGTGTGAGACCAAGGTGAGCCGGGCGAGTGACAGTCTTCTACAACAGCCCCCGGCTTGGTGACGCCCAGATAGCCTTGCAAGGCAGCTGGAGGGTCCACTTAGAGAGTGAGGATCCCACAGCATGAGCTAAGCTGGGGTGATCACTTTTCTCCATTTGCGGTGCACATCTTGTCCTACAAGGATGAAGAGTTGGGAGATACAATCTGGTGCAAAGTTGTATTCTGCATAATGGAGTGTGAGAATCGGGGCAGATGAGTGTGCAAAGTGTGAGGAGGGGACAGAATCTTTCACTGTCCCTCTTATGGATGGGAACCGGCATCCAGAGTAGGATTGTCAGATTGGAACCCTTGGCTGAACAAGAAACCCCCTGTTAACAATTTCTGCTTGACACAGTGGGAAACGGGGTTGTAGCTGGGGACAAAAACACTGCCTTTTCTGCTCGGGAGATGTGGGAAGAGAGAAGGCGGGCCACGTTACGGCGTTTTCCTCCCAGAGAGGATTTTTTCCAGCTTTTATCAGTGAGGGATAATCCAGGATATGGGATGCCTCAAGAAGAGAATACAGAATAACAGAATTGGAAGGGACCTTGGAGGTCCTCTAGTCCAGCCCCCAGCTCGAACAGGAGACCCTATACCATTCCAGACAAGTGGCTTTCCGGGGTCTTCTTAAAATCCTTTAGTGATGGGGCACCCACAACTTCTGGTGGCAAGCTGTTCCAGTGATCAATTGTCCTCACTGTCAGGAAGTTTCTCCTTAATTCCAGGTTGCTTCTCTCCTTGATGAATTTCCCTCCGTTGCTTCTTGTCCTGCCTTCCGTTGCTTTGGAGAATAGGTGGACCCCCCTTCTTTGGGGCAGCCCCTCAAATATCAGAAGAGTGCTATCATGTCACCCCTGGTCCTTCTCTTGTTAGAACTTATATTATTATGACTCTAAGAAGAATAGGAATCCTAGGGTGGTAAGGGGCTGTGGAGGTCTTCTAGTCCAACCCCCGCTGGGAGCACGAGTCCTTATGCCATCCCATTGTCTAATTCATTCCTGAAAACCCCCAACTCCGGGAGGCCGGCTGTCCCACTGAAAAGACTAAAGGAAGGATTCTTGACCGCCCCCCAATCTCACTCGGGTCTGTTTTCTCTCCAGGCAAACCTCCTCCACGACCGACTGGCTCAGATCTTGGAGCTCACCATTCGGTAAGGGGAAATCCCGAAAGGACCGGTTGGATTTTGGCTGGGACACTGGAGGATTGGGAACTTGGGAGTCATGAGGTCAAAGGGTGGGAAATTCAGGCATGATCAAAAGACAGGCAGTCCTCAACTTACGACAGTTCAGTTAGTGACTGTTCGAAGTTACAACGGGACCAGGGGGGAAAAAGCGACTTAGGGCTGGTTTTCCACACTTAGGACCATTGCATCACACGATCGCAATTTGGGCCCTTGGCAATTGGTGTGAATTTACAACGCAGTCATATTTGCCGCCTTCTGACAAGTGTTCAGTGGGGAAGCCACGAATCACAGCCACGGACATTGTGCTTAATGCCCAGGGCGATTCGTTTCACAACTGCCGCTGGACATAGGGTGTTTCAGTTTACAGCTGTGTCACGTAGCAATGGAGTTGCCAGACTCAGCTGTAGTCACCAAGTGAGGACTACCTGTAATATTTAGTTCTGATGAGTTGGTCCTCAGTGACAATTGCTGGATTCCCCAGAGTCTGTGTTAGTCTCCGTTGGCTTTTCCACCACGCCACGGACTTTTTACCTGTTCAAGGATTAGTTTGCAAACTGTCTCCAGTAGCCATCGGAAAACTATAAAAATGACAATTTGGGAAGTTACACATTCCTCTGTTGAAGCCATTTCAGATCTGACTTTATGAAAAAAAAGCTAAATATTGAAAAATTAGATCTAAAAAAGAAAAGAAAATTATCATGAATATGTTTGACCTATTGATTAACCCAGGCAATATATATATAAAATGGGTTTATTAAAGGGGATATTGTATTATTAAGTAGATGACTTAATATGGTGGGAAATAGGTAACTTTTAGGAAATAGAACAAGGTTATATTTAAATAGATAAAATGTGTATTTTGGACATCGTAGTTTGTTATGAAATCTCACTTCATAACAAACTACGAGGAAAATCTTGGTTACCCAAGGTCTGAAAAATATGGATATCAAAGGGTAAATTGGAATATTGATGAGGTTAAAAATTATGCAAAAATTAATAACAGGATATGGATTGTTCCTGAAGATTGAATGTAATTAAGATACGTATAAGCTAAAAATTTATTGATAAATGTAATTATGATGTCTTTATTAACATAATTAGAAATGTACTAGTTTGAATAGAGATAGTAAATGTTAAGGAAAAAAAGAGAAGAAATATCTGATGTTGTAACCTGAGATTTCCACTGAAGATTTTGTTATTGAATTATTGATTCACCCAGTCACCATGCTGCTTTTTAAATATTCAAATGTAAAATTGGAAAATTAATTATATATATATGTATGTATGTATGTATGTATGTATATATATATATATTTGTTTTCTGAGGTTTTTGCCGGTGTTTGTATGTAGGTCTTTGATTATTCGGGTTTTCTCCCGCGTCACATTGGAAGTGTCTTGGCGACATTTCGACGAAAGTCTCATTCGTCATCTTCAGGCTGGTGTTTTCGGCTTCATGCTTCTAGAAGCACGAAGCCGAAAACACCAGCCTGAAGATGACGAATGAGACTTCGTCGAAACGTCGCCAAGACACTTCCAATTTGACGTGGGAGAAAACCCGTATAACCAAAGACCAGCCGAAAGACGGAATTGTCCAGCGGAAAGTCTGCCTTGTGACCCTGTGGCCTTTCTCTTTGCAGACCCCCGCCCAGTCCTTCAGGAACCCTGACCATCACGGCCGGCTGCCCCCATTACCAATCGGTTCCCGTCTATGAGATGAAGTTTCCGGATCTTTGTGTGTATTGAGGGTCTTCAGGCCCTTGCTGGGAATTATTTTAGTCTTAGAGCAGACACCGTGTAAAGCCCAGGAGGTCCTCGCTCTCTTCATTCACTCTTTTGCCACATTTCAAAAGCGGCCACGAAGTGCAGTTAGGCTGGGATTGTACCTGAAACACTTTAATTTTGTACATGTTCTTTTTGAAGTTGTGAAGAAAAGCGGAAGACGATTTATTTTTGGGCAACTTTGTTTTTATGGTTTGGACGTAAGAGAGTGCTTAGGCAGATCATTCCACTTTGTCTAGAAGTTACAATGCTAACTATCAAAATTCTGGGCTGGCTTTTGTTTACTATCAAACCTTTTGCGTCAACGTAACTCTCGAGCACCTTCAGCGATACGATAAGTGGGCCCTTTGCTATCATTAACTAAAGGATGATGCTAAATACTAGGCCACATTGAAGAACTGGCACACAGCAGTTAAATCTAACCCTAGGTTTGCTTTCTCCAAATTCTGTGCTTCTGCAAAATAGTTCTCACATGCACTGTTCTGATAAAAAAGGAAAGCCTCATTTTGAGCTTTAAAGCCTGCAGTATTTTTTCACCTTAACAAAAATGTCTAGTCTAGAGCCCATACTTTGGGGGGGAAAGTGTATTTTTGCTGCACAGCGGTATATAGAGGATATAAATATATATATATATATATATTTAGTATAGCACAAGATATTAAGGGCATTTTAAAACGAGAGGGTTTTTAAAGACACATTTCTGAAATTGTAATAGAAGAGTTGGTTATCCTACGAACTGTTTCTCTCTGTAATATAGCGGTAATGGTGATATTTTATTAAGAACAAAAAATATGGACCGAGCCCCTAGGCAACTTGGAATTTTTATTGTAAAGTATACATTCCCCTTCCTTCTTTTCCATCTGCCTTCTCTCTCCTCAAAGGCCTCCAGGTCATTCACACCCATTGCACAAAGGGGTAGATTTTAAATGTTTAGCCTGTCCTACAACTAACTCCAAAAGCTCAATAAGCAGCTGGCGAGCTTTGTTAATTTAACATATCGTATAGTTGCCAGTTTGCTGAGGGGGGGGGTGGCCCAGGGACACGAATCGGGGAGAAGGAAAGTCCTAGGAATTTTACACTTTTTAAATTTTTGGGCCAGCCTATTAAAAGAGCCAAACTCCGGACGTGCTCACTGTAACCGAGCCCTTTTTTTCAGTTTGACAGCGCAATCACAGCTCTTAGTGGAGGACGAAACCGCCTCTCGGGTGCAGCATCCCGCTGTGATTGCAGCTGCTCCGGCCTGCTCCGACGAGAGGCAGCGCCCCTCGCAGGACGCCCGGGGCCCCCTCCCTTGGCACCCTTAGCGCCCCCTTTTTGGTTTTGGAAGGTAAGCTGTATGGGCGTCTGATGTCATGCGAGGGGGTGTCTTCCCGAAGAGCCAAAAAAAAAAGCCAAAGGAAGGCCTTCCTCCACACCCGTCTTTCTCCAAAGTGTGGCTGCTTACGCGCCAGCCCCGAAGGGTAGGCCAAACGCGCTGCCGTGAGTCACCCCATGCAGTCTGTGACCGTCGGTCCTGCTGTCCGTCCAGCCGCTTCGCCCCACTGCTCTGCATGCAACAGACGCCTGGCCTTCCATGCCTCACCTGCTGGGCTGCCTCTCCATCTTTTGTTGTTGTATTATTCCACAGTGGAACTCCCGACATTTCCACATTCTTGTGGTTCTTGTGTAGCCTTGAGTGGGGCGGGGGGGGGGGAAACGGGAGTGGTGGGCTTTTGAGGACAGGCTGCCTCCTGGGTCTGCAAGCACTCCTCGCCTGGTGCGTTGCGCTGGCCTGGAGAAGCGCAGTCTGCCGGGGAGACCGTGGCCCAGGAAGCTCACGGAGCCACGTTGTGGATTCTGTAACGATTCCTCGCACTCCGGAAGGCCTGCGTACTTGATCACCCGTGCTCGTGGCTGTGTCGGTATCGTTCGAATGTTTTTGTCACTCTGGAAGTCCTGCCGGTAGTTGTAGGCAGACCCGCCTGTCCCTAAGCATTTCAGCTGTTCTATTTGGAAGACTGTATAGCTTTCCGTTGGCATTTTGTTTTAACGCAACAGTGAAAACTGCAGTACGGCGGAGGACAGCCGCCAACAACCGAATTGTCTCTCTCACCGATGCTTGAGTAGATTTCTGCGCTCTCCGTACGAGCTGTTTGGTTAAATGTAAGAACACTGTGCAAATCCACTTGTAAGCAATAAAATTTACACAAAGGACAAATTGCAAAGTATGCTTTTCTCCTATTTTACAGCTTTTGTGGACGTTAAATGATTTAGGTAATAATAATAATAGTAAAGTTGGAAGGGACCTTGGAGGTCATCTAGTCCAACCCCCTGCTCAAATGGGAAACCCTTACAGAATCATAGAACAGCTGGGAGGGACCTCGGAGGTCATCTAGTCCAACCCCCTGCTCAAATGGGAAACCCTTGCAGAATCATAGAACAAGAGTTAAAAAGGACCTTGGAGGTCATTTAGTCCAACCCCCTTGCTCAAACAGCAGACCCTATGCCCTTCCAGATGGGTGATCCATCCAAGCAGCCTACAGTTAGTCCTCAACTTATAACCATCCATTTAGTGACCATTTGAAGTGACAATGGCAGGGAAAAAAGCGACTTACAGCCAGTCCTCACACTTAAAACCAAGGCAGCATCCTCGTGGTCACATGATTAAAATCTGGGTACTCAGCAACTGGGATGCATGGACTGATGGTCACCCCGCCCTGGGGTTGTTGCGGTTGCCGTTTGTGACCTTTGCAGCCGGCTTCCAACAAACCAAGTCCAATTGGGGGGGGGGGAGAACTGGATTCGTTTAATGACTGCACAATTCACTTAACAGCTGCAAGAACCAGAGCGGCAAAAGGGTGGTGAAATTAGGTGTGACTCATTTAGAAACCGAACAACAGAAGCTCTGGTCTGTTGTGGTCATAGGTCAAGGACCACCGAGACCAAGAGCCTAGACTAGAGGTCAGCAACCAAAGAGCCATTTGGACCCATTTCCCAGAGAAAATGCCGGGAGCCACAAAATCCTTTTGACATCTAAAATGAAGATGACACTGCATATATCTTTTTTTACCTTCATGCTGTGTATAAAAAAACTATAGCATGTTGCATTTGTGAAATCAATGAACTGCTACAGAGAAAACATTTTATGTTTTATTTCTCCATGCAAGAAAAACATTTTGAACTCCGAAAAAAAGACGCCGGGTCTACGGTTACTTTCAAATAAAATAATGTCTACTTGAGTCCTCCTTGTATTTATGAAATAAAAAGGCAAACTTAAATTGTCCGCCTGCAGGAAACCAAAAATGCCGTCTGCTTCTGTGTGCCGTCATCCTTTTATCACGTGTACTGGAGCGTGCAGCCCGCTGTCAACCTGAATAAAAGAAGGACCATTTCACCGAACAATGTCATACATATATATATATATATATATATATATATATATATATATATATATATATATATATATATATATATATATATATATTTGCAAAATAATAGCCAATTGAAATATTGATTTTACCTGGTTAATGTGATTTTTGGTTCTCAATCTCAGCGCACAGCGTCTGCACATCAGGGCTGTAAGACGTCAGCTTCATCTTCACACAGGACTGCAGGCTGTTGCCCGCGAGGCGTGAGCGATATTTGTTTTTAATGTAGTTCATGTTGGAGAAGACCTGCTCGCATATGTAGGTGGATCCGAAGATCGACAGGACTCCAAATGCATATTTTTTCATGTTGGTGTAAGTGACGGGGATGGCATTCCAGGTGTCGAATATAAGCTTCTCCGGTTTGGGAAGGCGTTCAATATCACTCCATTTGTTGTTCTGAGCAAGAACGGCCTTCTGACGGGCAACATTTTCAAGGTTAGCCGTCAAGCGTTGGAACTTGGACACCCACATGTCTTTGTCGGCGATGTCGGCCAGCTCCATCTCCAGATCGGGTTGGCTTACACCTACAAAGGCAGTCATATTCAAGAGGGATGGATCGATGGTCAGGGGAGCGACAGGGAAAGATAATGTGTTTTTTTCCTCTCTCAACTCACAGAATCGCTTTCCAAACGATGTTTGCATTGCGGTGATTGCAGACTGCAAATGCTCCAAATTTGTCACATCGTGAGCTTGTTTGAAGTCCCTCAAAGAGGGGAAGTGAGACAGTGTACCTCTCTCTAAATCTTTGGCAAACACTGCCAACTTGTGCTCGAATGCCAAAAGCTCCTCCAGCATGTGCAGGGCTGTGCCTCCTTTCCCCTGAAGAGTTGTGTTCAGCACGTTCAGGTGCGCTGTCATATCGACCATGAAGTGTAGCCTTTCTAGCCATTCTGGCCATTGCAGCTCCGGAAAGGTGAGCCCTCTGGTGCCCAGGTAAATTTTCACCTCTTCCAGACACGCGGCAAAGCGTTTTAGCACCTCCCCTCTGGACAGCCACTGGACTTTGTTGTGCAGCAGGAGATCCGAAGACGTGCTTTTCACCTCATCTAGTAGGAAATGAAACTGGTGGCGATTTGAACCTTGTGCCATTATTTTATTGACAATCTGAATGACCACATTCATTACTTCTGCGCATTCCGGAGGAAATGTTTGAGCGCACAATGCCTCTTGGTGCAGGATGCAGTGAAATGTTAGCAGCGTCCTACCCAGCGACTTCTGCAGCAAAGCCACAAAGCTATCCTGTGCTCCTGTCATACTCGGTGCCCCGTCAGTAGCCACTGACACCAGGTGGGTGGTGTTTATTTCATTGGTTCTTAAATAATCCAAGACAGCCTCATAGATCTCCTCGCCCCGAGTCTGGCCTTTTAGTGGTATCAACTCAATCATTTCTTCCTGTGGCCCAGCAGAGTTCACATACCGGCAGAACAGCGCTATTTGTTCTTTGGATGCATTACAGGCGATTGAGTATGCCACAGCTGAATTGATGTCTTTAATTTGCTGTCTGGTGATGTTTTCTGCCATTTCTACGGTTCTGTCTTTGACAGTCTTTGCAGAGAGAGGCATATCTCTGATTTTCTGCACAATTTCACTCTTGTTTTCGAAGTCCGAGAATAGATATTCTGAAATCTTAATGAATGATTCTTTGATATAATCTCCATCTGTGAACGGCTTCCCGTGCCTGACTATTTCCTGAGCGGCCACAAAACTAGCATATGTAGTTGAATGTGCAGAGTTCATCTTCTTAAAATGATTTTTGCTCAGATCAACCTTCAGATCAGCCTTCTGCATCAGTTCCAAAACGGCTTTTTTTCTCTCGTCTCCATCCGGATATTTTTCAGCAAAGGCTGTGTGTTTATTCTGGAAATGTCTTGCAACATTCGACTTTTTGTTGTTTGCCAATTTCTCACCACATATTAAGCATACCGGTAAACCAGTCTTGTCAGTAGTGAAAGCAAATGAATATGTCCACGTATCATTAAACATTCTGTGTTCTTCCGAAATTTTTCTTTTCTTGCACGATTTATCCATGGTTGGCCTAGCAGGGGTCAAAAAGCACAATTAGAGAGAAAGGAATGCAATATGTAATTCTGAATACATATTAGTAAGATATGTTATGGATTGATTTAATGAAGAGAAGGGCTAAGAGTGACATGATAGCAGTCTTCCAATATTTCAGGGGCTCCCCCATAGAAGAGGGAGTCAAGTTATTCTCCAAAGTATTTCCTGAAGGCAGGACAAGAAGCCATGGATGGAAACTAATCAAAAAGAGAAGCAACCTAGAACTAAGGAGAAACTTCCTGACAGTGAGAACAATTAATCAGTGGAACAACCTGCCACCATAGGTTGTGAATGCTCCACCACTGGAGGTTTTTAAGAAGACTGGACAGCCATTTGTCCGAAATGGTGTAGGGTTTCCTGCTTGAGCAGGGGGTTGGACTAGATCAGTGGTTCTTAACTTGGGTGATATTGCCCCCCAGGGGGCAATTTCATTTTTCAGGGGGGCGATGGAACGAAAAGGGTGCAATATGGAGGCGATGGAGTGAGAAGTTTTGGGGACACTTGAGACTTTTTCGTACAGTGAATCGCTGTCATACAAAAACATCAGATTGCTCACTATTAGTGGATTGAATTGTGTTTTCAAATGTTCCTCCAGCTAGCTTCAGTACAGAACGCCGTACATACGTGAAGACGCATCGCTTATCTTTGTGTGTGTTGCGCAGCAGCGTCTACCCATACAGTGGCACGTCATTGGCCAGAATATGGCAGATATGGGAAAAAGACTGGAAATAAATTATTTGCATCGATATGTCCTGATGACAATTTTAAGAAAAGAAAAAAAGTATTTGCATAAATTGAAGAATTATTTCCTATGTTGTGATTGAGAGGGAGGGGGGGCGATGACAACTTCCTCATTGGCTCAAGGGGGCGATTCGTTCAAAAAGGTTAAGAACCACTGGACTAGATGACCTCCAAGGTCCCTTCCAACATTTATTTATTTTATTATTATTATTAATAATAATAATACTGCTTACGATAACTAATTGTATTTACTACTTCTAGTATATTAATTATGTAAATATATGTACCCAGACAATATTCTGTTTGCTAAATATTGAAAATGTTATTGGGGGGTAACCCCAATCCTGACGCCAACCCTAACCCTGACCCCATTCTATCCCTAATCCTATAAAATCTAATAAAAACTTTTTAAAAAGCACAATAAATCTGCAGGGGAGTATCACACACTGGCAGTTGTGAGACCTTTGGAGCGAGAGGGAGCTGCAGCCGAGGGAGGAAAAAGCCCGGCTCCTGAGCTTAGAACGGGTTCTCAACCTTGGCCGCTTTAAGACTTGTGGACTTCAACTCCCAGAATTCCTCAGCCAGCTTTGCTGGCTGAGGAATTCTGGGAGTTGAAGTCCACAAGTCTTAAAGCGGCCAAGGTTGAGAACCCCTGGCCTAGAAAGAGGGCAGGAAGGACAAAAGAGAGCAAATCGGCATCCAAAGAACAGTTTTTTTTCCCCCCGGCAGGTCTTCCTTTCCCTCCTCCGACTTTTATCATTTGTTAAATTAGTACGCCGAAGGGTTTCATTCTACCTGCTGTGGACGATGGGCTTTGTCGTCTCTCCCCGAGCGCGGCTTCCACGCGGGCTGCTTTTCCTGCCGGCTGAGGCCTGGAGGGGACCCGGCTGGGGAAGGGAGGGAGGGAAGAGCGGCCGCAGACGCGGGCCTGGAGGGCGGATGAGGCGGCGGCGGCGTCGAAAGGCCGCGCAAGATCCGCCTCAGCGCGTTTCTGAGGGAAAGCAGGCAAGCGCCGCCCTCCCCTTCCTCAGGGAAAGCCCGCGCTGTCCCGACAGGCCCCGCGCCAGGCACCCGGAAGCCGCCCGCTCTACCCCTCCCCGCGTCTATGGTCGCAGGACCGGAAGTGGGCGTGCCCAGCCTCGGGAGAGCCACGGAAGGGAAGGTGAGCGGCGTTCCGGCCCCGACGCGACGCTCCCAGGCCGGGGGGGGGCGCCCGTCAGAGTCACCGCCCCGCTTTTCTCCTCCCGGCGGTGGAAAGGCGGCTCCGCTTTTTTTTCGCTCCTCGAGCCTCCACTCGCTTTTCTCCCCCCCCCCGCGCTGTTTTCGGCTCGGCCTCGCGGGTCCGGGTTCCCTTCCGGGCAACAAATAAAAGCCGTGGGGGGAGAGTTACCTCAGCTTTTCCCACGATCGCGGCGTCGGGCTCTTCCTCCGCGCAGCGTCGTCCCGAAGGGAGGAGAGGGCGGGGCTTTCCCGCCGGGAACCCGGAACCTCTCACACACACAGCGCCGCCGCCGCTCTTCTCTTTCGTAGCTCCCCGGCCGAGGTGCGCGCGCAGCGCCCGCCTGTCCAATCGAGCGCCGAGCGGAGGAAGAGAGGAGCGGCAGACCCGGCCAGCCGATCGGCCGAGCTTCCGGGAAGCGGGCCTGCGCGGCGGAGGCGGCGGGTGAGGCCGGGCTCTCCGCGGGGTGGGCGGCCGGGTGGAGGAGAGAGCTTCTCCCCGGGCCGGACGGGGGCCGCCCCGCTTCTCGCTAGCGCCGCCGCCGCCGCCGTTCTCCGCAGCTGCCCGCGGCCCCGCCGCTCCAGCCAGCCGGCAGGATGTTCCACGGGATCCCCGCCAACGCCGGGATGGGAGGTGAGGCCTCGGGCCGGGGGGGGGGGCAGCGGGGAAGGGGGGGGCCGCGGCTGGCGACGCTCACCTCTCCCCTCCCTTCCGCTTTCAGCCCCAGGGAACAAGCCGGAGCTCTACGAGGCAAGTCGGGGGAGAGGCCGGGAGGGGGGGGGTGTTTCTCTCTGTGTGTGTGCGTGTGCGTAGTTGTATCTGTGTGTCGTTTCAGGCGCTGCCGGGGCTGCCGTTGGTCTGGCTTGAAAGAGGGCGGGATGGGGGGGTCCTCTCTGTAGCCTCTCCCCCCCCCCCCAGATACAGTGCCCTCCCCGGGTGGGGCCCGGGAGCAGCTCTGAACGTCTTTTCCTTGCAGGAAGTGAAGCTGTACAAAAATGCCCGAGAACGGGAAAAGTGAGTATTTGTCATTTAGGTTTTCTTTTCTTCCTTGTGTTTGCATTGACTTCCTTCCTTCTTTCTCTTTCCTTTTTCTTTCTCCTATTTGCATTTCCTTCCTCTTTCTTTTTCTTTCTCTTTCCTTCTTCTTTTCCTTTTTCTTTCTTGATTTGCATTTCCTTCCTTCCTTCCTTTCCTTTTCTTTTTTCTTGTATTTGCATTCCTTTCTTTTCTTTTTCTTTCTTTCCTTCCTTTTCTTTCTTGTATTTGCATTTCCTTCCTCTTTTTTCTCTTTCCTTCCTTCCTTCTCTTTCCTTTTTCTTTCTTGTATTTGCATTTCCTTGCTTTCTTTTCTTTCCTCTTCCTCTTTTTTTCTTTTTCTCTTTTTTCTTCCTTTTCCTTTTTCTTTCGTATTTACATTTCCGTCCTTTCTTTTTCTTTTTTCTTTCCTTCCTTCTCTTTCCTTTTCTTTTTTTTTGTATTTGCATTCCTTTTCTTTTTCTTTCTTTCCTTTTTCTTTCTTGTATTTGCATTTCCTTCCTCTTTTTTCTTTTTCTCTTTCCTTCCTTTTCTTTCCTTTTTCTTTCTTGTATTTGCATTTCCTTCCTCTCTTTTTCTTTCTTTCTCTTTCCTTCCTTTTTTCTTTCTTTCTCTCTTTCCTTCCTTCTCTTTCTTTTTCTTTCTTGTATTTACATTTCCTTTCTTTTCCTTTCTTTTTTTCCTTTTTCTCTCTCGTATGTACGTTTCCTTCTTTCTTCATTAAAACGAGGACTCAGATTGTGGGCAACATGCTGACCCTGTAACCTTCTTAGCGAGGGCTGTAAGTTCTGTGAAGTGCTTTATAAGTTTAAGTGCTGTTGTTCTTTCTCTTTCTGTTTACTGACTTTATATGCCGCCCATCCTGCTATCCAGTAACTCTGTGTCCTCCTCTCCCCCCCCAAATGACCCCCCTGTGGCAGAAGTCTCCAACGTGGCCACTTTTAAGACTCGTGGACTGGGGAATTCTGGGAGTTGACGTCCACAAGTCTTAAAGTGGGCAAGGTTGGGAAGCCCCGCTCTGTACAGATTTGCAGGCATCTCGGAATGGGGAGCCAGTGGAGGTCAAGGGGCTCCCCACAGTGGATCTGGCCGCCATGTTTGCAACTGGGGAGGGGCAGGGAGGACCAGCAGCCCAGGGCTGAGTGCGCAGAGCAACCCAAGAAGGGGCCTCTGGGCCCACCAGCCCGTCCCACCCGGGAAGGCCAGCCTGGGTGGGTGGAAGCGGTGCTACTGCTCTCTCCACTTGGTTTCAGATACGACAACATGGCCGAGCTTTTCGCTGTGGTGAAGACCATGCAAGCCCTGGAGAAGGCCTACATCAAGGACTGCGTCAACCCCAACGAGTAAGTGTCCGAAGGCCTCGTGGCGAGTGTAATAGAAAGACACGAGTTGGGTGGGATCTTGGAGGTCATCTGGTCCAACCCCCTCTCAAGCAGGGGAACCTGTACCATTATATATGCGGAGGAGGAAGGAAAATGGAGAGAACAGGTCTGTTGCCCAGAGAAAAGCCTCCTCATGTGATGGGCCAAGTGATGATCCCGCCTGGCCTCCTCAGGTGCTTCTAGAGATCTGGGTGGGATCTGGTAGGAGAGCCCAGTCTTTCCCGGGGGACACTCGTCAAAGGATTCGGAGCAATTAAGTGACAGCGGGAATTAACCCCCTTCCCCCCTTCTTTGATGGATCATTAGACTTCCAGCAGCCTGGAGGTATTCTTGTCACCCTGCCCCATCTGCGGCAAGGCAGATAGTCCTTGACCTACGGCCACAATTGAGCCCAGCGTTTCTGTTGCTAAGTGAGACACTTGTTAAGTGAGTTTTGCCCCAATTGACTTTTCCTGCCACAGTTCTTAAATGAATCATCGCAGTTAAGTTAACCACACGGTCGTTAAGTGAATCCCCCATTGACTTGGCTTGTCAGAAGGTCACAGAAGGGGATCACGGGACCCCGTTTATGCAACCGTCATAAATACGAGCCAGTTGCCATTTTGGTCAGGTGACCGAGGGGAATGCTATGAGGGTTGCAAGTGTGAAAAATGGAGATAAATCGCCTTTTTTTCCCCCAGAGTGTTCTAATTTCAAACGGTCGCTAAATGAACAGTTGTAAGTCAGGGACTACCTGTACAAACTTAGTTCTCACCAGCCACTGCCCAGGAGGGACAAGACTACACATGCAAATAAATATTTTAAATATTTTGTTACTGTTTTAACTGGCTGTATTTCTAAAGGGATTTTATGTTTTCTAAACTTTAATTAGGAGCTGCCCAGAATTGGCTGAAAGGTGGGCGGCTGTAAACAATGTTTTAAATAAATAAAAGACCCCTCCTTTTTGCTAAAGGGGGCACGATGGCTCAGCAGTTAAAGCTGCCAGCCTGGGTTCAAGACCTGAGCACCATGCACTGGGCTGAGTTCCCCTTACTTGCCCTGCCCACCTAGCAGTTCTAAAGCATGCAAATGCAAACAAATAAATAGGTACTACTAGCACCCGGGTCAGCAACCCGCGGCTCCAGAGCCACATGTGGCTCTTTAAGCTTTCTCCTGTGGCTCCCAGTCCTCCTCCGTCATTTACAGAGAGGCACTTGCGCTTCCCTTCTCTCTGTGTGTAAAAAAGAGAGTGGCCTCACGCTGTTCTTCAACAAGCTGACAAGCTTATTGGGTGGGGCTCCTGCCTTTGCTGCGTCTACACAGGAAGCAGCAGAAAGCAGCAGAAAGCAGCAGCTCTCTCTCACACACACACACACACTGAGGGGGGAACAGGATTGGCAGACCAAAGGCAGGAGAAAGCCAGCCCAATAAGAATGTCAGCTTGTCGGAGAACAGGGTGAAGCCAGCTTGCCAGGTGAGCAGAAGATCGGGGAGAGGGAGGGAGAGAGAGAGAGAAAACACGCACAGCACCTCTATTTCTTTTTAATTAAACTCTTCAGTCAAGCTCGTGCCCTCTGGCACGCGTGCGCGCACAAGTTTTGTGGCTCCCAGTGTTTTCTGTGGGAGGCGGGTCTAAGTGGCTCTTTGAGTGTTTAAGGTTGCCGACCCCTGCACTAGCGGTTCTAAAGCATGCAAATGCAAGCAGATAAATAGGTACCACTACCGTGTTTCTCCAACATTAAGACCCGGTCTTAGTTGACCATCATTGACCACACGACCATGGAAATTGTCTTTGGACAACGGTTGGCCAAGAAACAGATGAGCACACACACACACACTTCACAGTCCGACACAGCTGGACGGGGAAGTCTTGACCTCCTCCCCCCTCCATTGCTGCTCACTTTTGGGCCCCTCCCTTCCTGGCAGGTACACGGCCGCCTGTTCTCGCCTCCTGGTCCAGTACAAGGCCGCCTTCAAGCAGGTGCAAGGGCTGGAGATCAACTCCATCGATGACTTTTGCCGCAGGTTTCGAGTAAGAGATCAAACGGGGGGGGGGGCGTTTGCATGAAAGAGCGCCTGTGCCCCGCCCGGTGACGGAGGGAGGGGGGCCAGGCCTGTTCAGGGGAAGGGGGGGGATCTCTCTGAGAAGTAGCCCCTCTTTCCCTTCCCAGCTCGACTGCCCGCTGGCCATGGAGAGGATCAAGGAGGACCGGCCCATCACCATCAAGGACGACAAGGGCAACCTCAACCGTTGCATCGCAGACATCGTCTCGGTAGGTGTTAGGGGGAGACCCCGGGGGGGCCACTCTCTGCAAGATGGACCCGGCCAGGTGCCTGACCGGGGCTGGGGCGGCTTTCTCTCTCTCTTCCAGCTCTTTATCACCGTGATGGACAAGCTGCGCTTGGAAATCCGGGCCATGGATGAGGTGAGCAAAGCGAGGTGGGGTCCTGGTCCCCCCCCCCAATCGACTCTGGGGAGAATAGTCTGAGCCCCCCTGGCTGCTCCCTGGCCCTGGAGCCACAATGTGCTTGCCAAAAGGGTTACCTCTGCCTATGTTCAAGCAGGGTTAGTGCCCCGTTCCTCCAAATCCAATAATTTCCTTCCTTCCTTCCTTCCTTCCACACTTTTCCTTCCTCTCCCTTCACTTTTTCCTTCCTTTCCTTCCTTTTTCCTCCCTTCCCTTCCTTCTTTCCTCACTTCCCTTCTTGCCTCTTTCCTTCCTTCCTCTCCCACTTTTTCCTTCCTTCCCTTCTTTCCTCACTTCCCTTCTTGCCTCCTTCCTTCCTTTTCCCTTCCTGCCTGCCTTCTTCCTATCTTATCTCCCCTCCCTTTCCCAGGAGCCAATAACAACCAAGCCAGGGGGATGATGGCCCTCTTTCTCCTCCTCCACAGATCCAGCCGGACCTGCGAGAGTTGATGGAAACCATGAACCGCATGAGCCACTTGCCCCCAGACTTCGAGGGGCGGCAGAAAGTCAGCCAATGGTGAGCTCTTTCCTGGCGGGACAGGAAGCCTTGGGCCAACGGCAGCCTTGCCAGTGTGCCCCCCCTCCATCCCGTTGGAAGGTGGGGAGGGGGGCCGGAGAGGCAGGGATGGGTAAAGACAGAGGAGATGCAGAAACAGAAGCCGATTCTTTTCTCCTTCTGGGGCCCTGGGTGCTCTCCGGGCTTGGCTGTTGTCCTGCAGACGTTTCATGACCCAACTAGGGAACATCATCAATGCTACAAGGATGTGATGATGGGGGAGAGATGAGTGGGGGAGGACAAGGACAACTGTGGGGGTCTTTTTTTTTTGCAGACCTTTTGTTACCCGGCTAGGTAACGTCATCCATGCTGGGAGGGAGTGGGATCCAGTCTCTATTGATACACGTGGCCTGCCCTGCCAACGTCAACAGGAGCAGTTTTGGCAGTTCCTTTATTGGGCTGCTTACTGTATTAATGACTGGATAGCCAATAATAATAATAATAATAAAGTTGGGAGGGACCCTGGAGGTCATCTAGTCCAACCCCTCGCTCAGGCAGGAAACCCTAGACCGTTTCAGAGAAATGGCTGTTCAGTCTCCTTAAAAACCTCCAGTGTTGGAGCATTCACCGCTTCTGGAGGCAGGTGGTTCCACTGGTTCATTGTTCTCACTGTCAGGAAGTTTCTCCTTAGTTTGTCTGAAATGGTCCAGGCCAGGGTTTCCTGCCTGAGCAGGGGGTTGGACTAGATGACCTTCCAGATCCCTTCCAACTTTATTATTATTATTATTAATTTGGTTAGTCTTTTCTTCCCCCCCCCCCCCCGAGAGACTGGGGAGGCAAAGCAGGCCCCCCTCCTCCCCCTGTGCTCAAGACCCCTTTCTCTCTAGGCTGCAGACCCTGAGCGGGATGTCGGCTTCCGACGAACTGGACGACTCTCAAGTCCGCCAGATGCTCTTTGATCTGGAGTCGGCCTACAACGCCTTCAACCGCTTCCTGCACTCCTGAGGCCGAAAGAGGGAGGTCTGGCCCTCCGGAGGAGGAAATGCAGCAGGCGCCCCTGGGCTCCGTCCACTACATCCACACACGTTTCCAAAGGCCGTCGGGTGTCTGTTTGCCTGTCTGAATGCAAGGACTCTAGTTTCCCTTCCTCCGGAGAAAGACGCCCTGCTCAGTCTCTACGTTTAATCCCTCTTCTCCTTGTGTGGGTCGCGGGGCAGATATTTACCCCACGGGTGGGACGGAGTGGGGATGGACCAGCCCCTCCTTCTGCAACCTTGAATTGGGGGGGCAGTAGCATATCGGAGGGGTGGGGGCTGCCTGTATTTATTTGGGTTTTCCTTTCGCCTCAAAGAGGGCATTTTTGTGGGTCTGAAGCAAATAAAACCTTTCTTACAATTGAAGCTGGCAACCTACCCGATTTATTCCGAGGTCGCTTCCCATCCCTGCCTCTTCTCAAAGTTATGAGTAAAGTTTCACCTCCTTTCCCTTCCTCCCCTAAAAAGCTGAAATGGGGGGGCTGCGTCCCTCCCCCAGCTCTACTTACAGCTAGAGAAGCAGCGACACTTAATAAATAAGGGACGGTTCAACACAGGAGGGCAGCATTATAAGAATTATTGGTTTAAAACAGCAGCCTGGTCCACGGAAGGGATGTGATGCTTTGTCTCCCACCCAAGTTTGCTCTGCAGGCACAAAGTCCTGAATTACACAAGTCGGATTTGTGGTCCTCTGTATCCTGTCTTCAACTTGTGTGTGTGTGTGTGTATGTCCTCTTGATTTGGCTGTGCGATTCCACACGTTCCACTGAGATTCCGCCGGAGTGGGACGGCGTGAGTGGCGTGTAGCCCGTGTCGCCCAATCGGTCCTTGACTGGTGGATCCCCGTCTTCACGGATGCCTGCACTACACACTCTGGCAGAAGAGTTTGTGGTGACGGGTGACGGTGTGAAGGGAAGTGTTGGCCGGGCCGTGCCACAGCTCAGCCACGTCCCGCTGATCGCTCCTGCTTAGCTGCCGGCCACAGAGTTGCAGGTGACCCACCAGGGAGGAGAGCTTGGTCCACGTGACGGTCTCCAGGGGTCCACGGACAGAACAGCCTAGGGAAAAAGGGAGAAGGAAGCCTGTTAGAGGCGTCTCCTGGGAACCCCGTCTTGAACCCAGGCCCGGCTCTCCCTGTCAAGCAGCAAAGGTGGGCTTCAACGTATTCATTTATATTAAGTTTATACATCAGCCATCTCAATCGAGCCACTTAGAATGCCATAAATGACACAATGAAACAATGAGTAAAACGGTGAGCATCGGAAGTTAAAACCCAGAGCGGTTAAAACGTTTTGATACCTACAAATAAAAAAGCGTTCAAATGGACAACCGTGCAGATCAAAAATGGGAAACTTTTAATTAAAGCCTTGCCCGGTTTCTTTCAATGGTATCCTTGCTCCGTTGTGAAGTGACTCCAGAAGACAACTGGCAAGCGAGAAAAAAAAGTTGATCTGGGAGAATCGATCTATTCATTAAATTTCTAGAAGGAAGGGCGTTTGGGCAGGGGGAGGGGCTGAGAAAGACAAGCAGACCGAGCAGCTTCCTTCGTTTTGTGAAGGACAGACGCAAATAGAGGAGAATATAGTTCAGGGTTGAACTGTGGGTTCCTGGGTGTTTTCTGAGCTGGGTGGTTTTCTTGCAGACGTTTCATGACCCAATTAAGTAACATCATCAGTGCTAGAAGGGAATGGGGTTTGGGGAAGAGGAGGAGGAGGAGAACTGTGGGGTCCTTGGTGCTCTCTGAGCTTGGTGGTTTTCTTGCAGACATTTCATGACCCAACTAGGTAACATCATCAGTGCTAGAATGGAATGAGGTGTGTGGAGAAGAAGAGGAGGACTGTGGAGTCCTTGGTGGTCTCTGAGCTTGGTGGTTTTCTTGCAGACATTTCATCACCCAACTAGGTAACATCATCAAGGCTTTAAGGAATGGGATTTGAGCAAACTTTATTCCTTAATAGCTCTGATGTAACCTAAACGTCTGCAAGAAAACCACCCAGCTCAGAGAGCACCAAGGACCCCCACATTCTTCCTCCTCCTCCTCCTCCTCCCTTCTAGCACTAATGATGTTACCTAGTTGGGTCATGAAACGTCTGCAGGAAAACCACCCAGCTCAGAGAGCACCAAGAACCCCACAGTCTTCCTTTTCTTCCTTCCCCCCTCCTCTGCTCCCCCCTCCTCTCCACAAACCTCCTTTCCCCTCTAGCACTGATGATGTTACCTAGTTGGGTCATGAAACGTCTGCAAAAACCCCAACAAGCTCAGAGAGCACCAAGGTCCCCTCAGAGTAGATGGAGGCTGGAGTCACCCATCATACTACAGGCACTAAACTCCAGGGCAGAGTGACGGGACACCCTGGCTCAGGTGACTGTGGCTGCAGCCTTCGGCCGTAGAAAACCCCAGCAAGCTCACCGGCCAGGCTAAGGAACCGGAGCCCTCGCTTCCGCTCCTCCAGGGTGACCAGCAGCGTCCGGAGCCCAACCAGGCTGATGGCGGGATTTGCCGACAGGTCCAGCGAGACTAAGGACAGGCAAGCGGGGAGGCTCCTGCGGAGAGAGAGCAGCTTCTGAGTTGCGGATGTGAACAGCAGAGTTGGGAGGGGCTTTGGAGGTCTTCTAGTCCAACCCCTGCTCAAGCAAGAGACCCTTAACAGAATAACAGAGCTGGAAGGGACCTTGGAGGTCTCCTAGTCCAACCCCCTGCTCAAGCAGGAGAAGCTATGCCCCAGGTGCCCAACCTCAGGAGCTCTATGACTTGTGGACTTCAACTCCCAGAGATTCCCCAGGCAGCCCTCCGATGCAGCCAGAATAACAGGAGCTGGAAGGGACCTTGGAGGTCTTCTAGTCCCACCCCCTGCTCAGGTGGTCTGCTTCCAAGGTTCAGGAGAGGGGTTCGCAGAGCAACCTGAACCACAACTCCAGTCCCACCCACCTCCACTGGGCTGCTGGGGAAGGAGACCCCTCCCCTCCTTTCATCATTCTAGGACAGTGGTTCTCAACCTTTTTAATGCCGCGACCCCCAACTGGTCGTAAGTTGAGGACTAAACCAGTCGTAAGTCAAGGACTACCCAACCGGTTGTAAGTCGAGGACTTTCTCCGCCCGGGAGTGCCGTGCATGCGTGGTGCCGCCCCCTGCACCGGCCGAGGCGTAGCTGGCAAGTGGCAAAGACGGAGCAGGCCGACCACCGGCTGGGCCACCAGCTGGCCCAGCCCAAGGGAGGTAAGGCACCCGCCGGAAAAGGGGGGAAAAAATGGTGGACAGCCTTGCTTGGCGACCCCCGTGAAATGGTCGATCGACCCCAACTGGGGTCACGACCCCCAACTGGGGTCACGACCCACCCCTCATTTTCAGAAGCCCAGCTGCGCAGAGAGCATCTCCTGTCGGAGGGCAACAAGGAAGACTAAAAGCACAGCAGCAGAAGCCGAAAGGAGCCCCCCTACCCCCGTTGCCCCCAAGGCAGCCTGGGATGATGGCCCCTCCCAGGGCTTGTTCTCAGGCCCCTCCCTCTTCCGCCTTCTCACACCTGGGCATAAGCAGCTTTCTTACCTCGCTAGCTCTGACACATCCTCATCATCCAGGTGATTCCCAGAGAATCCCAGGTGGGTCAGAACGCAGCCTTCCTGTCCGGAGAAGGGTCAAGATTCAGAACTCAGGCTGGGGGAGGAAGGGGGGGGTCCTGTGTGTTTGATCTTCTCCCCATCCCTCCAATTTCACAATGCAGACCGTCTCCGGGCGATGGGAGAACACCCACCTGCATCAGATACCTAACCACGGTGTCCCTCAGCTGCGGCCGGTCACCCGCCCGGAGGTCCAAGGAGCCCAACTCCAGATGGGTGAGCGAGTGGCAGGGCAGGCTTTTAAGCAGCACCTCAAGGCCGCGGGAGCCCAAGGGATTGTGGGACAGAGAGAGCCTCCTGAGGTTCATAGCTCCTGCAAGGAAATAGAGCAGTGGTTCTCAATCTTTTTAATGCCGCGACCCCCAACCGGTCGTTAAGTCGAGGACTACTCAACTGGTGCAGCACCGTTTGCAGACTGGGACTTTTGGCAGGCTCAGCAGGGCAGAGACAGCCTGGACAATTCCTATTGGCTTTGGAAAGCCAATAGAATGAGAGTCTATTCAAGTGAGTCTATTCTATTGGCTTTCAAAAGCCAATAGAATAAAGGGAGGAGCACAGCTAAGGAAAAGCAGGGAAAAATGGCAGACTGTGTTGTTTGGCGACCTCCGTGAAATGGTCGTTCGACCCCAAATAGGGTCCCGACCCACAGGTTGAGAACCACTGAAATAGAAGGAGGTGGAACATCTCCAGATGTTTGAGGGCCAGAGGGGGGGAACGAGGGAGGACAGGAGAAGTATGGAGGGCCACAGACAGGGACAGCATCACCGTGGCTGGACATTTTAGCTTCAGGAGGCTGCCAAGCTTCCGAATGACGAACCCAACCAAACAAGCACCCTGGGGAGGATCCAATCTCCTAATGCAGGGGTCCCCAACCCCAGGGCCGTGGACCGGTAACGAGCCGCGGCATGCCAGCAACCGGTCCACACAAACAAGCAAAGCCCCATTCACAGGATGCAGGCAGCACACAAAACCACGCACGCTTCGGTCCGCGGAGAAACCTCTCTGCACGGAACCGGTCCCTGGTGCCCCAAAGGTTGGGGACCTCTGTCCTAACGCAAAACTTTATTGAGTACATCACTTCGGCACATAGGAAAGCGAAGCCAACTCTGGCAAGACCCCCAACCCAAACCCCTATAAGAAAAATACAGAATTCTCCCTCTTCCCTCCTCCCTCTTGGCAAGATCATGTTGCCCAATCAAGTATGCTATGAGAAAGTGTCTCTGGGTCTAGCCCAGGGGTCTGCAACCTTAAACACTCAAAGAGCCACTTGGACCCGTTTCCCAGAGAAAAGAAAACATTGGGAGCCGTAAAACCTGCGCATGCGCACACAGTTTAATTAAAAAGAAATAGAGGCTGCTGTGCATGAGTTCTCTCTCTTTCCTCTCTTTTTCTCTCTCTTTCTTCTCTCCCTTTTTCCCTCTCCCTCCCTCTCTTTTTCTCTCTCCCTCTTTTTCTCTTTTTTCTCTCTCTTTCCTCTCCCTCTCTCTCTCCCCCCTCCCTCTCTCCAATCTTCTGCTTGTTCTCCAACAAGCTGACACAATTCTTATTGGGCTGGCTCTCTCCTGCCCTTCTTGCTTCCTGCAGAGATGCAGCCAAGGGAGGAGCCCCACCCAATAAGCTTGTCAGCTTGTCCAAAAACAGCGTGAGGCCACTCTCTTTTTTACACAGAAACAAACACACATACGAGGGGGGGGGGAAAGTGCAAGTCCCTCTCTCTGTCTCTGTCTCTGCAAATGGCGTAGGAAGCTGGGAGCCACAGGAGAAGGCTCAAAGAGCCGATGTGGCTCCAGAGTTGTGAGTTGCTACCCCTGGACTAGCCAGACGCCTGGTGTAACATCCTTGAGTCTCACAGTCTGGTTTCTTAGTCTTTGAAGACTGCATTCCAATCCCTTTCCCCCCCACTCCCCAGTTTGTTGGCAAACTGAGAAACAGAATGGGTCACACCAGCAAAACCGTGCTTCGAAACTTGACAGAGGGGCGACCCTCCTCAACAAAGGAGTCTGAAGACCTCCCACCACCCCTTATCTTTCAGTAGCCAGAGGTGCCCCTGACCATCACACCTGTCCCGTCTTCCTACCTTTCAAGGCACCGGCCAGCAAGAGAGAGTGAGGCTCCGAGAAGATAGGGCCGAGGCCGCAGGCTTGCAATTGAAGGGTGCCCAACACAGGGCAGGCCTGAACCAGCAAGGCCAGGGACTGGGAGCTGCGGTCACCCAAGGGGTTCAAGCTGAGGTCCAGCTCTTCTAAGTTCTGGAAGGAGGAAAAGAGAGTGTCAGCAACTGGAGAGACAGGAAAGTTAATTTGAAAGCTAGTGCCTCCACGCCGGTTTTCTCATCCACGGTTGAGAGTTGGACTCCAGGATGAGTTTAGCTTAAGAAGGCTAGATAACTCTTAGGAAATAGAACAAGATCATATTCAAATAATTAATTTATATAATTAATATAATAATTATATTCAAACAATTAACCAGTGGAACAACCTGCCTCCAGAAGCAGTGGATGCTCCAACACTGGAAGTTTTGAAGAAGAGACTGGACAGCCGTTTGTCTGAAATGGTGTAGGGTTTCCTGCCTGCAAAAGGGGTTGGACTAGAGGACCTCCAAGGTCCCTTCCAACTATTATTATTATTATAAGAAAAAAACCCCGAGAAAGTCCAGTTGCCTTTTGGAAAAAGCACCTTTGGGACAATCGTGACCTGGACGATGGAGAACCTCCACGGATGTTTCCTTTTTCTTAGCTCCTTTCCCTACTTAGCACCTCAGGGCTTATGCCCAGTGACTACCATGTTTCTCCCAAAATAAGACCAGGTCTTATATTAATTTTTGCTCCAAAAGACGCATTAAGGCTTATTTTCCAGGTAGGTTTTATTTTCAGGGAAATACGGTACTAAATGCCTCCATCTGGCTGACGATCTTTGTTGTTGTTGTTAGTTGCGAAGTCGTGTCCGACCCATCACGATCCCATGGACCACGTTCCTCCAGGCCTTCCTGTCCTCCACCATCTTCTGGAGTCCATTTAAGCTCACGCCTCCTGCTTCAGGGACTCCGTCCAGCCACCTCCTTCTCTGTCGTCCCCTTCTTCTCTTGCCCTCCATCTTTCCCAGCATTAGGCTCTTCTCCAGGGAGTCCTTCCTTCTCATTAGGTGGCCAAAGGACTTGTTTCAACTTCAGGATCTGGTCTTCTAAAGAGCAGTCAGGGTTGATCTCCTCCAGGACTGACCGGTTGGATCGCCTTGCAGTCCAGGGGACTCGCAGGAGTCTTCTCCAGCCCCAGAGTTCAAAGGCCTCCATTCTTTGGCGCTCAGCTTTTCTTGTGGTCCAATTTTCACAGCCATACATTGCAACTGAAAAAAACCATGGCCTTGACTATACGTACTTTTGTTGGCAGGGTGATGTCTCTGCTTAATGATTTTAATTGGGGTTTATTTTGGGTGGGGTGTGGCTTATATTACGAGCATCCTGAAAAAAACCACACTAGGGATTATTTTCCTGGTTGGGTCTTATTTTTGGAGAAACACAGTATTTATGAATGGGAGATTTTAAATGAAAGGGATGCTCTGCTTTTCTTCCTACACAACCCTCCTACCTGGAAGGTCAATGACCCGGGAAGGCCTGCAGCCAACTTGTGCAGCCCGTCGGGGCCCAGCCGGTTGGCCGAGAGATCCAGTTGCTTCAGCCCAGGGATGGTCCTCAGGGTGGCCTGCAGCTCCTCAGCCGAATCGTCCCCCAGGCCGGTCCCAGAGAGGCACAGCTGGCGGATGGAAGCCTGCAGCTTGAGCGCCCGCAGGAGAGGGCGCAGGTGCCGCTGGCGCAGGGCCGTGCCGGAGACGCTGAAGGACGAGCCCGACTCCTGGCGCTCCAGCAGCTTCACCAGCAGCGGCTGTTCGCCTGCAGGTCGGGGGGGGGGGGAAGGACCCAGGTTAGACAAGCCGCTTGCAGGGAGGAAAAGCAGACGTCCCAAAGGTGTTTTTTCAGGAGGCAACTGTTTTTTCTTTGAAGGCGTTTCGCTTCTCATCCCAGAAGCTTCATATGGGTGGTGGGGAGTGGAAGGATTTATACTCCTTGCAGATAGCTGGTCATTTGCATCCTTTTAAAGCAGCGGTTCTCAACCTGTGGGTCGGGACCCCATTTGGGGTGGAACAGCCATTTCACGGGGGTCGCCAAACAACGCAGTCCGCCATTTTTCCCCCCCTTTTCCTTAGCTGTGCTACTCCCTTTTATTCTATTGGCTTTTGAAAGCCAATAGAATAGACTCTCTTGAATAGAGTCTAATTCTATTGGCTTTCAAAAGCCAATAGGAATTGTCCAGGCTGTCTCTGCCCTGCTGAGCCCGCCCAAAGTCCCATTCTGCAAACGGTGCTGCACCAGTTGAGTAGTTCTCGACTTACGACCGGTTGAGTAGTCCTCGACTTACGACCGGTTGGGGGGTCGCGGCATTAAAAAGGTTGAGAACCACTGTTTTAGAGAGTCATTGAGGCCACCTTCTGCGTATGTGCGCAGGCTAAAGTAGGTTTTTAAAAAATTCTAGGTCCCCGTTTGTACTTACAACTGCGCCTAAAATTTGAGCAGGGCTGCGCCCGAGAGGCATGAATAAACCAAGAGAGAGCAGCGCCCCGCAGAGGCGGGCTGGGTGCTTACCCACCGCCAGGGTCTGGCAGGCCTTGCGGTATCTCTCCACCAGGGGGGGCAGGTCCCAGGACTGCACTTCCGCCAAGACCTGAGAGACGGAGAGTGGGGAGGGGGGGTCAGCTGGCCTGGGAGGGGAAGGTACAGCCCCCCCAAGGGCTGGGTTCCCCTGGGACACTCCCCTTCCACACCGGGGTCCCGTTCAGAGGGGCAGAACCTCCGTGGCCACGTGGCAGGGCTCGTCCCCAGCCCACCCACCCCTATCCCCCTCCTTCGACCGGTGGCTTCTGTTGGGAACACAGAACACACCCTTTGGGTTTCCCTCTCTTCCCCAGATCCCAGGGCTTCCCTCCCAGCTGCCCGCCTGCTCTGTCTGAACTCTGGGAGCTCTGCGGGATGCCGGAAGAATTCCGGTCGGCAAGGGAAGGGGGGGAGGGGGGACAGGGTGTTGGGGCCCGACGAGGCATCCCACTCTGGACGCGGTTAATAGACTAAGAAGGTCCCACCTCCGCTCCCATTTGAGCATTGGTTCGTTTCTTATTTGGGTTTTTTGGGGGGGGTTTGACTTTTGTTCATTTAAAATGTTCTAATGACCTATTGCTGTTTTATGATGTTTTAAACCACCCAGAGACACTGGATAGTGGGATAGGCAGTATATAAATTTGGAAGGAAGGAAGGAAGGAAGGAAGGAAGGAAGGAAGGAAGGAAGGAAGGAAGGAAGGAAGGAAGGAAGGAAGGAAGGAAGGAAGGAAGGAAAAAAGAAAGAAAGAAAGGAAGAAGGAAGGAAAGAAAGAAAGAAAGAAAGAAAGAAAGAAAGAAAGAAAGAAAGAAAGAAAGAAAGAAAGGGAGTAGAGAGGGAGGGAGGGGAGAGGAAGGAAAGGAGGGAGGGAAGGAAGGAAAAAAAGAAAGAAAGGGAGGGAGGGAGGGAGGGAGGAAGAAAGGAAGGAAGGAAAAGAAAGAAAGAAAGAAAGAAAGAGGGAGGAGAGAGGAAGGAATGGAGGGAGGGAGGAAAAGAAAGAGAGGGAGGGAGGGATAAAGGAAGGAAGGAAAAGAAAGAAAGAAAGAAAGAAAGGAGGGAGGGAGAGAGAGAGGAAAAGAAAGGAAGGAAGGAAGGAGGGAAGGAGGGAAGGAGGGAGCTGTGGTGGAATCTGCAGACAGAGCAGAGGGGGAATAAAAAGTCTCTCAGTGGGAGGAAGCAAAGGAGATCAGACCCTTGAAGATTTTCTCTGCCTCTTCCCTCTTTCTCATCTTTTTTTCTTTCTTTCTTTCCATTCCCTTCCTTCCTTTCCTTTCTTTCCTTCTCTCCCTCCCTCCCTCCCTCCCTGGCAGTCTGGTGAGATTCTTGCAAAGAGGAGCCCAGCAATGAAGAAGCCCCTCAGAGCGGCTGGCGGAGGCGTTCTGGCCCCGGCCAGATTTCAGCGGCCCCACAGCCTGTGGGAGGAAGCCCACCCCTTTCCTCGCTTCCCCCCCCCCCCCCCCCCGCGTCCGCTCACCTCCTCGTTGCTTTGCAGGACGTCCAGGATGCTGTCCTGAGGGGCCAGCAGAGCCCCCTCCTTCTTGAGGGTCAGGCGGGGCAAGAGGCCGCAGGTCTGGTAGTAGCGCTGGGAGGCCTGCTCGGCCAACCACGAGACTGGCCGGTTCTCACCCTCACTGCAAGGAGGAGGAGGAGGAGGAGGCCGGTGAGCAGAGAGTCATGCAGGGGCTTCTCCTCTGGGGTCAGCCTAATGGCTTCCCAGCCCCCACCCCACATAATATCCAACTATGCCAGGGCTAGGCCACTTTGGCCCCTTCATGACTCGTGGACTTCAACTCCCAGAATTCCTGAGCCAGCCATGCTGAGGAGAAAGGGAGAGGTTTCCAAGCTGAGCCATGCTGGCTGAGGAATTCTGGGAATTGAAGTCCACCAGTCATAAAAGAGCCCAAGTGGCCTACCCCTGGCCTATACTATACCTATATAGAAACCTATTCTGAGATTTGTTTTTTAAATTTGTTTTCAAATCTAAGATCTGACTTGATTTCAAGTGAGAAGACTAAAATAACACAAAGTTTTTAGGAATTAATTTTGGCGTCCACCACTGCAATGGGAGTGATGTCAATCTGAGGGAATTATACTGCTATTTCCTGGTCTATACAGGTAGTCCTAGACCAGAGGTAGGCCACCTTGGCTCTTTCGTGACTCGTGGACTTCAACTCCCAGAATCCCTGAGCCAGCATGGGGGAACTATGGCCCTTCATGACTGGTGGACTTCAACTCCCAGAATTCCTGAGCCAGCATGGCTCAGCTTGGAAACCTCTCCCTTTCCCCTCAGCATGGCTAGCTCAGGAATTCTGGGAGTTGAAGTCCACAAGTCATGAAGGGTCCATAGTTCTCCCACGCTGGCTCAGGAATTCTGGGAGTTGAAGTCCACGAGTCATAAAAGAGCCAACGTGGCCTACCCCTGGCCTATGCAAAGAGAAAGTGCATGCGGGGGGGGGAGTCCTGTGCCCCTCCCTCCCTGGGGAATCTGAGATAGCACCCCTCACTCAAAACTCATTGATGCAAAATGTAAGTCCTTGTTTAGTGACAGAATGGAAACCAGCAACTTGGTTGTTAAGCCGAGTGTCGCTAAGCAAAAAGTGCCAAAAAGTGGGGTTTAAAACATTGCTTTGCTTTGCTTTATTCATTTTCTTTCCCATTTATGACTGGGATAGTCATAAGTGAGAGGACTGGCCGTACAGCTATTGTTCTCATCCCCATCATTAAGTGAGGCAGTTGCTCCATGAGGACTAACCATAAAAATCCAACTCGGCTGCCTTGCTACGGCCAGTACAGCAAGGCCGCCCCCCCTACCCCTTAAGCGGCATCCCCTTTTGGACTAAAGATGGCACATGAAGGTCTACAAGGGACGGTCTCAAAATTAAAGGCGGCGGTCGCCAAGTCTGAAGCTCCGCTTGCTTTTTATGGGTGTCGAACTCTTGGAAAAAACCCCCCCAGCAGTATAAAAATCGAACAAAATCAGTAAAGAAAGGACAAAATGAACTGCAAATGACGAAAACGAAAATAATCTTTTAAATTATTTTAGATAATTAAGTTGAATTGTCCCGCAGCAATTTGTCTTATTCCGGCTGGCGGGAAGCCAGGGGAAAGATGGGCCAGCACTGGCTGGACTGCTGACCCACCCAGCCTGGAGGGAGCCACGTGCCAAGGGGCAGGCCGGACCCTCCCCCCATTTACCTTTGCGGCACCGGAATCAGGAAAACGCTGTCCTGGACCTGAACTCGCACCCGGACAGGAGGCGACGGTAGCTGCAGAGGGAGGGGAGAGCAGAAGCTAAGGAAGCCGCTCGGGGTCCTACCTGGCTCAGGATGGGGGGGGGCTCAGCCCCAAACCTCACCTGCATGGCACCTGAAGGTGGGCTGTCTCCCCCTCGAGGGGGACTGCTGTCAGTTCCTTGCAGAAGGCCGCTGGGCTCAGCGGGAGAGTCCGGTCGTGGTGGGGGGCCGGCCCCTCGGCTTCTCCCCAGCAGGGTCCGGTCTAGGGTGAGGCGACTCTGGCGGGCAGGTCTCCTCCTCCTCCTCCTGGGGGTGGTGGTCTCGGGGGCCTGGCAGGGCGCCCCCCCTTCGCTGTCCTCCGAGCCGGACCCCCAAGCTTGGGCTGGGCTCCGGCGGCTCCTTTTGCGAGAGCCCCCGCTGGCCCCCAGGTCGTCCTCCAGCCAGTCGTCCCCCACGTACTCGTCTGCTGGGATCAGGGCTGGCCGAGGGTGTCCCTTGTGGCGCTCTGGGCTCGGAGGGGGGCGGAGGGGGGCGCTGCCCAGCCCAAGCATGGCGGCTTGATAGTCTGCAGGGGGCGCCCTCCCGGCCTCCCCCGCCAGGGCCGGGTCAAGCAGACGCTGCCTCTTCTTGACCGGCCGCAGGGGGCCCATGCAGTCCTCCTCTTCCGGCTCTTGATGGCGCTGCCTGGCACCGGGGGGCTTCGGAGGGGGGCCTTGGCACTCGGAGAGCTCTGCATCAAAGAGCTGGCTGGCGGAGTCTACGCGGGGAGGCGGGGGCCGGGAACCTGCAAGGGAGTTGGATTAGGTCAAAGCCCCCCCCCAGTCCGAGCGTCCTGGGAAGCTCCAGTACAGGAAGCTCCAGTACAGATTGGGTGGGGGGGCTCCCCATCATTTAGGGCAGGGGTCTTCAAACTTGGTCTTTTTATGACTTGTGGACTTCAACTCCCAGAATTCCTCAGCCAGACATGCGTGCCTGGCTGAGGAATTCTGGGAGTTGAACTCCACAAGTCATCAAAGGGCCAAGATTGAAGACCCCTGGTCTGCATTCAAGCCCACAGTTTCATCAAAATGGCCGACTGAGGAATTCTGGGAGTTGAAGTCCACCAGTCATCAAAGGGCCAAGTTTGAAGACCCCTGTCTTAAATCTAACAAAGAAAATGGAGGCCGACTGAGGAATTCTGGGAGTTGAAGTCCACCAGTCATCAAAGGGCCAAGTTTGAAGACCCCTGTCTTAAATCTAACAAAGAAAATGGAGGCCAACTGAGGAATTCTGGGAGTTGAAAGGTCCAAGTTTGAAGACCCCTGATTTAGGGGGACAGCAAGGTCCTGAACACTCTCTCTTCCTGATCCTACCATCCTCCTCTGAGTTGCTAAAACGGGGGTCTTCAAACTCAGCAACTTTAAGACGTGGGACTTCAACTCCCAGAATTCCCCAGCCAGCATGAGGAATTCTGGGAGTTGGTGCCCACGTCTTAAGGTTGCCAAAGTTTAGAGACCTCCCACCCCCTCCTAGTGCTAAAACGAATGTGAGCCAGAAGTTTGGCCAACCCCAGTTTGGGTTTTGAGGCTAAACATGGCTTCCCCACCCCCTATTTCCCCAGGCCAGGAGTAGACAACCTTGGCTCTTTTATGACTCGTGGACTTCAACTCCCAGAATTCCTGAGCCAGCATGAGTCCACGAGTCATAAAAGAGCCAAGGTTGCCGACCCCTGCCCCAGGCTATTAGCCCCATTCCACAGATTAGGGAGGTTCCAAGAGAAGCAGAAACCCAGGTCACTCTGCACTTGTGTACCTGGGCAGGTGAAGCACCTGACTTGCACCCAGAACGGGCACAGAGCAGCCTGCTCACAAGCTAGTCCAGTTTGAGGCTTGTACTATTTAACAAAGTCCGTCAGGGATCTCCAAGCTTGGCAACTGGAAGACCTGTGGACTTCGACTCCCAGAATTCCCCAGCCAGCACGTGCTGGCTGGGGAATTCTGGGAGTCGAAGTCCACAGGTCTTCAAGTTGGAGAGGCCTGTTGTAAAAGGAAGCAGGCAAACAGATTGAGATACAAACTCTCACACCAAGGGGGTCTCCTCGGATCATGTCCCACCCCCGAGACTGGCTGCCTCCTGGCCTGAAGCAACCCCCCCCACCCCTCCCACCCTCGTCCTGGGTGCAGTCTCACCTTGCTCTGCCATGGTTTTCCGAAGCAAGCTCTCCATGGCTTTGCAGCGGTCGTGGGTTTCCTGGTCCAGATCCTTCCCGTAGAGTTGCCCCCAAGCTTGGAGGGTGCCCAAAGGGGTCAGGCCCTGAAGCAGCAGGAGACACACAGAGCCTCAGCTCAATGTCTCTCGGGAAATCAGGAGATGGGGAATTCTAGTCTCGCCTTAGTGCTGATAGCCAGCTGGGTGATTTTGGGCCGATCGCCAGGTTACTATGAGTTCTAGTTTCGCCCTAGCCATGAAAGCCAGTTGGGTGAGTTTAGGCCAGTCACCAGGTGACTGTGAGTTGTACTCCCACCTAAGCCATGAAAGCCGGTTGGGTGAGTTTAGGCCAGTCACCAGGTGACTGTGAGTTGTAGTCCCGCCTAAGCCATGAAAGCCAGTTGGGTGAGTTTAGGCCAGTCACCAGGTGACTGTGAGTTGTAGTCCCGCCTAAGCCATGAAAGCCGGTTGGGTGAGTTTAAGCCCGTCACCAGGTGACTGTGAGTTGTAGTCCTGCCTAAGCCATGAAAGCCAGTTGGGTGAGTTTAGGCCAGTCACCAGGTGACTGTGAGTTGTAGTTCCACCTTAAGCACAAAAGCCGTTTGGATGACTTTGGCCCCCCGTTTCTTCTCTTTCAGCCCAATCCACCTCACAGGTTTGGTGTTGTGGGGAAAACAGAAGGAAGAAGAATCCGATATGTTTGCCACCTTGAGGTATTTATAAAAATAACCCAGGCAGGATAAAAATGAATAAGTCAGTAGATAAGACACCAAAGGGACAGAGAGAAATGTTAGAATAGAGCTGGAAGGGATCTTGGAGGTCTTCTAGTCCAGCCCCCCGCTCAAGCAGGAGAACCTATTGAGTCTCAGACGGATGACTGTCTAGACCAGTGTTTCTCAACCTTGACAATTTTAAGGCATGTAGACTTCAACTCCCAGAATTCCACAGCCAGCATTGCTGGCTGTGGAATTCTGGGAGTTGAAGTCCACATGCCTTAAAATTGTCAAGGTTGAGAACCACTGGTCTAGACTCTTTTTAAAAACCTCCAGTGATGGAGCGCCCATGGTTTCTGGTGGCGAGCTGTTCCATTGGTTAACTGTCCTCACTAGATCCCAGGCTGGCCAGCTTCTCAAATAAAGTCACACCAGTCCTGACACACTCACGCTCGCCCACCCATGTCCACCACCCGCAGCAACCCGCAGGGTCTCCTCACCGTGGCGTTGCGTAGCAACACTGACGCGCCTCTACGGATCAGGAGCTCGGCCACATCAAAGTGGCCGCAATTCAGGGCATCGTGCAGCGGGGTGATGCCGTCACAGCCCGGCCCCCCTGGGTCATCAGTGGTGGCGCCGTGATCCAAGAGCAAGCGGACGATCTCTGAGAAAGATACGAGGAAGTCACGTCCAACATTGTTCTGCAAGCCATACAGAATAACAGAGCTGGAAGGGGCCTTGGAGGTCATCTAGCCCAGCCCCCTGCTCAAGCAGGAGACCCTTGCAGAATAAGAGTTGGAAGGGAACGTGGAGGTCATCTAGTCCAGCCCCCTACTCAAGCAGGAGACCCTGACAGAATAACAATTGGAAGGGACCATGAAGGTCATCTAGTCCAGCCCCCTGCTGAAGCAGGAGACCCTTGCAGAATAACAGAGCTGGAAGGGATTGTGGAGGTCATCTAGTCCAGCCCCCTGCTCAAGCAGGAGACCCTTGCAGAATAACGGAAGGGACTGTGGAGGTCATTAGTCCAGCCCCCTACTCAAGCAGGAGACCTATATACCAGTTCAGACGACTGTCCAATATCTTCTCAAAACCCTCCAGTCATGAAGCACCCACAGCTTCTGGTGGCAAGCTGTTCCACTGGTTAATTGTCCTCACTGTTAGGAAGTTTCTCCTTAATTCCAGGTTGTTTCTCTCCTTGATCCGTTTCCAACTGTTGCTTCTTGTCCTGCCTTCCGGGGCTTTGGAGAATAGCTTGAACCCCCTCATCTTTGCTTATGAGCAGAACCCGCACCCCATCCATCGTTCAGTCCCCGCTTACCCAGATGCCCGTGATTGCAGGCCTCGTGAAGGGGGGTCCATCCGCAATAGTCCCGGGGGTTTACGGGGTGCTCCTGACACAGAAAGAGGATAGTAAAGCTGGAGGAAGAGGCTGAGGGTTTGGGGTTGTAAAAGGAACTTTTTTTTTAATTAATTCAATCGAACTTTGCCCTATCGTTACCCTGTGTTGGAAAGTATCTTGTAGGTTTTAATTTTAATTTCTCCTTTCAGGGGGAGTTCTAACTCACTTGTAAGCAGGAAGGGTGAAAAAAATAACATCTGCAGGAATTTCACAGCTGAATACTAATTCTAAATCAGGGTATCCAACCTTGGGCATTTGAAGACCGGTGGACTTCAACTCCCAGAATTCCCCAGCCAGCATAGCTGGCTGGGGAATTCTGGGAGTTGAAGTCCACCGGTCTTCAAGTGCCCAAGATTGGACAACTCTGTTCTAAAGGTCTGTTCTTTGAATAATTATTTTGGTCAAATATAAAGGGTGAGCTTAAGGCAGGTGTAGGCAGCCTTGGCTCTTTTATGACTCGTGGACTTCAACTCCCAGAATTCCTGAGCCAGCCATGCTGAGGGGACAGGGAGAGGTTTCCAAGCTGAGCCATGCTGGCTGTGGAATTCTGGGAGTTGAAGTCTACCAGTCATGAAGGGGCCATAGTTCCCTCATGCTGGCTGAGGAATTCTGGGAGTTGAAGTCCACGAGTCATAAAAGGGCCAAGTTTGAAGACTCCTGTCTTAAATCTAATAAACAAACTGGAGGCTGGCTGAGGAATTCTGGGAGCTGAAGTCCACCAATCATAAAAGAGCCAAAGTTCCTCACCCCTGGTCTAGGGCAGGGGTAGGCCACCTTGGCTCTTTTACGACTTGTGGACTTCAATTCCCAGAATTCCTCAGCCAGCCATGCTGACTCAGGAATTCTGGGAGTTGAAGTCCACGAGTCGTAAAAGAGCCAAGATTGCCTGCCTCTGGCTTAGGGGAAAGACAAGGTGTTCCTTCAGGCTGCCACAATGTGTCCCCCCTTCCGCAAGGGTAGAGACAAAAGATGTGGGCTTGAACTGGACCCGAGAATGGGGTGCATCAGAAGGGAAACAGCCCCCCCTCACCTGCCTTCAAGCACAACATTCCCCTCCCATCCCTCGGCCATCTTCTTCTCTGCAAGCCCAAGACTGGCATTTTATAACCCCGGGGTCACCTGCAGCCTTCTGGCTGCTCCCGTCCGGCCTGCGTGAGGTCAACTGGAAATTCGAAAATAAAATCTAAATAAGCTGGGTGCTGACGGCAGAGTTAACTTCAGCCTCTTGTTTTGGCCTTCCATGACAGCCCCTTGGGAATATTCCTTGCCCACCCCTGCCCCAGGACTTACCTTCTCCAGAAAAAACTGGACTTGGCGCAGATTCCCTTCGATGCAGGCGCGGTGCAAAAGAGTCTCGCCCTTGTCGTTCCGCTGGTTCCACTGAGGAAAAGAGCACCGACGTGGATCCCTTCCGTGGGATGATCAGCAGCCACCCGCCACACCAGCCCAAAACCAAGGGGTCAAAGGAGCGCCTCAATGTAGGCAAAGGGATGGCAGAACGTGGGGCAGAGTCAAACGAGGCGCCAGCCAAGAATCCCTACGTAGCCGCAAGCGAAACCAGGCCAACCTCCCTCAGATTCCTTTGGCTCTGACCTCTCTCTGAGCAGGCACTGCTAAAAATTCCTGCGCATAGCCCGTTGAGGGATAAATCAGTTTAATTGAGCCTTCACATGGGGGGTCTTTCGTGCCTGACACCCACCCCTACGCCTAGTCAAAGCTTCTGGGCTGACCTTGCTGACCCTCCGCCGTCCAGGGACTGTTTTGCTGTAGCCTTCCATGTCTTCTTCTTCATCTGGAAGAGAAGCAGGATGTGTATGTGTGTCAGAGGAAGCACCAGGGGCTCCAAAGTCCCTCTGGACCCGTTGCCTGGCCCCCCCCAGAGGGTTCCAAGGGCAGAGACCCTCTGCAACCCGTGCAAATTTCGCTCCACACAGTGTCCGTGTCTCCCTCTTGTACGTCTCCCTTCTAACGTCATCCTGTTCCCCGTTAGCAGCTGCACTCTGGGGCTGATTTCCAGGCAAACCCAGGAAAGGATTGAAGCGGTCGATGCCACGGGGAGGAAAACAAGGTTCGTTTGCTGCCCTCCCCCCATCTTGGCATTTCCAGGGGCAGTTGGCCCAGCACTGTTGTGTGAAAGCGTCTTCCTGGCTTCCTCAGTCCGGGACCGACTCCAGGAACACCCCCAGGACTAGAAAGCTGCCATTCCAGAGGGAGAAGTATTTCCCTGGCACAGGCTGGTCCTGACTGCCTTTGGACCAACCAAGGAGAGCCGGGGCCTCACCTGAATCCAGGTGGCATCCTCATCCCTGCTTTCCTTCTTCAGCAGGAACTCACAAAGGTTAAGTGACAGTTTGACAAGTCAGGAAAATTGCAGCCCGGCCTTCAACCAGCTCCCACCCCTCTCCTCCACCAAGAAGGGCAGGACCTAAAAACTGGACTCCGTACAGGTGGTCCTCGACAGTTCAGTTAGCGACCGTTCAAAGCTACCACGGCATTGAAAAAAAAATGACTTGTTTTTCACACTTACGACCGTTGCTGCATCCCCAGGGTCACGTGATCAAAATTCAGAGGCATGGGCTCACATTTATGACGGTTGCAGTGATCCCCTTTTGCGACCGTTTGACCAGCAAAGTCAACGGGAGAAGCCAGATTAACAACCGTATTACTAACTTAACAACTGCAGTGGTTCAGTTAAGAACTGCAGCAAGAAAGACTGTAATACAAGGCAAAACTCACTTAATAACTGTCTCGCTTAGCAACGGAAATTTTGGGCTCCGTTATGGTCGTTGAGGACTACCTGCTTGTCCCGGGCCAGAAGAACCCACTTGCCCTCTTCTCCCGCGCCACTCATAATGCTCACCGCTGTCGGAGAGCTCCATGTCGCTGGCCTCCCAGGCCTGGCTGTTCTGCAGCTCCTCTTCCTCGCTGCTCTCCCCGTCTGAGGGGCAGCCCTGGGAGGCGCGGAGGGCCTGCAGCCGGGCTGACGTCTCTGCTATGACCGCCGGCGGGCAGCCCCATCTCTGCTGAGAAGCTTGGAGGTGCTGCAGGATCTGAAGCTGACAGAGAGCGATCGGGGTGTGATCATCCGGCTTACGTCAAGACTGAAACGTTGGCAGCTACGTGCCTCTTCGTTTCAACTTGCCATTAAGAGTAAATGGGTGTGTGGGAGGCATTGCTTTAGAAATGGTGAAGGTGAAGAAGAAACGAAACCTCTACGATTCCACTGAAGACTGTGAGAGCCTGAAACCCTTGCAAGGACACTTCAGTAGGTGCGGAGAAGAGGCAGACGGTTCCCATAAAAAAAGCGAAACGGTTTACACGGACTACATGAGAGAATGGGGTTTGGGCCGGAGAGAGTATTGTTTAATTCTATGAACTGGTGTCTGGGGACCTCAGAGTGAGTTTTGCTTCGACATTACCATGCCGTGTATTCATGAAACAGTAAGATTTTCGGAAACGAAATGAGCTTGGACTTTTATTTGGATCGTTGAGCTGGGTGTTCGCAGCTTATTTGGAGGCACAGCTGTCAATCTGGCTCCAGGTCAAGCAAAGACGAACGATAGAGCTGCGTTCTCCAAACCTGGCAACTTTTAAGACTTGTGGACCTCAACTCCCCAAATTTAAGTTCACGAGTCTTTAAAGTTGGGAGACCCCACCCTTTTATAGAAGGAGTCAGGAGAAATCCCGTTTTCTTGCAATGAGAAGCAAAATGTTTTGAAGGAAAAAACCCAAGAAAGTCCAGTTACTTTTTGAAAAAAATAACCCTTTGGGACAACCATGGTCTTTTCCTGTTTTCACCACCTTCCTTTCGCGAACCCAAAGCAGCCCCCCACCCCCGCTCACCTCCAGTTTGGGGTCACCGGCCTTTTGGGCACATTGCAGAGCAGCTTGGAAACAGGTCTCCAATTCCTGGTAGGTCTCGCCAGCCTCATCCTTGGCCAGGGTGATGTTCAGCCATGTTTTGCCCTCCTGGCGTGGACAGAACAGACCGAGCTTAAAAGCGGTGATGGCGAACCTTTTAGAGACCGAATGCCCAAACTGTAACCCAAAACCCACTTATGTATCGTTGGGTGCCAGGTGGGCGTGGCTCATTGGGTGGGCGTGGCCCATTGGGTGGGTGTGGCCCATTGAGTGGGCGTAGCTACGATGGTAACGGCAGACTGGGTGGGACTAAAAAGTTTAATCAATCAATTCCAACTTTGCAAGATCTTTTTTTTCCCCGCGAGGTTGAAATTGACTGATTGAACCTTTTTTTTTTTGCACACGATGGTTGAGGCCTAAAGCGAAAAGGTTTTATAAAACCCAGCTGAAGGCCTAGGACTGGGGCGACGGCGTGCGTGCCCACAGAGAGGGCTCTGAGTGCCTCCTCTGGCACCCGTGCCATAGGTTCGCCACCACAGACTTAGACTTATGTCCCACTTCCTGGTGTTTTACAGCACTCTCTGGCCGGTTTACAATGTCAGCATTACTTGCACATTTGCCCCCAACAATCTGGGTCCTCATTTTACCGACCTTGGAAGGATGGAAGGCTGAGTGGACCCTGCGCCGGTCAGGAACAAACTCCTGGCAATGGGCAGTTAGCCTGCAATACGGTTCTCGAAGCATTGTGAGAGACCCCACACACCCACTTCACAGTCTGTTCCTGTTGCTCCCCTTTGGGAGGAGGTTTCGAAGTATTTATAGCAGGACTACCAGATTCTGTAACTGCTTTTTTCCCTATGGCCTCTGTCTGGTAAGCTCGCAAGATTCGTTTTTCTTTCATGTATATGTATACATCCGAACTGGACTATGTTGTTTTTCTGGGCCACATATGTGTACGTATAGGTATAATTTATTTTATTTATTTATTCTTTTGTCATGTTTATGCAGTGTATATTGGAGGTGGTAACCCTTTGAGAGCTGTATCCAATGAAATTTCATTTTAATGTGTGCTGATTAGTGTACATTTAAAGTGACAATAAAGTTAATTCTATTCTATTCTATATTTTATTTTCTATTCTATTATTTTCTATTCTATTTTTTTCTATTTTATTCTATTCTGTATTTTATTATTCTATTCTATCTACTTTATTCTATTCCTTTTTCTATTCTATTCTATTCTGTTCTATTCTATTCTGTATTTTATTATTTTGTTCTATTCTATTTTATTTTATTCCTTTTTCTATTCTATTCTATTCTATTCTATTCTGTATTTTATTCTGTTCTATTCTATTTTATTTTATTCCTTTTTCTATTCTATTCTATTCTATTCTATTCTATTCTATTCTATTCTATTCTATTCTATTCTATTCTATTCTATTATTCTGTCCTGTCCTGTCCTGTTCTATTCTGAATTCTATTCTATTCTATATTCTATATTTTATTCTATTCTATCTCCTATTTTCTATTCTACTCTACTCTACTCTACTCTACTCACCACTGCACAACCTTAAGCAGTCCCCAGGGGTCTCCAACCTTGGCCACTGTTGTGGACTTCAACTCCCAGAGTTCCCCAGCCAGCCAGCCAGCATCTGCAGGTCTTAAAGTTGGCAAGGTTGGAGACGTCTGTTTTAGTTCACCATCTCCCTCCAGGATCCTATTGTCTCAGCTGTGGGCATTGGCTGGAAGGGGGAGCACATCCTACAGACACACCCCTGCATCCCTCCTCCTCTCGTCCCCCATTACCTCCATGGGGTTCCCACGCCGCAGGGCCAGTTCTGCCTGGTAATGCTCCACCGCCTGGGCATGGTCCTTGAGGTCCCCGAAGGTGGCCGCCAAAGAGACGTGAATCACAGCCAACTCCTGCTCTGGACGCCCCAAGGCCTGGGCATGGCCGAGCTGAAAAAGAGCAGCCCACACAGTTTAGGGGGCCAGGAAATTAATAATAATAATGATGATGATGATGATGATAATGATGGCCAGCATTTACAGCAGATTGTAGTGTTTCCCCCCCCCCTCGCTGTTACTGCAATTTACCACAGTTTTTGCTGGAAACAGGCAAAAAAAATAAAAATAAAGGGCAACTTTGGACAAAGGGATCACTTCATGATCAGGGTGCTCACTTAATGACCATGGAGAGTTGCTTAGCCAGCACAAAAGATCTCGTAAAATCCCAGAAGGACCCATTTAATGACTGCCACGACTTACTACAGGCAGTCATCCATTTAAAACCACTCGTTCAGTGACCGCTCAAAGTTACAACGGCACTGAAAAACGTGACTTAGGACTGTTTTTCACACTTACGACCGACCATCGCAGCGTCCTCCCCGAGGTCACGTGGTCACAATTCAGACACCTGGCAACCGACTTGTATTTATGACAGTGGCCGTCTCCCAGGGTCAGGTGATCCCCTTTGGCGGCCTTCTGACAATGGGGAAGCCAGCCTCACTTAACAGCTGCGGCGATTTGCTTAACAACCCGTGGCAAAAACAGTCATAAAATGGGGGAAAAAACTCAACTTAGCAAATGTCTGGCTTAGCCACAGAGATTTTGGGCTCAGCTGTGCTCATATCAAGTCGAGGGCTATCTGTAACGGAACGTCAGAGTAGGAAGGGAGCCTAGAGGTGGTCTAGTCCAGCCTCATAAGTCAAGGACTACCTGTAATATAGAGGTGCTGAGGGGGGAATAATATAGATGGGAAATATCTAACGAAGAGAAGGACAAGGGGGGACATGATAGCAGTATTCCAATATCTCAGGGGCTGCCATAAAGAGGGAATTAAGCTATTTTCCAAAGCACCTGAAGGCAGGACAAGAAGCAACAGGTGGAAACTAATCAAGGAGAGAAGCAACCTAGAACTAAGGAGAAACTTCATGACAGTGAGAACAATTAATCAGTGGAACAGCTTGCCTCCAGAAGCAGTAAATGCTCCAACACTGGAAGTTTTTAAGAAGAGACTGGACAGCCATTTGTCCGAAATGGTGTAGGGTTTCCTGCCCGAGCAGGGGGTTGGACTAGATGACCTCCAAGGTCCCTTCCAACTTTACTACTACTATTATTATTATTATTATTATTATATCATAAGAAATATATTTTAATTAACCGATGTGATGTGATGTAAGCTATTAATATTAAGTTTTAACTAATATCAGGATCTGGCTAAATGTGATAACCTGTGTGCAATTCTATGAAGAAAACATTTTACAAGAAGTGTCAATTAAAAGTCACAGATGGTGTAAGAGATTACCCGTGTAGGGCCGTGTGGCAAGATAGTCATTTGTGTGAACCTCTCCTTTTCTAGTGTGTGGTCTCAAGATATGAACTTCTCTCTTTTAGTGTGTTAAAGGCAGGTAAGAAGTCATCCATTAGGTTAAGCGTGGGCGGCAAGCTGTATAAAAATGACCCCCTGGGAGTAACTCAGGGTTCAGAATTTGTCATGCGAATGCGCAAATAAACCCTGTTTCCTCCAACCCTTCGTGGCCTTGTCTTCTGATGTAAGTATCGTGGTTTTTCCACTACACCTGTACAGAAATTACAGAAATGGTAAGCGGAGGACGACCACCCGTGTATGTAGAGGAGTTAAAGTAGAATAGAATAAGAGCTGGAAGGGACCTTGGAGGTCATCTAGTCCAGCCCCCTGCTCAAGGAGACCCTTGCAGAATAACAGAGTTGGAAGGGAACTTGGAGGTCCTCTAGTCCAGACATGTTATACACAAGGCCCGGGGGCCGGATGCAGCCCGCAAAGTGGTTTCATGTGGCCCACGAAGCCATCCTGAAAACAGTGAGGGAGCAGCCCCCACTGCCTTGGCCCTGGCTGCGTTTCTTGCCTGTTTTTCTGCCTCCCTCATCTCAAATATTTTCCCACCACTCTGTACTTAGGAAGGAAGGAAGGAAGGAAGGAAGGAAGGAAGGAAGGAAGGAAGGAAGGAAGGAGGGAGGGAGGGAGGGAGGGAGGGAGGGAGGGAGGGAGGGAGGTCTGAGGGAAGTCCTGCCTTAGTCCTGCCTGCTGCCCTTTCACCATCCCCTTGCCCCCTCCTCCTGGCCTATCCTGGGGGTCTCCCATCCTATTGCTAAGGAAGCTTTGGATACAAAGCCGGGTCTCCTCCCATGGAGAGGGAATGAGCCTCCCTCTGACTCTGCCCTCACACCCATCATGAGCAACCTGGCTCAGGAGAGCAAGCACAGCAGCAGCAGCAGCCTTGAGGAGGAGTTAAGTGCAGCTGGGTGCCCCCTTGGCAAGTGGGGCTGGGCTTGGTGCCTTGGGTGCTCAAGGGCCAGGCTGGGCATTTGACCTCTGCTGTCCAGGGCTCAGGGCAGCTCGCACCACCATCCAGCCCCCCACATGGCCTAAAAGTGAGGCTCCTCCAGTGGGCCATGCCTTGGCGCTTGCCCTGGTCCCACCCCCTTCTGCCAGAGACCCTCAGATCTGTCCCACTCCTGCCCAGGCCCCCACAGGCCCCCTTGGCGCGAATGATGTAGAGCTGGCCACGCCCACCCAGTAGGCCACACCCACCCTGGCCACACACACACACACACACACACACACACACACACACACACACCCCTGAGGGCAACTGCAATGCTGATGCGGCCCTCAATGAAATTGAGTTTGACACCCCTGCTCTAGTGTCTAGTCCAGGGGTTCTCAACCTTGGCAACTTTAAGACTTGTGGACTTCAATTCCCAGAATTCCTCAGCCAGCAAAGCTGGCTGAGGAATTCTGGGAGTTGAAGTCCACAAGTCTTAAAGTTGCCAAGGTTGAGAACCCCTGGTCTAGTCCAATCCCCTGCTCAAGCAGGAGACCCTTGCAGAATAACAGAGTTGGAAGGGACCCTGGAGGTCTTCTAGTCCAGCCCCCTGCTCAAGCAGGAGAACCTACACCGTCTCAGACAGGTGAATGTCCGGTCTCCTCTTAAAAACCTCCAGTGATGGAGTGCCCACATCTCTGCCCGGGCGAGAGACCTAAAGGGGCCATTTTGCCAGGGGTGGCTGGCCCCTCTTTCTCCCCTTTCCCCCGGATTCCTCCACGGCAGGGGTAGGCAACCTGGGCTCTTTTATGACTAGTGGACTTCAACTCCCAGAATTCCTGAGAAAGCCTGGCTCAGCTTGGAAACCTCTCCCTTTCCCCTCAGTGTGGCTGGCTCAGGAATTCTGGGAGTTGAAGTCCACCAGTCATGAGAGGGCCATAGTTCTCCCATGCTGGCTGAGGAATTCTGGGAGTTGAAGTCCACCAGTCATAAAACAGCCAGGGTTGCCTACCCCTGTCCTACGTCCTCCTGTTCTAAAGAGTGAACCTCCTAGACCAGGGGTAGGCAACCTTGGCTCTTTTATGACTGGTGGACTTCAACTCCCAGAATTCCTCAGCCAGCATGGGAGAACTATGGCCCCTTCATGACTGGTGGACTTCAACTCCCAGAATTCCTGAGCCAGCATGGCTCAGCTTGGAAACCTCTCCCTTTCCCCTCAGCATGGCTGGCTCAGGAATTCTGGGAGTTGAAGTCCACCAGTCATAAAAGAGCCCAGGTTGCCCACCCCTGCTCCACGGCCTTGCCCCCGGAACCCCCTGGCCCCTACCTGCTTCTCATAGGCCTCCAAAGCCCGCCGATACTCGCCCATCTTGCAGAACAGGTCACCCAGTTGCTCGTAGAGTCCCAGCGCTGCCTCCAGGTTGCCCGCGGCCTCGGCCTCCTCCAGGGCTCCTTGCAAGCGACTCACCTTCGTGGCTGCCGGACAGGGAGAGTCACACCAGGGTGGCGCAGGGCACCCTCTGACCCCAGAGCCCGCGGCCAGACCCACCGGCACTCACCGTATCGGAGGTTGCGGCCAACGCTGTCCCGCTGCTGGGGCTGCCAGGAGCCCAGGCGGTAGGCCTTCTTCAGGGAGCGCCTACCGCCCACAAAATCCCCCAGGCCCAACAGGACCTGCGGGTGACCGAGGGCGAAGGTCAGAGAATGCCCCTTCCTCCATGCCCGGGCAGGCCGGGAGCACCACTCGGGATAGGGCTGCCCTTGTACTCAAAAGGACACGGAACGCTAGGGCTGGAAGGGGCCTCAGAGGTCATCTAGTCCAATCCCCTCCCAAGATTGGAGACCTTATACCATCCCTGTCCAATCGCTCTCCAATCTCTTCTTGAAACTCTCCAGGGATGAGAGCACCCACTTCTGGTGGGAAGCCGTGCCACTGGTTAATTAACAGAATAACAAAGTTGGAAGGGACCTTAGAGGTCTTCTAGTCCAACCCCCTGCTCAGGCAGGAGACTCTATACCATTTCAGACAAATGGCTGTCCAGTCTCTTCTTAAAACTTCCAGTGTTGGAGCATTCACCGCTTCTGGAGGCAGGTGGTTCCACTGGTTAATTGTCCTCACTGTCAGGAAGTTTCTCCTTAGTTCTAGGTTGCTTCTCTCCTTGATCAGTTTCCATCCGTTGCTTCTTGTCCTCACTCAGGGGACTAGAGGCTAAAACGTACAAGGAACGGCTGCTGGAATTGGGTATGTCTAGTTTAAGGAAAAGAAGGACGAGGGGGGACATGATAGTAGCGTTTCAGTATCTCAGGGGCTGCCCCAAAGAAGAGGAGGAGTCAAGCTATTCTCCAAAGCGCCTGGAGGCAGGACAAGAAGCAACGGATGGAAACTGATCAAGGAGAGAAGCAACCTAGAACTAAGGAGAAATTTCCTGACTGTGAGAACAATTAACTAGTGGAACCACCTGCCTCCAGAAGCGGTGAATGCTCCAACACTGGAAGTTTTTAAGAAGAGCCTGGACAGCCATTTGTCTGAAATGGTACAGGGTTTCCTGCCTGAGCTGGGGGTTGGACTAGATGACCTCCAAGACCCCTTCCAACTTTTATTATTATTACTATTATGCATCATCGCAGTCAGCCAGATGTTCAGACTGGATTTGGCATTTTGTCTACCTATCGAGTCCTTACCCAGGACCTGGGATAGGCAGATGTGGATGTTTGATGGTATTACAGATATCGTTGCAGGATGGAAGCAGTTCCTAGTAAGGCCGCCTTTTGCAATTGACTAATAGCGAATTTGTCAATGCCAATGGTGTATTATTATTATTATTATTATTATTAATAATAATAATAATAATCCAAATCCAGTCTGAATATCTGGCTGACTGTGCGATGATCAACAACAACAACAACAATATTATTCAGCAACACCAGCGCTGTCTGGGGAATTCTGGGAGTTGAAGTCCACAAGTCTTAAAGGGACCAAGCTTGGACACACCTGCTCTAAGGTTCAGCCCCGCTTGTGCAGAGCAAGGAGACAGAGCCCCTTGGAATCCGTGGGGTGCAGGTGAGCCCCCCTCTCAAGGTGTCGTCTCTCACCTGGGCGATGCTGGCATAGCACTCGCTCTCCATGCATTTCTCCTTCATCTTGCAGGCGCATTCCCGGGCGCGCTCCAGGCAGCGCATGGCTTTTGAGTGCTCCTTCTCCCGCAGGTGGATGTTGCCCAGGTTGAAGTAGGCTCGGAAGAGGTCTTCCGACAGGTGGGCCTGCCTGGGAGGGGGGAAGAGACCGTGGGTGCCCTGCCAACGCCCTGCCTGATGGGTCGAGGAGTCCTGGAATCTCTCCAGCTGCCCGCAAGGAGCTTCTCCTCCAGAGTTCAAGCATTGGAGTTAAAATTTTCACCCTAACCTTTTATTATCTATCTACGCTGGTTTCTGTTTTGATATGCTTCAGAGTCTCTCTCTGGGGAAGATGGGCAGTTCAGAACTGTGTGAAATATAAATGAAAGAAAATAAATACATTTTGGAAATAAATGTGTGTTAGGGATTTTAAGTAGCATACTATCTTTTTATTTTATTCTTGTTCTTATTCTTATCCTTCATCTTTCTCTTTTGTCTAGGTCAGTGGTTCTCAACCTTTTTAATGCCGCGACCCCCAACGGGTCGTAAGTCGAGGACTACTCAACTGGTGCAGCACCGTTTGGAGAATGGGACTTTTGGCGGGCTCAGCAGGGCAGAGACAACCTGGACAATTCCTATTGGCTTTGGAAAACCAATAGAATTAGACTCTATTCAAGAGAGTCTATTCTATTGGCTTTCAAAAGCCAATAGAATAAAAGGGAGTAGCACAGCTAAGGAAAAGGGGGAAAAAAATGGCGGACTGCATTGTTTGGTGACCCCCGTTGAAATGGTCGTTCGACCCCAAATGGGGGTCCCGACCCACAGGTTGAGAACCACTGATCTAGGTTGATAACATCTTTATTTTTAGTGATTTTCAACTGTTAATGTTGACAATTATGATTAGTTGATATTTTATTAACTACGTTTATTTACATAGATGAATTTTGTTTATTAATCATTAGTAATATGGTTATAGTTAATCTTATTTTAAATTGGCTGATATAAATTATGTTTATTCACCATTTTGATCCGGACGGTAGCTTGTTTGTTAAAGCATGAGATTATTGTACCTATCCTTTTTCCATCCCAAATTTCCCATCCCCTTTCCTCCCCATACCTATATTGTTCCTATTCTTTCCTCATTTATATAAATCCAATAAAATATTTTTTTTAAAAAAAGAAAGGTAAAAGTATTGGGTTGGTTTGCATGAGAAAAACAAGATTTAAATATATTAAATGTAATTAATTCTGAGAAGATCCTAACCTTTAAAAATGTTTAGAACATTGTGGGGAAAACAAATGTAAACAAGAACTGTAAGCAGGATATGAGACAACCAGAATGACTAGACAGAAAAGCAATATTATATGGATGTGATTATTATTTGTAGAAATATTAGAAAATGTTTATATTTAATTATCCTCTATTAAAACAATTGTATTAACTTAAGGTTGGTAAAAGAGAACACTATAGAGAAAAGAGGAAATCAATAAAGTTATTGTGTGGATTATAGATTATAGAATTTAATTGTTAGTGAACATTTGTTAAATGTGAACCCAGACAATGCACTGTTTACCGAATATTAAGGTGATTATGTTAAAAAATTAATAAAACATACTTAAAAGAAAATAACCAATTAAGGAATTGGAGAGGAGCCATTAGGAGATACAGACACTAATATGGGTAGTTCTCAACTTCCAAGTTCGTTTAGTGACCGCCCCAAGTTATGACGGCACCGGAAAAAGTGACTTATGATCCTTTTTTTCACACTTACGACCGTTGCAGCATCCCCCTCCCATGGTCACGTGATTTGTATTCAGAACGCTTGACAACTGACTCATATTTATGTCCGGGGTCACGTGATCCCCTTTTGCAAACTTCTGACAACCGTGTTACTAACTTCTTACAACGGTGTTACTCACTTAATAATTGCAGTGATTCGCTTAACGACCGTGGCTGTAAAGGGGGCAAGACTCACTTTAGCAAATGTCTTGCTAAGCAACATAAATTTTGGGCTCAGTTGTGGTCCTAAGTCCAGGACTACCTGTAAGAGAGCTGGAAGGGACCCTGGAGGTCCTCTAGTCCAACCCCCAGCAGAGAGCTGCCCTGAGGCCTCCCCAAACCACAGGGGCATCTCGAAGCTCCCTGCTCCCCTTCAACAGAGTGCAGATTCAGCCCCAGGTGGAGCAGGGGGGAGAGAGGCGTGGCGTAGCCCCTCAAGAGAAACCCCCGGGGCCCCCCTTACTCTGAAATGTAGATGCTCTTCTTGATGTAGGAGGTGCGCAGGGCTGGGTTTCTCATGCTGTCATAGATCAAGCCAAGGTTCAGGTAGAGCCGTGCCCTCATCTCGCTCACCTCCCTCTGCGGTACCTGACCTGCAAGGAGAAGAGAGCTTGCGGGATCCGATCTGAGTTTGAGTTTGCCTCTTCCAAGCTTTCGGGGTCCTGCTTGAGCCCATCCTCAGGGAATAGGATAGGATAGGATATAGAATATAGAATATAGACTAGACTAGACTAGACTAGACTAGACTAGAATAGAGTAGAACAGAACAGAAAATGTGGAATGGAATGGAATGGAATAGAAGAGGAGAGGAGAGGAGAGGAGAGGAGAGAAGCTAGAAGGGGTCTTGAAGGTCTTCTAGTCCAGCCCCTGCTCAAGCAGGAGAACCTATACCATCTCAGACAAGTGACTGTCTAGTCTCTTCTTGAAAATCTCCAGTGATGGAGCACCCACAACGTCTGGTGGCAAACTGTTCCACTGATTAATTGTCCTCCCTGTCAGGAAGGGAAATGATAGAAGCCTTCCAATATCTCAGGGGCTGCCCCAAAGAAGAGGGAGTCAAGCTTTTCTCCAAAGCGCCTGAAGGCAGGACAAGAAGCAACAGATGGAAACTAGTCAAGGAGAGAAGCAACCTAGAACTAAGGAGAAACTTCCTGACAGTTAGAACAATTAACCAGGGGAACCACCTGCCTCCAGAAGCGGTAAATGCTCCAAACTGGAAGTGTTTAAGAAGAAACTGGACAGCCATTTGTCCAAAATGGTACAGGGTTTCCTGCCTGAGCAGGGGGTTGGACTAGATGACCTCCAAGGTCCCTTCCAACTTTATCATTATTATTATTATAAGTTTCCCCTTAATTCCAGGTTGCTTCTCTCTTTGATCAGTTTCCAACCATTGTTTCTCGTCCTGCCCTCTGGTGCTTTGGAGAATAGCTTGACCCCCTCCTCTTCTTTGTGGCAGCCCCTCAGATACTGGAACACTGCTATCATGTCTCCCCCATGTCTTCTTTTCTTTAGACTAGCCAAACCCAAGTCCTGCAACCGCTCTTCCTCTCCCTCTCTCCAGAATGTGTACACTGCGCTGTTCTACTACACATTGCATTTATATGGCTCCTGGCTGTGTGTAGTTTTTAGTTGTAGAGTGCTGATTTACCATCGGCCTATCGGGTACTTAGGAGCCCAGGGCACAGGGCCACAAGGAAACAACAGTTGATGACTTAATAGCCAGCCATCAACATCCTAATTAACAATTAAAAGCTACACACGACCAGGAACCATATAAACACAACCAAGGCAATGTAGAGTGGTATTAATACTTCACGTGATCTTGATTCTATCCCTCTGTTAATGCAGCCTAGCATTGTGTTGGCCTTTTTGGCAGCTGCAGCACACTGCTGGCTCATATTTAGGTGATTGTCTACTAGGACTCCAAAGTCCCTCTCACAGTTACTACTATTGAGCATGGTGCAGTGTGTCAAGTACAAAACAAATACCAGGACACTTTAATGTCAAAATGCACCGAGTATCAAATTTGAAGAGTTTTGAAGCAATTGAGTACCTAAATACTGCTGTATTTAACCTCGTTCGTGTAGGCCAGCCGGCTTCCACCCCGAACTTGGGAAGCCTCCCATAAGGAAGATGCAAGTTCTTAAGCCCCCCAAAGACCTTGTCCCACCTTCAGCAGGAGGGGTTACCAACCCCTGGGATCCTGGGGGGCCCTGCCCTGCCTCCCACCTCTCTCCGTCCCTGGTACCTTCCAGCTTCTCCTCCAGAACAGCCAGGCTCTTCATGAAGGCTTTCTCAGCCTCCTGCAGGGCTTCCCCCAGCGGGTCACTCTCGGCCATGAACATGTAGGTGCGGCCAATGGTGGCCCACGCCCTCTGCTCCTCCACCCCGTTGGAGACGGAGCTGGCCAGTTCCAGGTGGCGGCGCTGATGCTGGGGAAGAGAGAGACGGAGGCTGCATTCAGCACAACGCAACCACCTCAAATCCCCGTTCACTGGGCTGACCGTTAAGTACGGGCAGTCCATGAGTTGCGACCGTTATGGAGCCCCATGATGGCCAATCCAAAGGGTGTGTCTTTGTCAAAAACCACAAAGGATGGTTTTCAGCGAACACATAAATTGTGGTCCTGTGTTTGTGGGCTATCCTGCTCTATGGAGTAGAGAGTCGGTCTCTGACAGAAGGCCACCTGAAGAAACTAGAAGCATTTGAAATGTGGATTTACAGGCGGCTGTTACGTAGAAGCTGGGTTGACAAAATCAGAAATAAGGAAGGGATAAGCCGCCTGGGAAAGCCAAGGGAAATCATCAAAACAATTAAAAAACAGAAATTAGAATATTTCGGACATGTGATGCGACACCCAGAAAAATACGGCATGCTCCATTTAATCCTCCAGGGAAAGACTGAAGTAATAGTAATAGGTGCCTTGGGTGCAATCCCAAAACAACTGGAGCACCACTTGAACACCATCATCGGCATTGACAAATTCGCCATTAGTCAATTGCAAAAGACAGCCTTACTAGGAACTGCTTCCATCCTGCAACAATATCTGTAATAACATCAAACATCCACATCTGCCTATCCCAAATCCTTGTTGAGGACTCGATAGGTAAACAAAAATGCCAAATCGAGTCTGAAAATCTGGCTGACTGTGTGATGATCCATAATAATAATAATAATAATAATAATAATAATAATAATAATAATAATAATAATAAAGTTAGAAGGGATCTTGGAGGTCATCTAGTCCAATCCCCTGCTCAGACAGGAAACCCTATAGCAGGTGTAGGCAACCTGGGCTCTTTTATGACTGGTGGACTTCAACTCCCAGAATTCCTGAGCCAGCCATGCTGAGGGGAAAGCTTTCCAAGCTGAGCCAGGCTGGCTCAGGAATTCTGGGAGTTGAAGTCCACGAGTCATGAGGGGGCCATAGTTCCCCCATGCTGGCTCAGGCTGGGAGCCCACGAGCCATAAAAGAGCCAAGGTTGCCTACCCCTGTCCTAGGGCAAATGACTGATTCTCCCCCCCCCCGCCCATATCTCTTCATGCATGGCTACCTCACTGCCCAGCCCCCCCCCCGCTTTCCGTGGAAAGCAGGGCCCTAAGGCTGGAGGCGTCTGGACTCAGGTGGCCAAGGAAGTCTTAGGGCAGCAGTAGGCAACCTGGGCTCTTTTATGACTCATGGACTTCAACTCCCTGAATTCCTGAGCCAGCCATGCTGAGGGGAAAGGGAGAGGCTTCCAAGCTGAGCCAGGCTGGCTGAGGAATTCTGGGAGTTGAAGTCCGCAAGTCATAAAACAGCCAAGGTTGCCTATCCCTGGTCTAGGAGGCTCACCGCTTAGAACAGGACTTAGGCAACCTGGGCTCTTTTATGACTCATGGACTTCAACTCCCAGAATTCCTGAGCCAGCCATGCTGAGGGGAAAGGGAGAGGTTTCCAAGCTGAGCCAGGCTGGCTCAGGAATTCTGGGAGTTGAAGTCCACGAGTCATGAGCGGGCCATAGTTCCCCCATGCTGGCTCAGGAATTCTGGGAGTTGAAGTCCAGCAGTCATAAAAGAGCCAAAGTTGCCAATCCCTGGCCCAGACCATTTCAGACAAAGTCTCCCGGCCTTCCTACCTTGAGGGCAGCTTCATAGCTCTCCAGCTCAGCCAAGCACTCCCCGATTTTCCGGTGGGCGACTGCACAGCCGATGAGGTCCTCGCCATTCTCCAGGAGTTGCAGTTCCAGCCTGTGCTCGTCCAGAGCCTCCCGAAAGCGTCCTGCGGGGTGGAAGGGGCAGCAGTGACCGTCAGGCGGCGGAGGGAGAAACTCTGGGAAATGTATGAGGGTGCTGTGGGGGGCTCCATCCCGGGAGCTTTTCAAGAGGAGACCGAACAGCCCTTTGTGTGAAACGGTTATAGCAGCGGTTCTCCACCTGTGGGTGGGGACCCCATTTGGGGCCGAACGGCCATTTCACGGGGGTCGCCAAACAACGCAGTCTGCCATTTTTTCCCCCCTTTTCCTTAGCTGTGCTACTCCCTTTTATTCTCTTGGCTTTTGAAAGCCAATAGAAGAGACTTTCTTGAATAGAGTCTTAATTCTATTGGCTTTCCAAAGCCAATAGGAATTGTCCAGGCTGTCTCTGCCCTGCTGAGCCCCCCAAAAGTCCCATTCTGCAAATGGTGCTGCAAGTTGTCTGCAGCGAAGGCGAGCTGTCTGGAAGCTTCCACCCCTCCCTGCTGAGCAACTACTAAAAATGTAAGCAAAAGAGGGCCAGGGGTGGGAGGTGGGAGGCCGGCGGGCGCAGGGAGGGTTGCTGGCACGCGTGGGGCCCGGCGGGTGCCTTACCTCCCTTGGGCTGGGCCAGCTGGTGGCCCAGCCGGTGGTCGCCCTGCGCCGTCTCTGCCGCTTGCCAGCTACGCCTCGGCCGGCACAGGGGGCGGCACCACGCATGCTCAGCGCTCCCAGGCAGGGAAAGTCCTCGACTTACGACCGGTTGGGTAGTCCTCGACTTACAACCAGTTGGGACATGGCATTAAACAGGTTGAGAACCACTGAGTTATAGGGTCTCCGCAATGGAGGGGATGAATGGCCTTCTGCAGAGCCTCACCTGAATTCTGCGGCTGGGCGAGATTTTAGGGACCGTTCAAAGTTATGGCACAGAAGTGACTTAGGACTGTTTTTCACAGTTACGACCTTTCAAGCATCCCCACGGTCACGTGATCAAAATTCAGATGCTTGGCAACCAGTTCACATTTATGATGGTCACCGTGTCCCGGGGGGGGGAGGGGAGTCAGGTGGTCCCCTTTTGCGACCTTCTGACCAGCCAAGTCAATGAAAGAAGCCAGATTCACTTAACAGCCAGGTTACAAACTGAACAACTGCAGTGTTTCACTTAACAACGGTGGCCAGAAGTGTCGTAAAAAGGGGCAAAACTCACTTCACCAATTCTCACGTTAACAACAGAAACGGTGGGCTCAGCTGTGGTCGTAAGCCGAGGACTTACGACCCTAGAGGGCTCATGCACTGAACTGGGAGCAGAGGGGGGAAAGACCACGTGACCGTTTTTCACACTTACGACCGTTGCAGCATCCCCAAGGTCACGTGATCAAAATTCGGACGCTCGGCCACTGACTTGTATTTATGAGTGGCCGGGATTCCCTTTTGCAGCTTTCTGACCAGCAAAGACAAGGGGGGAGGCAGACCATGTTACTAACTCAGCTGTGGTTGTAAGCCGAGGACTACCAGGTACACGTCTCCTTTGGGCCCTCAACCTCAGAGATTCACTGAGTTCTCTATCCCCACGTTTCCTCCTGTACCGGCGATGCCGTCTGACGGGACCGCTATGGGTCTCCTCTGAAGAGGCTTGAGCTGACGGTCCCAACCCTCGTGACGCTCACCGTGACGGGCCAAGACCTCTCCCAGCCGGTTGCAGAGAGCGGCTTCTTCCTTGTGGTCCCCCTTCCGCTGGGCTTTCTCCTTGCTCTTCCGGATCTCTGAAGGAGGCGAAAAGAAGCGGCATGAATCTCAGCACAGGGTTTAAAAGATGGACCCTCCACATGGCTGAGAGCCGGTTTGGTCTAGTGTAGTGTTTCCCAAACTTGACAATTTTAAGGCATGTGGACTTCAACTCCCAGAATTCCACAGCCAGCATTGCTGGCTGTGGAATTCTGGGAGTTGAAGTCCACATGCCTTAAAATTGTCAAGTTTAGGAAACACTGGTAGTACAGTGGTGGCGAACCTATGGCATGGGTGCCAGAGGTGGCACTCAGAGCCCTCTCTGTGGGCACGCGCGCCGTCGCCCCAGTCCTAGGCCTTCAGCTGGGTTTTATAAAACCTTTTCGCTTTAGGCCTCCACAGCCGTGTGCAAAAAAAAAGGTTCAATCAATCAGCCAATTTCAACTTCTTGCAGGAAAAAAAAAAAGATTTCGTAAACTTGGAATTGATTGATTGAACTTTTTAATCCCACCCAGTCTGCCGTTACCACCGCAGACACACCCACACAATGGGGCACACCCAGCCAATGGGCCACACCGCCCTCCGGCAATGCATAAGTGAGATTTGGGTTGCAGTTTGGGCACTAGGTCTCTAAAAGGTTCGCCATCACTGGTCTAGTGGTTAAGGTCCCAGGCGAAAAAGCAGTAGACCCCGAGTTCAAGTCCTGCCTTAGGCACAAAAGCTGACTGGGTGACCAGGAGATGCTGAGTTCTAGTCCTGCCTTAGTCGTAAAAGCCTGTTGGGTGATTTCGGGCCAATCACCAGGAAACAGTGAGTTCTAGTCATGCTTTCATCATGAAAGCCTGCTGGGTGACTTTGGTCAGTCACTAGGAGATGGTGAGTTCTAGTCTTGCTTTAGGCATGAAAGCCAATTGGGTGATTTTGGGCCAATCACCAGGAGACGGTGAGTTCTAGTTCTGCCTTAGTCATGAAAGCTGACTGGGTGACGTTGGGACAATCACCAGGAGACGGTGAGTTCTAATCTCAACTATGGAAGACAGCTGGATGACTTTAGGCCAATCACCAGGAGATGGTGAGTTCTAGTCTTGCCTTAGGCATGAAAGACAGCTGGGTGACTTTGGGCCAATCACCAGGAGACGGTGAGTTCTAGTCCCGCCTTAGCCATGAAAGCTGGCTGGGTGCCTTTGGGCCAATCACCAGGAGACTGGGAGTTCTAGTCCCGCCTTAGTCATGAAAGCCAGCTTGATGACTCTGGGCCAGTCCCTCTCTCTCAGCCCAAGCCACCTCACTTCTTCTTAGCCAGCTTCCATGGCTAAGGAGGGACTAGAACTCACCATCTCCCACTTTTTAGCCTTGTGTTTGAACTCAAACCAACCAGAGGTCAGAGCCCAAAGCCCCCTCCCTTCTAGCACGGATAATGTTTCCTAGTTGGGTCATGAAACATCTGTAAAAAATAATGTAGATAGGATAGCAATTAAATAAATACCTAGGAGCATCCCTTTATTGGCCTGATCTAGTATGGCTCTTCTTTTAACCCTCATCAATTTGCACTGAGGGATCCCGAATGTGAGATAACCTCACTGCAGTACTTTTCAGAAATGTTCACTGATTCGTGGCTGTAACCCAGCCCTTGTCTGCATGCTAAAGTCAGTCATTTTCAGGTCCGGTGCGATAAGCGACATTGTCAGGCTTTTAATGCAGGAAGTGTTCGACTTAACAAGCCCTTGTTTAGTGACCGTTTGGAGTTACAACGGCGCTGAAAAAAAGTGACTTAGGACCATTTTCCACACTTATGACCGTTGCAGCGTTACCACAGTCACGTGACCAGAATCCACAGGCTTGGCCACTGACTCATATTTATGACGGTTGCAGCATCCCAGGTTCATTTTGTGACTTCCTGACCAGCAACGTCAATGGGGAAGCCAGATCCACTTAACAACCAGGGCAAGAAAGGTTGTAAAACGGGGCAAAACTGACTTAACAAGTGTCCCGCTTAGCCACATAAATTTTGGGCTCAATTATGGCTGTAAGTTGAAAGACTACCCCTGGTCTAGACCAGGGGTAGGCAACCTTGGCTCTTTTATGACTGGTGGACTTCAACTCCCAGAATTCCTCAGCCAGCATGGCTGGTCTATAGGGTCTCTGGCTTGAGCCGGGGGTTGGACTAGAAGACCTCCAAGGTCCCTCCCAACTCTGATGATGTTCTATGTTACTGTGATCCATGTACTCTGTATGTTCTGATCTGGGACACACTTAGATCCAAGCACGGGCGGACCTCCTGGCCACCCAACCCCCTGGGAGGTAGGCAAGAAAGGCTGGGGGGGGGGGCTGCCACAAGAGCCCCCCCTCCACGACCTGAAAGGTGTCCCAGGATTGCCCCCCCCCAGTCCAACCCCTTCCCCACTCGTCCCTTTGATCCCTGCAACAGCTCCCCCCTCGAAGGCGATCCCGGAAAGGGGGGGGAGGAAACCAACTGCAAGAGCCCGACTAGAGTACCTCTGGGGAACCCCCCCTCGGAAGCCCCCTCCCCCGCAGGAGCCGGAGGAGGGGGCTCCCTGACGCGGGCCAAAAGAGGGCGCTGTTTTGCAACGCTCCGTCCCCGGCTCTCTCTCCCCCGCCCCCCCAGCAATCCTCCGGCCGCCCCCGGACTCCAGCTCCCATCCTCCGCGGAGGATGGGCCTCGCGGTCAGGGCGGGAGAAGCGAGGGATCGGGAGGGGTCAGCCGCGGAGGATGGGATCTGTAGTCTTCCCCACCCCCCCCCACCCCCGGCTCCATCCACTCACGCCGCAGCTCCCGGTCGCCCATCGCGGCGCCCTGCCGTCGCCCGCGCGCCGAGTTCCCGCTCGTCCCCGCCGCGTCCCGATTGGCCGCCCGGGAGACGGAACCCCCTCGCCATTGGCTGGAGGCCGCCCTATCGAGAGCAGACTCCGCCTTCCTCCTGGCCGGGGCCACGCCCCTCTCCCGGAGGCGGGGGCGTGGCAGAGAGAGCGCGAGCGAGCGAGCGCGGGATCCGGGAGGAGTCGGCCACAGCGGCGTGGACTTCAACTCCCAGCATTCCCTAGGCAGCTTTCTTAGCTAGGGAATGCTGGGAGTTGAAGTCCACCCGTCTGAACGCGGCAAAATTGACAAACATTTTGCGAAGGCTCCGAAAAAGCCGATGGGTGAAACTGCTTCACCCCCCCCCCCCGCATTACAGCGGAGGGTCCTGCAAGCCCACATTTAGGGAAGGGGGGGCGCTTCTTATACCCCCCTCCCAGCCGTGTCCCCACCTGCAGAGCATTTGGGACGGGGCCGAGTTGCATGGGCTCCCAGCCCTGCAGAGAACTGGGCAGACCCCCCCCAGAAGGGAGACGTGCTGGAAAGTCTCAGGTATAGGCAGTCCTCGACTTACGACCGAGCCCAGAATTTCTGTGGCTAAATGGGTTTTGTTGTGAGTTTTGCCCGGTTCACCACTCGTCTCCCCACCGTTGTTAAGTGAATCGATGCGCTTGTTAAATTAGTCACAGTTGTTAAGTGAATCTGGCTTCCCCAATGACTTTGCTGGTCAGACTGTGGTGACCACGGGATGCTGCGACCGTCGTAAATCTGGGTCGGCTGCCCTGTGTCTTAATTTTGATCATGGGAACGCTGCAACGGTCATTGAGTGTGAAAAACGGGCATCAGTCAAATTTTTCAGTAACTCTGAACAGTCGCTAAATGAACCGTTGTAATTTGAAGACTACCTGCAGTCTGTCCTCAATTAAATCCTTGTTACAGGGACCGACCAGAGAAGCTCAGTTCCTCTTTATGGGATTTAGAACATACAACATTGTCAGAATTGGAAGGGAGCCTTGGAGATCTTCTAGTCCAACCTCCTGCTCATCAGGAGACCCTAGACCAGGGATAGGCAATCCTGGCTCTTTTATGACTGGTGGACTTTAACTCCCAGAATTCCTGGGCCAGCATGGCTCAGCTTGGAAACCGCTCCCTTTCTCCTCAGCATGGCTGGCTCAGGAATTCTGGGAGTTGAAGTCCATGAGTCATAAAAGAGCCAAGGTTGCCTACCCCTGGTCTAGGCCATTTCAGGACAAATGGCTGTCCTGTCTCTTCTTAAAAGCCTTCAAAATGACCTATATCCGGTACATTTTGTGGTTGAAAATTTGCCATAATGCAAGTGTCATCGGGGCGCAGGGAGAGGTTTGAACTGAGAAATATTTAGATATTTATTTTCTGTTCCACAAATAGAAATTCTATAAATAGACTTTTTTTTTTTTAGGCCAAGGGTCTCCAACCTTGGCCACTTTTTAAGACTTGTGGACTTCAACGCCCAGAATTCCCCAGCCAGCCATGCTAGCTGGGGAATTCTGGGAGTTGAAGTCCACAAGTCTTAAAATGGGCAAAGTTGGAGACCCCTGTTCTAGGCCACAGGTTGGCCACTATTGGCAACTTTACAACCTGTGGACTTCCAACTCCCAGAATTCCTACTGGCTCAAGGAATTCTGGGAGTTGAAGTCCAAACAGGTCACAAAGTTGCCATTCACCCGCTCTCTTCCCATCGCCCTGGGCCCCTTTCTTTCAGCAACAGAAAAAAGATGTGGAGACTTGCAATTAAAAAAGAGAGCGCCAAACATACATGCGCATCTCATGCCAGCCAAGATGTGCTTTTTCCCACAGGACAGCGCTGTCCCAGTTTGTAGGATTGGTCCACACAGGGGTTAGGGATGTTTGTACATATGAGCTGCATCTCTAAAGCAGATTCAGAATCCCACAACAGAAAATAGATGCTTATAAATTTTGGACCTGCTTTGCAAGTAGGGGAGGGAGCTATTAATCGTTGCAATGGATTTGTCAGTATTCAACTAGGGCAGGGCTTTTCAACCTTTTCACCCATTGTGCCACTTTTAGGATATGGCAATATCCGAGTACCACCAGTCGCCTAGCAAGGTGTCAAAAACTTGATGACCCAAAAGAAAAAAGTGATAAACTACAGGTAGTCCTTGACTTACAACAGTTCTCTTAGTGACTGTTTGAAGTTATAATGGCACTGGAAAAAGTGCCCCCAAGCCACAACCGAGCAAGACACCTGCCTGCCTACCCGGCCGCGCTCTTCCTCCTCTCTGACGTTTTCATTGTTGTGAGTGTTTCTGTTGAGGATTGGCAGCGGGGGTGAGGTGAGGGGGTGTGTGGTTTTTATTCCCCCCGTCTGCTGGGTGGTTGCAGCAGGTTTTGATCCCTTCACATGACCCTGGGACACTGTGACCGTCATAAATATGAATCAGTTGCCAAGCATCTGAATGTAAATCACAAGACCCTGGAGATGCTGCAACATTCCAGCTGATCGGAGCTGGGCTCAGCAGAAGCACCAGGATCAGTGCTGCTTTCCAGCTGATTGGCGCTTCTTCTGGGCTCAGCAGAAGCACCAGGATCAGCGCAGAGCTCCAGCTGGAGCCTGGTGCTGATCCTGGCGCTTCCATTGAGCCCGGACAGCCCTGCAGCTCCAGCCGTCTCTCGCTCAGGCTTGTGTGGTGCTGCCATCGGTTCAGCTCATTCCCCTCCCCCGCTACCCCTTTTCTAGGATGGTTGCGTACCACCTGCCAGGTGCTCATGTGCCACAGGTGGTACCCGTACCACTGGTTGAAAAGCCTTGAGCTAGGGGGCACGAAGAGCTGAAGAAGCTTCTTGGCTGAGAAGCAAAATGTCTTCAAGGGAAAACAAAGGAAGTCTTGCAAAAAGGCCCTTTGGGACAACCTGGACCTGGACGATGGGGAATCTCCACAGACATTTAGCTCTGCCCTCCGGGATGAGCCCCCTTCAAACGGTGTGGAAGTATGAACGGATTTCCACAAAACATGGCAGAAGAGCTGAAGAAGCTTCTTGGAAGAGAAGCGAGACCTCTTCAAAGAAAAATCAGAAAGTCCAGCAGCCTCTTGAAAAAAAGCACTTTGGGGGCAACCTGGATCTGGAGGATGCAGAATCTGCATAATATTTGGGGGGGGGGAGATAAAGTGTCATCTATTTTTAATTCCCATCCGTTTAGTTTTGTTTCGTCTCCTCTTTATTTCGGATGTTGTTATTTTGATCTTTGGAATAAAAGAAAAATCGATGGGAGGAAAAAAAGAAAATCCCAAAGTACAGACAGTCCTCGAATTACAACAATTGAGCCCAACATTTCTGTGGTCAAGCGAGACATCAGTGGAGTTCTGCCCCGTTTGACGACTTTTCTCGCTGCAGTTAGTAAGTTTGTAAGCCAGTCGTTAAGTGAACCCGGCTTCTCCCATTGACTTTGCATGTCAGAAGGTCGCAAAAGGGGATCCCGGGACCCCCCTGGGACATGGCGACCGTCACAACTGCGAGTCAATCGCCAAGCGTCTGAATTTTGATCCTGTGGCCACGGGGAAGGCTGCAACACTGAGAACCGCAGAAAAAGGCCCTAAGTCCCTTCTTTTTCAGTGCCATTGTAACTTTGAAAGGTCACTAAAAGGACCGTTGTAAGCTGAGGACAACTTGTAGAGACATTTCTCTTCTTGTAGGATTTGAATGCCCACAAACCTCCTGGCAAGGCGCAACGTCAAGCAAATGGTCAGGGCTTCTCCTAGTCTCCTCGGTGGCCTGGACTGGACTGGCCACTAAAGAGTGCCCCCCCCCGCATTTCCTTGGGGCCAGCAGCAGCAGCCTGAACCAAGTTAGGGGTTACTGCATTGCCCCCCCCCCAAATCCCCGTTTCACATCTAAAAAATGAAATTTGAGACGCTACACGTACAGGTGAACAGCACAAAGTCTCTACACAAGGGAACGCTAGTGAAGAAAAATTATCAGAACTTTTCACTTTTGTTCAAGTGCAAACGCCCATTAGCAGCCTTGGCTATCTCTCCAAAACTAATTTATTACAAATTAATAAACTCTGTCGGGACATCTTTGCTGTTAACAGCATTCCACTGCATTTCCTGCAAAAGGTGTTAAAATACTGTTACTGATCATCTGAGAATCAACACAACAGAGTCTTACATCCTGTTAATGGCCACTCTTGGGATTCTGGCTTATTGTTTTGTCAGCAGCATCCTGGTAAATGCTGCTTTGTCATTTCTTGCCAGTAGAAGCAGCTAAACCAGTGGTTCTCAACCTTTCTAATGCCGTGACCCCATAATACAGTTCCCCATGTTGTGGTGACCCCCAACCACTTATACATCACCGGGTGCCAGGGGCGTGGCCAAAGGGAAAAAAAATGGCGGACAGCCTTGTTTGGCGACCCCCGTGAAATGGTCGTTCGACCCCAAATGGGGTCGTGACCCACAGGCTGAGAACCACTGAGCTAAACAATGGAAATTCTTTTCCCTGCTTTGGAAAAGGCCTAGATCAGTGGTTCTCAACCTTTCTAATGCCGCGACCCCGTAACACAGTTCCCCATGTTGTGGTGACCCCCAACCACTTATGCATCGCCGGGTGCCAGGGGCGTGGCCAAAGAAAAGGGGAAAAAAATGGCGGACAGCCTTGTTTGGCGACCCCCGTGAAACGGTCGTTCGACCCCAAATGGGGTCCCAACCCACAGGTTGAGAACCACTGGTCTAGATCATCGTCCGTGGCTCTGAAGGGAAGGTCAACCAGGCCAAAGCCTTCTTCACAGGCTCTGCAGATGTCTCTCAAGCTTCCTCCTTCCGTTATACATTCAGTGTTTAATATTCATATGTTATGTACATGTAGGGGTGTGGGTCTATACATGTGTTGTATATAGCATGTTTAGGTGTGTGTCCTGTGTGTGTTCACTTTGGGAGCGGGCAACTACATTTCACTTTTGATGTGTGGCGTCCTGCCCACAGTGTAAAAAAAATGACCATCAAGGTTATCTTTACCTCTTATCTCAAAAGGTGGGCTAGGAGGAAGGGGTGATTGACCGGTGGGCCTCAGATCCCAG